AATTATGACAGAAGACATGGCAGACCAGCAATCTTCTATAGAATCTGCGCCTAGTCCTGCTGCCAACCTATCTCTACCGCCATTTCTAGCCTATTCACAGGCACAGTCGCAACTGCAGATTGGCACGCAGATTGGCACGCAGATTGGCACGCAGATAGGCCCTCAGATAGGGCCCTATTCTCAAGGCACACAGGCCTATTGGGCGTCAAATCAGGCAGGTTTTTATGCCTCCTGAAGGGTCAACCACGAACTAGTTTACTAGGAAAACGCTAATAAACTAGCTCCTTGGCTCCCAGGAACTTTGGAAAGATTACATCTATAATACTGAAATAAACAGGTCAGGAATGTGACGCTGTATTTATGAAATCTATTTTCACAACACTGACGACCAGTGCCTGCACGCGAAACTGCGGAATGACCCCGATTGGGCTTAGCTCGCTCTCTAGCCCTTTCCGACCTCCGACATCAAATTGGTGCACGTGCGTGCACGTGGTCGCATATACTTCGTCGCGTCCTCTACAACACCTTGCAGTTTTGATCCAGCTGTATTTCTAGACTCAAGTCAGGCAATCGCGGATGATTCTTGGCTGGCCCTCCAACAGCAGATATCTCCATGAAGTGGATTTCTTGAACATCACCAACATATCGTGTCCCAATACCTGTACCGTTCACCCGCAAGGCTGTGACAGTGACAACAGCGATGAACAACCCCCAGCAACCATCCCAACTATCGAACTATTTGCATCCAGAATGTCGCGTTATAGCCACATTCGATATCGAATGCTTTATGTCCTATCCACCACTTTTGATGTTGTTGTACAAATGGCCCCTCCTGCAAACGCCACATGGATAGTTCCCAAACCATGTTCCCGCCCTTTGGAAGTCTGGCTGTTGACCAGAACCTTAAATTATCCCCCGCATAAGACCTGGCCTTGGGCATAATGGTCATGCCCATCGTCTGCATCTGACATGCCTCAAATAAAAAGCCTGAGATTTGCCTTTATGGCTTGTTGTGCCCCCTCACTAGAGGCTGGGCCAGGTGCGCCTCGATTCTCGCTCCATGTCGTCCCGCGTCCTCTTCCGCCCAACATGGCCTGGGTGGGAGAGAAATGTGTCGATGGTGGAGTCACAATGGCTCAGGCGTCGTTGGGGACTATCCAGCAACTCCCTTTGTCGGATCAGGACCTGTAGCAACAACTGCACCATCTCTTCCGCCCGTCTGCGCCGGTCGTTGACCGACTGCACTACCCTTCCAGCCATTTCATGAGCGTAGATGGCTGTCCAGAGCTGATCGTCCTTGCCCGGCCCTTTGCCAGACTGGATTCTCGTTTTCTTTTCAGCCTTTGCATGGTCTGTACCACATTCTGCCGCCAGATCAGGGCACCGGCGATGACTTTCCATTTGAGACTCTCGATGACGGTCCCGCCTGTCATTCTCGGCGAGTCGGTGTGCCTCGTCAGCCTCTTGTCTTTTCTTCTTCTTGGCCATCGACTCTGGGTCGAGTTCTTCCACTCCTTGCGTCTCTCCGGCGGGAGCTGTCTTCGCTATCTTGCGAGGTTTCGACACGCGCTCGCCGTAAAGTTCCCGACACTCGTCGCGGCGGAAGAAACCATCGACCAATTCATCCAGGGATTTGCCGGCGATCCGGTCTTCTATGCGTTTGCTGAACTTGTTCGTCGGAGAGGTAGGCTTGAACCAGCCCTGATCATAGGCTGGCTTAATTGCAGAGTCATGGAGCAGCTCCTGGGCTAAATCAAAAGCAGCGACGAACTTCGGTTCTGGCTCGTTGAGAAGTGTCCGGAGCTGCCCAATGCCGGCATCGACATCCGTGTCGACATCTGTGTCCGTTGAGCACACAGATGAGGAACCTCTGACAGTAGGAGGAGGAGTTAAGAGTTGTTCGTGGGCTGGAAGAGCAGAGGTAGACTCGTCTTCCGCATTATAGAGTGGTGGTAGAATTGGACCTTTGCAAGGCAGAGAATGGTCCAAAAGAAAATGGTCAACACTCAGGATGGGAAGGCTATTAGAACGAGGCGGTTTGGATTCTGGACCGAACAAACGTGGAGGTGGAGGTGGAGGCGGAGGCGGAGGCAAAAGACGCGCTGCCAATTCTCTCCCCAGTAAGTCAGTGATGCTGGGCAACGAAACCATGTTCTGAGATGCACAACCCATCCGCTCTGGCTTTGTGGCGTTGCTTGCAGCCTGCATGCTAACAGTCAGATAGGGAACACCTGTCCGGGGATAGTTGAACTGACCATGGTTCCAAGTAACGCAGAGCCGACAGAGATATGTTCAATTGGTAATAACGAAGTCGAGTATCAAAGGGGTTTCGCCTCACAATGTCCACAGAAGCACCGACCAAAGTGCGGCAAATCCTGAAACAGCAGGAGAAAGAACCGGATCAGAGAGAGACATGTTTGGACGAGGCGGCCCTGCCAGGTCGGCTGAATATGTACCTCAGCAGCTTCACACCCCTAGGCTGATGGAGGTGATATAGCAAGCAAAATATAGCGCATGGATCATTCCCCACCTCACCATTTGCTTTGCAGGCCGTCTCTCTGGCTCCTAGATGCGCGCCTGCATTCAGCCATTCAATGAGAGAAAGAGGTATCCTCATCGAGCTAGACGCGGGCGGGGAAAGGGGATTCTTTTGGAGGGACACCAACCTGTCAAATCCAACCCCGGGGTGGTCTGCTCCATGGAAAGTAGGAGAGAAGTCTCCCCCTTGATAGGTTTGATGTTGTGGAGCACTGCAAAGCCCGAATTGGATCAAGAAGGGCTTCAGGCTGGTGCAACAGTTCACTAAGTTAGCCAGTTGGTTCTGAAATAACCAAATCGACAGACATGTGCGAGCTTTGTGGACGGGGGCGTTCTTCCAATTCGCTTATCGACCAGAATGCCCATGGCACTTGCCTGCGATCTCCCTTACCAAGGGTCGTGTAGTAGAGAGAGATCGATCGTGCTTGTTGGCCCCCAGGCAGTCGGGTTTCCCCAGCCTCATCTACCACAGGGCGAGTCAACGAAAACGAGCGTCAGCCGCAAAGCGAAGCAACCGTGATGCCATGATGCATGCGTTCACCCACACCAGTGCTGACATCTCTTCGGATCACCTTTCCTCTGGGGTTTTCGGACACGATGGGCATCTCGATCGTGGCAAATGCCCGCCATCGAGAGTGATGGGTTAGCGACATCGGTAGATAGAATCCCTGTGCCAAGAACGTAAGCTCAGATTCCAGTTGCCAGATGTGCCAGGGTGCCAGGTTCCACCCTTGAGAGAGTCTCAGGCGCGATCCACATAGTCGCTTGTCACCCAGACCTTTTGACAGCCGCCCTAAACCGTCCTCGACTGCTCGCGCGCACCAAGGGCGCTGTCACGGGATGCCCTTGTCGGGATTCTGCCAAAGCTTTCTGCAAGGGATCAGTCCAAGGGGAGTAGCGGTCGGGTCTCGTCATGTATATTACATTGATAACATATGTGGTGCAAGTCCAGTATAAAACGTTGGAGTAGTATATATAAGGCCGATATCGAGGGGGAGTTTTCCTTGTCTTCCGAAACCAGCCCTTCGTCTTCCGAGCATCAACCCATGTCTTCATAATTTCGAATTAATAAATGTTCAGCTGCCAACTATTGTCGTTTGGTGTCAAGTCCCCCACTCGAGAGCATCCAGAATCGAAGCGCCACCCATGCTTGTATCATAGGATGGGATGTCACCCGGGGCGGCCCACAGCACTTGGCTACTCGTCGGCTCTCCCTTCTAAGAGCTTCCTTGATTCGTCCAGTCTCCTCCTGAGCACCTTTGCAGCACGCACTTCGTGTTTCCTTTCCGACCGCAGGATCTCATTGCAGACGCCCCCCACAGCTCGCAAGAGATCAAGGACGAGATCCTTGTCGACGCTCGAAAAGGTCACCGACCCCGGTCCTTCGCCGACCTTGAATTCGGGGTCTGCTAGTTTGATCAGACTCTCCATTAGGATCTCAGTATTGGCGGGGTGGTCGACTGGCACCTCATTTGACACACTAGTCGGACCGAATGCTCTTGGAGTGGGAAAAGAGGCATTTGGTGAGTGGACAGGAGGGGTCGGGATGCCGTTAGAAACTATACTCCCTTGCGTCTGAATTTGTCGCGGAGATCTCATTTGACCTTGTCGAGCTCGTCCACTCATGGGAGGTGTTGGCCACACGGTAGCTGTATTTTCGCGTTTTGGACTCATTGGTGTTTGGGAAAACCCCGTCCCATTGCCCCAGGTGAGAATCTCGGTCGGCATCCCATCCTCGGCATCGTCTTCGCCACCACCTCCCCCCTCAGTCGCCGTCGCAAAAGTGGCGACAGTTGAAACAGAGTCCATACTATTGCTTCGGGCCGCCTTCATCCACGGTTTCGGGGGTGTCGCAAGCGGAGTGGGATTGGGCGGAGTCCCAGGCTTGAGGAAGCTCTCTTGGATCGGGGTGTTTGCGGCTTCTTCTGTTTCTGTTTCCTCAAGCTGAGTTTCCGTGTCATCTTCGTCAATTGTCGGTGTGTCCTGGTTCATGCGTGTCGTTGTTACACTGCTGCGATCACTCTCGCTAGGAGTTTCACTTCTAGTACCCGTCCCAGTATAATTTCCCAACGCACTATGAAGGAACATATTCTCATAGTCGAAAGCATCCAATCGGTCCTCGTGACGTTCTGCGGCGCCCTCGGTAGGAAGCAGATGTTCGGGGATCTCGGGGACGTCGGGCTCGAGGTCCTGCAAGCTCTCCTCCAGAACTTCATTTAGGTATATTTGCTCTTCTTCCGAAGCCGCAATGGGTTCGTCATCGTCAAAGTCTTGTGCTGCATCTTCGTACAGCGATTCTTGAAGCACTGAATTTGACTTTTCCAGAGGCTCCGGCTGCAGATGGATCGACTTGTGGAGACTTGGGGTGTTCTTGTCCGTCCTGGCTTCACTCACAAAGCTAGAATCTTTGGTTGCCGGAACTTCGACGTTGAGTAACGTTTGTGCCTGCGGCGTAACTGGTGCCACATGGAAGTCCAGCGGCTTCTTCTGTCGTGATGGGCTCCACCCCATCCCAGCATTCGTGTTAATCGGGCTGCCTGTCTCTCTGTACTCTGGGGCACTCGTGTACCACTGCTCAGGGCTCTGCGCACTCGCAAAGGGACTGGGCGTTCTCATGCTCTGCAAACTCTTTCTCCTCAGGCTGTCGGCCTGTGCTTTGTCCTTCAGGTCGGAAATTTTGGCCTGCAGATTCGACATCTGTTCTCGAATTTCTTTGGTAGACCGGTTTGACATCGCCGATGAAGAGCGAGCAACAGCCGTGGGGGGACTGCTTGTGACCACCGAAATATCTTCTTTAGACACGGCTGCTAAGGTGTTGATGCCCAGGCCTCGCGGGGCTGGCGTCTCTGGGGATGTCTCGGTCGTGGTTGGAGGACTTTCTTCCTCCTTCAACACCCGCAACGGCGAATTGAAGCTGCGATTACTCGCCGGCGAATATGGGCCGCCCCTGGCAGATGGCGAGTGAAGCAGTTGTTGGGGAGATTCTTGTCGGCGTCCATATTCCAAGGCGCTTGCAGATCTGACTTCGGGAATCATGGAAAGGCGCTTCAGTCCCGAGCTACCTGCCGTCGTATCACTACCGCCTCTAGCGTGTGCCACAGAGTTATTTCTGTTGACAAGATGAAGTGGTCTGGGCTTTCGCTGGCTTGCACCGGCCAAAGAAATGGACCGGTATAATCCACCGGCCGGCTGGTGAAGTTCGTTCATATTTGGCGAGGATCTCGACGATAAAAGGATGCTGTGACGGGCTTTACTGAGGTTATCCTCCATATGTGTCAGTCGCTTCCTGGCATGCTCCAGAATTCTCTCTGCTCGTTCGTTGAGCAAAGCCATCTCATCTTCCGCGTTAGTCGTAATCGTGCTATTCCTCTTGCTGTCAGGTTCCTCAATCTCTTCGTCTGGAACCTTCGCCACGTCTGCAGCCAGTCTTCCGTTCATGATCTTGGAGGTATCGAAGTCCTCCCAATTACCCAGATCGGAGCCATTGCTCGAGGAGGATTGAGTGCTTAACCTCCGGGTCGCATGCACAAAAGGGCCCGCGGGAGACGGCGAAGGAGGATCTGACATGAGTGGGCTCTCGGTCCGCCGACTTTTCTTCGATTTCGGGGTTTCCTCCTCTCCAATGTCGCTCAGGGGTGCCCCGTGTTCGTAGCCGTAGTAGTTGGTATTGATCGGGGGGACAGCCCTCGAGGGCATTCTAATGGTTGTCGCAATCCCCAGCTCAACTCCGGGCTCAATCTCAGGTGGAGAAGAACCCAGCGACACTGCAGAATCTGGACGGACGGGCAGCGGAGAAGAGTGTAAGATCGGCGAAGACGCACGTGGACTGGGACTCGAGTCGAGGTGAGGCTGATACGGCAAGATCATGTCGGGATTTGTCAAGGTCGGCGACGGAGGGACTTCCTGTGTAAACAGGTCGTGCGGGATGGCGGGAGGGATAGGGTGGGCGTGCGCATTCGCCATGGTGGCCGACTTCGAATCAACGAGCTAGACGGCTGACCCTGACAGAATGCGACGGCGCGAAGACGACGAGCTGCTGGCTAAGAAGACAGCACCAAGTCCCAGGGCAATATCGTCAACGCATTCGTGCGGTTACGGGGAGTAGAGCGAGGTCGTGGTGGGTGTTGCGGAGGGAGCAGATATTCTCAATGCGACATTGGCAGCCAAATAGAAGCTCAGTGGTGGAAGAGATATGCCAGACGCAGGACAGCAAGAAACTTGGGAAACAGGATCTGCACTCCCAAGCCCTAACCCCCCGGGCTCGTCAGATTGTTGGACAAGGGGGTTTCGCAAGTGGCAGAGGAGTGAGAGCAGTAGTTCACCAGGCTGTCGCCGAACCAGAGATGGAGAATTGAGTGCGGGCTCCGGGACGAGGAGTTTTGATGGCGCACAAGCCCAGGGCCACACAAGCGAAGGGGAAAAAAGGGAGTGGAAACAAGGCCAGCTGCAATCCTAACTGGCTACCTCCCCTGCAGCAGCGCCAACGACGCCAACGACGCCCCGAATCTTCAGCAACCCGCCCAACGGGGAGCGGCCCTGTTGGAGCCTGGTGAGCCTGTCAGCTGCGCCCGCTGAGCTCAGAGCCTGCAGAGCCTGCAGAGCCCGCCTAGGCGCGAAAGTCTCGAAGCAGACAAGACGTGATCGTCTGAACCTTCGCTCACCTGACATGGCATCCCATCCACTTCGCATCCCACATGCTGCACGTAAAGGGAAGCGAAGCAATTTCGGCCCCCGCGTCCCCCCATGGTCCATCAACTTCGTCATCCTCGAAAGCAGCAAGAAGGTAAGGCAATCAAGTCCCTGCGATTGTCGACGATGGCCAACCAAGCGCTGACGAAGGCGACGCAAGAGTAGTTTCAAGTGAGGATCGAGTTTCAGGCTTCTTGGAGGCCGGCAGAGCAGCTTTTTTCTTCTTCTTCTTCTTCTTCTTCTTCTAAACTTGCCTGGACCCCGGACGCAGGGGACGCCCTCCCCATAAATAAACAACTCTCAGGAATGCCAGCCTTCGTTCTCGTCCCTGCCTCACCTTCCGATCTCGAGGAAGTAGCCCGCGTCCAGTTCGCCGCCTGCGCCTCCGACCATGGGTTTCCCGTCATCTTCCCCAAAGGAGCCACCTTGACCTCCATCACCCATTTTGTGCATGCGTACGAAAACGACCTGGAGAACGACCCGAGCTGCCACCTGATGGTGGTCAAGGAGGCCATGTCCGGCGAGATCGCGAGCTTTGCCGTCTGGCATTTCTACCCTCCCAAAAGCCAAGAGGAGGTCGAGCAGGAGATGCTGATGCGTGACTTCCCGCTCCCCGACGACGCTGTCAAGGAACTGGGGAGTCGCTTGGCCCACAATAGCATCAGGAAACGCCATGAAGTCGTGGCATCCGCCATCGGGACGGAGAAGCCCTATGTGTGTAAGCCATTCTCACCCTCCCCATCTCTCTCTCTCTCTCTCTCTTTCTCTCTCGGACACTTGGTCGTCGAATTGACTTTGTGGCAAAGATCTCGCCGCGGTCGGTACCAGCCCGAAATACCAGAAGCAAGGCGCTGCATCTCTTTTGGTCCAGTGGGGTCTGGAGCGAGCGGATGACCGAGGGCTGCCAGCCTACGTCGAGAGTGCTCCGGCGGCGTTACGACTCTACGAGAAGCATGGCTTCAAGGAAGTTTGCAAACTACCCCTGGAGATGTCACCGTGGAAGGAAGGGGAATATTTGAATGTATGCATGGTTCGACAGCCTCCAAGCTGAATATGTTTTGACCCCCCGACGCCATCCGCATGCCGCTTTGATCTTCACTGGCCTCTATTCTGCCCGTAATTTGGCCCTAACCATCAAGGGTCCCTGCTTCTCCCCTATTCCCACGCTCTCCACGATCAATTCCTCGGTAGGATCCAGGACCTCAAGGTCGTATCGACGCCAGACAGCTGTCAATACTTTGACGATGCTCATCGTCGCCACGTTCCTGCCTATACATGCTCTATGGCCAGCACCAAAAGGCGCGAGGTCATTAGGAGACAGTGGCTTTGACGGATCAAGCCATCGCTCAGGCCTGAAGACGTCGTGGTCGATGCCCCAGACAGAAGCATTGTGGTGCAGCACGTGGTTGACCATCGAGACGTTCGTCTAGAAGAGGACACATCAGCGGGAAGTTCTCAATCTTGGACATTCTCGAAACCTACCCCAGGGGGAACGTAGATGCCATCAATCACTGCACCCTCGGGATCACACACGATCCGCGGTAACGGCATGTTGAAAACCGGTGACATCCGGAAATTCTCTCGGATGCAGGCCGTGGCGTAGGGGAGCTGCGCTTCCAATCCAGAATATGCCGGCAAGGAGTCCCCAGCTGTGGCTTGGAGGGGCACACATGCCGTGATCTCCTCTGTGAGCTTCTCTGCCGCGGACTTGTTGTGCAACAGGTGGTAGAAGAGTAGAGTCAAGGTGCCCGACGTCGTGTGTGAGCCCGCGACCAGGAACGCAAATGCCTCTGAACTGATTGCCATCTCCGTCAAGCGTTCACCGGTTTCGGGGTCCTTTGCGCGGATCAGCCTGGTCAAGATGCTGTGCTTGTCACTGGTCTTCTCTCGGGCCATTTCGGTGCCGACGCAGGATGATGTCTGGTCCCTCAGCGCTTTCCTGCTCCTCAGGAGAGTTTGCAGCCACGGCAGCGGGACATAGTTTGCCAGTCTCATGCTGTATGGCAGCAAGGACGGGAGCATGCCGAACAGGCAGCCCAGGAAGATGTGCTCGTTGATCGGCGGCAGTTTCGACGGGTCTTGGGCCTCTTGAGATCCAAAGTCCGCGTGGAAGGCCAACTCCCCCATGACATCGTACGCATAGTACCCGATGAGATTCTTCAGATCAAACGGTTTCGCGCCCTGTGCGGCAATGGCGTTGATGAGGTTGTTGAGGTGGCGGTTGAAGATGGACTCCATCTGCGACAGGGAGGCGATGGAGAAGCTGTGCGCCATCTGACGACGCCTCTTCGCGTGCAGCTGCCCCGTCTTCATTAGCATTTTGACGGCGGGGGAAACATTACAACGCCCGCTCGAGGCGACTGCGACTACGACTCACCTCTTCGTCACGGGTGCCAAATGAGTTTGGGTGGAAAGCCGTGAACCCGTCGTACATGTTGCTCTTGATGAACCGCCGCCCGCCCTTGTAGACCTCGTCAAGGATCTCGACGCTCTGGAAGCTCAGCTCGTTCGGCGCCACTCGTACGACCGGCCCATACTTCTCGTGTACCGTCACCATGGTGTCCGGCAACCGCTTGGTCCACAGGTGGTAGACCCTCCATAGATCCGTGTGTGCGGCCCAGAACGGCCCGGGGAATTTTCTCAGGGGGTGGAAGAAGTGATTGCGTACAAACGAGGCGAGGAGGAGGATGCCCGGTAACACCAGGACGAGGAGATAGACTGGGAACATGTTGCTTGGTTGGTCCTCCCTCCTTCGTGGCTGAGGAGATGTTGGGACAGACGGTATTGTGCGAAGTGGCACCGTGTAGCAACAAGAGACAGACGAATATCAGGACAGTTGACGACCACTGAGGTACTCACAGGGCAAAACTCTAAGGGGATTGATATAGGTTTGAGCACAAGAGGTTCTTTAATCGGTTCCCCAACGCTGATTGCTGACATGGTGGGCTCTGTGCGTCAGTCCGATCCCTGATCCAGAATCGAGGATATTCGTGGCCCATTGCCCGAGACGGAAGAAACAAGCACGTTCCATCAAGCATAACCGAGAAGAGCTGAGTCGGAATGGTCCGCTGTGTCATTATGGAGAGCGACGACTCGACAGGACGATGGGCAGCTTGAGGATGTCTCCCCATGCTGGTTGAATCTCCCTCCAATGTGGGGAAACGGGGTGTCGTTTAAGATCTCATGCTCGGAACGCAGCCAAAGCTCGACCTAGCGATTCCGAGCTCCTCCCCGTCTCCAACTTCTTTGGACTCTTTCAGCTAGAACAGTCCGGGCAGCGATGATCATTGCCGTGAACTATAACTCGACTCCAACTGTCCACGGCAGCCTTGTGATGCGCAGTCGCGGACATCCAGCACCTCCGCGGCGTTAGGACACTTTTGGTCCTCACTCCTGTCCGCGAGAGCCGTAACTCGCGTTTAAGTTCTCCGACGAACATGGAGAATTGCATACCCACCGCCAGATGTTCCCAGTCGGCCTTATTGGGGCGCACAAGCATCGAGTTTGCCTCTACAGATTGTGCAAAACGCGCCCCGGATCGAGCAAGCAGGAGAGCTGAAAGCGGTAAATGGGAGATAGAGACGTGAGGGCAAGGTTGAGGAGTGACCAGGCGGCTCGAGCTGTCGAATTGAACCCCCTGTGGTGAAGAATCGCACCTGCATGGTTCCTCCGCCAGGATGGGAGAAGGAGTAGCTATGTGACAGATGGAATAGAGGAGCCACAAGGCCTACTGCCGGAGCCCTTGCTCGGGTTATCTGAATGTCGTGGGATCGCTGGTCATCGATTGATTAGTGGCGAACTCACGTCAGATTATATTCGAGTCGCTGCTGCTCAGGTCTTTGTTTGGTGCCCAGGTGAGCTGTGCGTGGACGTTGAATTCGCCCACAAAAGCCCCTTCTTCCTCGCCGCCGTGATCTTCAAGCTACCGCCTCTGGATAGTTTTGGCCGAGAGCTGCATCGTGGATTAGACTCGGATTGGACATCTGGCTTGTAGGTTTCTCTTCTGCTATTACTGTTACTAAAGGAGGTTCTTGCGGCTGCGTAGGGGAGGATGATGATGATTCGGCCATTTCGCTCAATTCTTGTGCCAAAGGGTCAACAATCCTGCTGGTCACGGCATTAGGTGCATCTGTGTCCTGATTGTCGCGGTCTCTGCTTGCTTCGGGACTCGCATCAGTTCCCGACCCGGTGAGAATGGTGGCTTCAGCAGCCCTGGCAGACAGAGAGGACCGCCGTGTGCCAGGGGTTCTCTCGCCTTCCTGCGTCGTATCGCCATTTGGCACTGCTAGTGCTGATGCTGATGCTGATGCGGATTGCGGTCCAGTCACAGCTCTCCCATCGTTGTGCAAGGCTGAGCCCCTCCCCGGACGTTTAAATCCGTTGGCCTCGGACTGCGACAAGTAGAAGTCGGGGCTGGCAGTAAGCGTCTTCTCAGCTTCTCGAACAACTGCAGTCATATGGCTCTTCAGCATTTCTGCCGTCCATCTGTCACCAGCCTCAATCTCGAGAAGCTTGCTGATAGCCGTAACAACCCCTTGAAAGGCGGGCATTTCATGACACGAATGGTTCTTTAGCTCTGTTATCTTATTCTCGACAACAGGCTTCAACTTGTATTCGACCTTCCCTTGTCGTGTCGAGGTCCTGTACCAAAATCTATCGTTCCGGTTTTTGTCACTGGCAGCCGAGCAATCGAATCGCTGCGTTGAAAAGGTCTTGCTCGGTTGGCCTTCGCTCGATTCGAAGTTGTGGAACAACCAGTCCATCAGCTCCAAGTACACACAGCCCAAAGCCCACATGTCGAAAGGCCGAGACACCTTTCCGTCGCGATCTTTGTCAGGCGCAAAATAAGTCTCTGTGCCTTTTGGCTCTTCTGTCAACCTAGAATGTTCTCCCTCTTTCGCCGGTGCATTGAAGACTCCTGCCCCAAAATCCCCGATTTTGAATCTGGGGTGGTAGCCTGGGACTTTTTCAAACACTAGAATATTTTCAGGTTTGATGTCAAAATGGCATCCCCAGTAAGCATCAACTTCTGGGTCTGGCTCGCTGTTTGTCGGGTGTTTCAAGTTGTGAACGTGCGCAATCGCCAAAGCCAGTCCTTGAAGTTGCCGCAGGAACCACAGTGTTCCGTGTTGCGTGAAGTCTACGGGCCAAACATTGGTCATGAATGTCTTTAGGTTATACCTGGCTGCTGGGTACAAAATGAAATGCTCTTTCGACTGAGTCCAGCTCGTAATGTGAGGAACAATATAATGATGCGGGTAATCGGCGAGCATTTTCAGCATGGCCCTTTCCTGGCGGAACTGCTTCTCGCGTTCAGAAGAGAATACTTTCACGGCAAAACAACATAATGGATCCTAGTAAATGAAGTCAACAACGATGAGTTACCCAGCAAAATCCTGGACCGTGAGATTCTTGACTTACTCCGTCCAAATAGTGGTGCGCAGGGTCGATCCAGACCTTGTACACCTTGCCAGATGTACCTGTCCCAAGCCGTTCAGATTCTGGTCTAGTGTGGCGCAACGGCATGACCTCACTGATCTTAAGCTCGTGGTGTCGGAAGTCTTCATCGATGTTCTTCACGTAAAACTTAGCTTTGTGGCGTGAGATCTCAATGACATTGTCACGACAGTAGTCTACACTGCAGACCATTGGTTCTGGCGGGTTCTCATCGCTACACCCGTGGTGTTCAAGAAGGTGTTGGAGATAGGCCATGTCGTGACCCGCGTAGACGCAAATAAGTAACAGCTTCAATGCCGGTAGCTGTATTATATCCTTGACCATATCAGATTTCTTCTTTGCAGACTGCTTCTTGAGAGACTTGTCAAGGAAAACAAGGTCTTTGACCACGTCGTAGTCTTGAAAGACCATCTGATCGCGGCGAGGGATGTAATCCTGGTTTCGAAAATTTGTGTTTTCCTTCTTGCCCAGCTCCGTTTTGATCATCGCGTGGTATGTACGCTTTGGCCCAGCATCTGGTTCAGGCTCTGGCGTCACCCGAGCGTATCCATAATCCCAGCAGATCTCTAGGGAGAATTTTCGGTGTGGGTGAGTGTTTATAAACCCGCAGATAAGGATGATCACGTTGTCGGTCAAGGTGGCAATCTCGTCATTGTCAAGGATGCAATATGGCATGTCAGGAGTGAGCTCTGTTGATGCAATGATTCGACATGAGCCGTGACGGTGGTACACTTTATTACCATCCAGCTCTCTTTTGGCCCTTGTGCATTTCTCTCTCATCTTCGTCGGCAAAAGATCTGCGTATTGATCTTTGTCGGTCCAGGAGAATTCATCAAATATGGTTTCGTCCTTCCAGGAGTGTCGCTCCCAAGTGAGTGTGACCTTTGCACTGATTTTGTGAGGTAGGATGTCGTCCATTAATTTCTCCGACGCGACAGATGGGGGAGGGCTTCTCGAAGAGGAGGAAGCACGTTCAAAAGGCAAGGTCGGACTCAGGTGGTCCGTCAGGAAGGGCAGTGTTCGAGCATGCTCCATGTCGGGAAATGTTGGCGTGCGAATTGTAACGGTAGGAATATCGGTCGCCGTAGTTTTGACTTCCTTTCGGGTAGTGTTTTGGGTCATGTTTGCTTCTTGCATATTGGAGCCTGTAGCTTTCGGAAGGCCCGAAGAACTCAGATACGACTTTGGTCGCTGCGACTCCGGTTCCTCTCGATTTGCATGCACTGCTGCATTGGGCTTATCAAAAACCTGCTCTCGCCCATCGGGTTGTTGTTTTGGGATTGATGCCTGAGCCTCATTCCTTGTATCAGTAAGGTTTTCAGTGCCATCTCTCCCTTTCGAACCTAGTTGGCGATCATCAGCAAAAATCGATCGCTCCTCGACGAAGACGCGGCCGAGGGCACGAACCTAATTTGCGAACTTTTTCACTCCATTTACGGATCTTTTCTTTCAGCTGCATGTTGCCCGAAGACTCGGAACAGGATGCAACGAGCTTACCAAGTTACCATGTAAAGAAGGCAATATAATATCCGGAGAGTGCTAGTGAAGCAACCTTTGGGCAGTATTCTCCGCGGGGAGGGGGTTCCAAAAACATGGCAGGAGGCTCTGGTCTAGCGGGACATGCAAATGAATAACGAAAGTAGGGGAAATGATCGCAGTTGGCGGAGCCCATCATGGATCAGGGGCTTACTCGTTGTGGTATTCCTTCAAGTTCCTCGAGGCAGAGTGCTAGCAGAGTCCCAACGAGTCTAATGCATGAAAGAGACACCAGATGGTGCGAGGCGCAGAGCCACCACCATGTCGACTAGCATGCATCCACTGGGATATTCAAGACAGAAGACCGTGTCTGATAAGTTCGGCCCAATTGAATAGGCCCTGGGTGGGGGGTGGTGTGAAGCAGGGGTTCACAACACCAGGAGAGCGCAAAATGCTGCAGCCGAACAGGTTCAAAAGTGATGGCTAGACAGCCTAACTGGAACCGAACCGACACCGTTTGTATGTAGAGCCTTGCGAGGTCGCTTATCAGCCCGGGGGTTGAGCCTCATAAAAGTTGCGTGGCGCCCGCATTTCGGTGAGGAACTGTGGAAGTTCATGCCGATCATGACAGCCTAGAAATCAGCCATGAAGCAAATACAATAGAGGAGGGAAGAGGGCCAGGTAGATCGGCACATAAAACCAGACGTTCTCTGCGACATTAGGCTCAGCCGAGGGCTGCTGGTCGCCACATGGCCGTAGAAAGAGAATCGAGATTCGTAGGGTCGAAGACTTTAGCGAAGGCCAGTGCGGCTGAGAGGAGGACCAAGACCAGTGCATTCGTCTCTTGTGAGCTCGCCTTCTCGTCGTTGTTGTTGCCATCAATCAGCCTCACCGGGACAACGTGGCCAAATCTGCACCCCCCACGAAGCAACGACCTCTGAGAGGAGGGGACAGCCCGGGGGGCAATCTACCGGCGCCGTGGTCGCATTTGGTGGCTGCGGGCGAATGTCCTGATTGAATGGGACATTGAGACAGCGGTGAAATGGCTGGATGGATGGCAAGCACGGGCGGCAGTGGCGAGGGCAAAGGGGGGGAGGAATTGGAGGCCAAATTCCACTCCACCATGTCGGCGGCAGTAGCGCCAAAAGGACAGGGACTCCAAGCATCTGACGTTGCACACGCACGGCAGAAGAAGTCTGCTCGACCGGGCGCGTGCCCGACATCGTGATGGTCGTCGTGTCGAGTCAAAACGCCATTCGGAAAGGCGTCTGTGCCGACTATCCTTGGGGCTGGCCCATCATACAGCCACGGCGCTTTGCTGAGACTTTACGAGGCATGCAAACAAAGAATAGCAACCCAGTGACTGGATTTGGCGTGACACACGTGGTGGCCAAAACAGCTGAGCCTGACTCAGATCGTCAGGTATGCTGCATGCCCCAGCCACGAGGCGAGAGAGGATTCTTGGAGGGGGGTATAAAAGCAGATTTCTGCTTTCCCGCATCTTTTCAGCACCAAAGCCCCTCACTCAGCCTTATATTTGTGCAAACATTCTACAATCACTTGCACCATGCCTTCTTTTCCGAAGCCCAACGTGCAGACATTCGACAGTCACTATATCGACAGGTCGAGGCTTGAGACTCTCCTGAGAACCCTTTATGATAAATCCGAATACAGCGTCCATCGGCAACTGAATACATGGCGCGTAGAAGCACCGAAACCACTTGACAAGGTGTGTGTCATCCCCCCTTAGTGCGGAGGATATATATATGCTAAACTAAACACTTGTAGAGGCAGATCGATGCGCTCAGGCAATGATAACGGCAGTCGTGGTCGTTTATTTGTGTTTGGCTGAAGCAGTGCTCCCGATGTTACGGACTCGACTCACAGTTTTGCTTTGTTATTTGCCGCAGCAGGCATAGCTGGTCCAAAGCAATGTTGCTTGGTACATGGAAGGATATATAGCGACAGCTTCCGGGCTGTATATAGTTAATACTTCATTGATATGCCTAGACTGGATGGATGCTCCTGCGCTGGGTGCAGAGCAATGCTATCTACAACTTGGAAAGGGACGACATAGACCTCATCACCAGACTTTCTAATACGCACCTGGCAGTCGAAGTCTCCAGGTATTCGCGGAGTACTGTTAAGCTGAACGTCCACGGCATCTTTGGTGCAGAAATATTGCAAGAATTGTGTCTCGTTAGAAGCCTCAAGTTCTTTTAGCGTTTGTCCGAGGCAATAACCAAATTCGCCTGCCAAACGACGACATTCAATATGCTGCTACTTTGCTCGAATTCGGCCCACCCCCCCCTTCGTTTAGGCATCATGTACGTCGGGCTCAGCCTCATCTGCCACCCTAACCGGTGAGACCTCGATTGAAATGCGCTGGACCTATTCGAAAGGTCAGGCTGGAAGCAAGGCGCAGACTCGTGTGACAAACCGCCTCCCCGGGGTCCTACACACACGATAGGGTTGGGCGGCCCGGTCAAGTCCCTCAGAAGTGTCCGAACAACCGCTTCGGCTGTGTAACCTGTGTTGTCTGCCCTGTTGCCGTCTTCCTTCAATCCGTGCAAGAAGGAGTAATAAATCGACTTACTCACGAGCCCGAGGCAGCCAGCCCTGCCCTTGCCTGAGAGGAGTCTCGCTCCGTGCCATAAATCCCGTCGCCTCTCCCCCAGGTTCCTTCGACTCATTCCGAACCGTTTCCCTCGAGCGAGCAGACCCTGTCCGACAATTTCTGCACGAACCGCAGCCTAACCACGATGGCATCTTCTCACAAGCAGTCGTACGGTCCATCGTCCGGCAGTCACAGCATTGGCAGCAGTACCACCACCACCAGCAGAACCTCCACTTTCAGCAGCATTAGCTCAGGCGCGACCGCAGGCACCACCTTCAGCTCGATCTTGAAGCAGAACCCTCAGATTGTCTCGGACCGCTATGTCAAATCGGACAAGTTGACCCAATATCTCGAGGCGACTTATGGGTCGGGACGGTGTGCCGTCCATGTGAGTTGGTATCTTTGCTATTTTGTCCACTTCGCAACTCCTTGACATGGGGGAGAGATACATTTCTTGTATATTGTGGTTACCTCTTGGCTGACAAACAGTTGCAACTCGGCTGAGCAGCATAAGTCCGGAAACTTCTACATCATTGCACCTGATGAACTGTCAGATGTGAGTTTACATTAGTCTTTGAATGTATTTTCTCTGATCTTAACTTCCTCTCCCTCCTCCTTTCGCCCGAACTTTGTGTGGGGTACAAAAATTTCCGTCTGTCTGTTTGTTCCTTTGTGTGAAGGATGAGGTTCATTAGCACTGACGTTGCCTCTTTTGATGGAAGGACGTTTTGAAATCGTGCGAATAAAAGTGCCTCGGACGGGAGGCATAGGGGTCTACGGAGCAGCAGTCGATGGCGAGAATGAATATCAGGAGGGGAATTCTATTCTCGAATCTGTCGCGATGTATCTGAGCTTGCCAATCTCACACCTTGAACATCACAAGTAGAGCTACCCTCTTGTCCTCCGTAATCTTCGCGGTGATACGCCAAAAAGGTCGCTTTGCAGAAAGACAGGCGGTCCTTGGTCAAAGTGATAAGCGAAGTTCAGAGGGAGTTTCCAATCCTATGGAAGGTCTGGCGGTCATAATTGCTGAAGGTGTCAATGTGATAGTCTTTCGAAGGTCGTTGTGCTTGCTTGAGGCCTAGCAGCGCCCACCAGAATGGATATCGCCGCTTGACCTTAATCTGGGTCCAAGCCCTCCATGCATATATAGTGAGGAAGGTCAAAGGGATGGAGACGACGAATAGAATCCACGAGTCCCGTGTAAGGAAGATATGGCCGGAAGCCGTGCCAACGAACGATGTCGAAAAGAAGTTGGACACGACGGTGAACGGGAGGTATACCATAGTCAGGATGGCCAACACCGTGACCGTCACAGCTTCCTCGGCGTTCTTCTCAGCGAGATCAGCCATTCTCTCGTTCAGCTTCCGCATAGTCTCATTTTCTCGCTTGGACTCTTGGGTCAACCCTTGCAATGCATAGCTGCTGTTCAATTCCAGGAAACTCGACTGCAACGCCGTCAGATTCTGCAGGCGAGAATGTATGTCTTCAAGCCGCATGAGGTTCACATTGAGATGGCGCACGATTTCAGCAAACCGCCGCCGCCAACTCTGCAAGTTTGTCGGCATAGCCTCAGGCGCTTCCCATTGATGGCTCTGAAGTTCGGCCTGCAGGAATTCCACATCGGCTCTTGTCGATTGGATGGCCAGTTTGGCCGTCGAAATCTTCTTTTCCAGGATCAGCAAAGCCTGCCGTTCTTCTGCTTCCGGCAAAGGGACGGGCCCAGAGTTGTCCGGAGAGGAACCTAGGAGGCCCATTTCGTGCCGTTCAACCTCATGCATCAACGCGACAACATATGGCCTCCAGTTGCATGCTGCATAGAAGTAGAAAGTGTGGAGTGTCCACCACGGAAATTGCATTTGATGCTCAGCAGATGCCCAGACATCATCCAATAGAGCTTCTGTAGATCTAGATAGCGACACGAACACCCAGACGGCACGAGACCGTTGTCGGTCAAGCCTGGAGAACAACGCGGTTTGGCGGATTGACCATCGCTCACTTGGATTGAGGACGTTGACCTTGCCATTGTCTTCCATGAAACGTATGACCCCCATCGCCTCCCATTCTGGTGATTTAACCGTGATTGAGGCTTCCAAGCTAAAAGGAGGAGGCGCGATTTCCACTTCATATAGTCGTCTTCCAAAATATAGAATGTAGTCTCGAAACATCCGGGGAATGGAGATCTCTTCGCACAAGTGGCCAAAGAATTCCGAAGAGATTGACAGCGCCGCGTAGGAGTTCCGTTTGCGGATGAAGAAAATACATGTCCGCCGCGATTCACTGAGATACTCTCTGAGAGCATCCCGGCCTCGCAAGGTCACCTTTTCGGGATGGCCTATGTCAGCAGACGCGTCGCCTACGGGTTTGACGAGTGCTTTCTCGATGAAAACCCCGAGCGGCAGAGGGTCGACGTTCGAGAGCGACGAAACCTCTTGCCAATCGCTTTCAACTGTCGAGTCCAAGGATGCATACGTCTCGAGCCTAGAGGCTGGGTCGTCTTTGGGCAAGAAAAGAGAGCCTGTCGTCTCTTCGAAGAGCTGGTCCGTCGCGAGATTCCGGTACGCGCCCATCCTGATGAGATTGGGCTGCCGCATCCGCCATCAAGCCACCGACATGGTGATCGTATCTGCAATTTACGGCGACTAGGCTGTGGAGCGAGAAGCGAGGACAGAAAGCACCGACATTGGAAACATCCGCGATATAAATGTCGATAATCGCACAGCCCTCCCAGTATGAGCTGGGCAGCAGATTCGGGGCACGTCGATCAAGACTAGTGGCTGCCCAGGCGACTGTGAGGCTGGCATGCAAGTGGCTCGTTACAAGGGCCAGTGGGCTGGTGAGGCTCAGCCGCACAACACAAGAGTTGAGGCGAGAGGCTACTGGCAAATGCTCGACACCAGCCTCGCCAACATCCCGATTCACCACACCACCATCTGAGAAATTCTCCAGGCTACACACGCAGTCTCAAATAAGGCCTTGGAGACAGCCGCTCTTGTTGCTTGATCAGGTCCCTTGTCCTGCGATGTACGTACCTAGGTATGATTCAATTGCCACTTCGCCAGGACCAAGTGTTGCGGGTGGACTGCATGAGGCATCAGCAGCCTCACGGACGAAACCCTCCTAGAATGCACGATATCCCCTCTGAAGTGGATGCCTACGGCACAGCCAAGGATCAGTTGCGGTTGGGGTTGAGAAGGAGGTTTTCATCCACCCTCTAGGATCCAGCCCGTAAATGGTGGGCAATATGGGTTTTGGGGTTCGCGAGTAATTTTACTTCGTACAAGAAAGCCTCCCTAGGTGCTTAGGTAGGTAGCTCGGTGCCCAGGGTCGAGTACCGAGGGCTCAACTTGGGCAGAGAGCCTCAGCCATTAGCTGCCTCTTACGTGTGGAGGTTAAGGGAGTTACGGAGTCTTCTCGGCATTCATATCTCTTAGAGTGGGCTGGAAGCGCTAGATTTCCGCACTCCACATCCCCCACAGTGCTGTGCTGGATATTAACACACTAAGTAGTCCGGAGTATCCTGCAACTACCTTCTCACATCAGCGAGCTCAGATATTTTCTCCTGGCCGATCGAACCCCACAGCTGTCTCTGCTGTTGCCATCAATGAGCACCGCAGGGGCCACCAAGGGTCGAGACTACTCACTCAAGTTAGAGAAGCAGAGGGTCGTCGCCGTCGCTAATGGAACCTCCCAAGAAGAAGGCAAAGCAAAGCGTTGCGAGGAGGGCTCCCTATGCCGCCGCTGCCTGCGACCACTGCCATGGGCGTAAGTTGAAATGCTCCGGGGATCGCCCTTGTCTTCGCTGCAAGAAACATGCCATCTCGTGCAGTTACCCTGCGGCAAGGCCTGAGTCAAGCTCGACAGTTCAACAGCAGGATGGCCAGACGTAAGTCTCGTCACAAGTCCCCAAACCGCGGTTGTATCAGAGACGGGTGGCTGACATCAACAGCATCCCAGAGGCACTGTTTGCTAGCATCGAAGACTTACAACGCAACCTGGATGACTTTAAAACGCAGCTCCGCGGCGCTGCTGCCGCAGGACAGCCAATAACTGCAAACCTGAGCCCGCCAGAAATACATCAGCAGCCTCATAGCCCGGACGCAAATGAGCGAGACGGACTTGCAGCAGCAAAGAACCAGCCAGATCCAGACATCCTTGATGTATACGCCGGGCCTACTAGTTACGCTTTCGGAATGGTAACGGCCGATGCAAGACTTTCCAATCTCACGCCTTCCAGTAGGGACTTGACCACGATCGATAGTCCCTCTCCTCCACCGATTGTAGGTCATGGGCTTCCAGAATCAGTTGCTCAGCTTGCAGACCCCTGGGAAGCTCACAGCGAAACTTCACTGGAGAAATTCACGCTGGAAGACGCCGTACAGTGCTTGGACACCTTTCAAGCTGTGTTCGGGGTCCTCCATTCTGTGCCGCAGCTTGAGAAGATAAGGCAAAGTTTGCCTAGTCTGTTACGGTCTGCAAAAAGATCGCTCTGGAGCCGGCCCACCGCTCCAGGGCACTGTGGCCTTTTGGAGATGCTGAAGATCATCCTTGGAATCGCCCTGGTGGCACAGACTGGCGGTAGAACAAAGTTGTCAGACACCCTTTACCAGAGTGTCGAACCTACTATCGTTGCTGCTGTCTTTCAGCGCTCCATCAGTCATGATTTTCGAGCCTTGCTGCAGCTCGTGGTATGGGAAGTGCAGTTACAAGAAAGCTAATTACTAACTATGCACCAGGCCATGTATCACTTCAGCAACGAGGACCTAGTCCTTGGATCCAGAGCTATTATGTATGCGGCACGCACGGCTGTCGAAGAAGGGCTCTATCGAATGGAAAAGCTCATGGTGATTGTCCCCGATGAAAAGGAACGCCAGGTGGTAATCCGGCAACTGTGGAGCCTGTTTGTCCTCGACCGTCAATTCAATTTCGCCGCCGGATTGCCGCACCATCTCAATGACGGTGACGTCGACCTGCCCGCCCCTGTAAGTCTTCTCCGAACACTCTGAGCACGGCTGCTGATGAAGTGATCCATTAGGTCGGCGACGGCTACCTCGCTGCAATGGTCAATTACGTGACATTCGGAGCGCAAGCATGGAACTCGTTGGTGAATCGAAGCCTGCTGGCGAGTGGACAAGCTCCGTCAAAAGACGCGATGAATTTCTTTCACTACCAGGTCCATCAATGGCATCAGGACTTGGACCCTTCAGTATGCTTCGACGCCGCGACAATAGAATCCGACGATCATAGCTTCTTCACCTCCACGTCTGATGAAGTGGAGGTGTATCGCAAGACACTTCTGTATCTCCGTGCAAATCAGATCCAGATCCTCGTCCTCCGTCCCATACTCATATATCCTCAGACTGCTCGCAACAATACCGCCTTGGTTATGGAAGCTATCAGCTTAGCGAAAAGATCCATCAGAACACTGAGAGTCTTGGCCACAGACGTCTACTTTTATAGAACAAGGCAAGCACTCTTCAATCATTTTCTCTCCTCTGCATTGGCGGTTCTCTTTCTGGTGGCAGCATATGATGCGGAAACCCGGGCGAATAAAGCTGTCTCTGCGGACAGCGCAACCACACTGCTGGGAGACTCGACGATTGAGCTTCAGCGAGGCCTCGATCTGATCGACTATCATCGCTCCCATTCGCAGTCGGCAGCCAGATTGTGGGCGCGCTTCTACCGGCCAAGACAGCAGCTAATTCGACTGGGTATTTTATCAAGCACTGTTGAAACAAGATACCAAGAAGACCAGCATACCCACCAGGGTCCAGCAAGGGTAGGTCGAAACGAAACGCCGGAACAGGGAGGGCCTCGCCCAGAAGGCATAGTCGCCGACGGAGAGGGAGATCTTACCTCCCAATTAGACACTTCCATTCTCACTGACTTTGACCCAACAAACTTTGACCAAGAGAACGGTCTATTGTGGCTGGACTGGTTTGATGGGGCGTTCATGGATTCGTCCGTGCCGTTCGGCGTGCCAGGATGGATGTGATGGACTGGAGACGGATACGGCCACCGAGCGTGTCATCCGATTAAGTAACGTGCGTATCGTACGCAAGCCTGACTCGATCACCCAACTCGAAGCCCTACTCCGCTTCATGGCGATCTGGACGGCGTAAGCACCGAGACACTTCCCGTACAGGTATTTGAGGGAGGGCTCAGCAACAAGCCTAGACCGTGTGGCAAACCGGACGACTTGTTATCCTAGGACACCCATTGGCCCAAGTCGCATATCAGAAGTAGCTATCTTAAGAGCCACAATGTCCACCGGGTCACCTGTTCCATTTCTCCACCGGGTCTGGGGGTCGTCCTTTCCTAACCAACTTCTTTCCCGGCTACTCTGGTCGAGCGGTCTCCTCCCGCCTCTGGAAGAACAACAGACCTCTGTTCACAGGGATAGAGCACAGCAGGGTGAAGGAAGAGGTGATGGGCCGATATCGGCAATCAAGGTGACTTTAGAGATCCAGATCTATGTTGCGAGACAAGATGCCACGAGGAATTCGAGTTGCTGCTCAAGTACCATGGCGGTAGGGCCCGCACCGTCGAATTAAAGCAGCGCTTGGGTGGAGACCGAAAAAGACAGGCTCCACACTAAGTTGGGGTGCTAAAGCAGCGCGGGGCCCCTCATTATCAGGTTTTCTCCTCCTGCTGCGAGCTTCAACTTCGCTTCTCAACCATCTGGCAGCAGTCCATCTTGCAGCCCACACGTGGTAATGAGCAGTGTTGTCTCTGAGACTAATGATCCTGGCCAGATACAACCCCCAGCTGCTCGTCTACATGTCGCTTCTTAACGGGAACGCAGCGATCTGTGGCCAAGCCTGTGCCCTTGCTCAGAGAGGGCTTACAGCGCCCGGATCCGGTGCCATGCTGGCAGTTTGGGCCGAAGCGTTCCAGGCTCCATACCAATCTCACCGCCAATGATCTGCCGTCCCTGTATCCTTCCGACGGAGTTAGGAACAAAAGAACCACCTTTCCCCAATCCTGATAGCGACTAATCCATCCGAAATAGATGGGAAAGCATGGTACCTCCCGCCCGCCGTCAAGCTGTCTGAGCGAACGGAGCCGTACCCTGCCGTTACCGACGCCTCGTAGGTGTGCAAGATAGACAACAAGGTCACCACTGGCCGCTGTCCCCGCCACCCAACCCGCATTTCCCCAACTTGTTCCCCCTGATTGATCCACCTCCCGCAGAACATTCCACCGGGACCCGCCCGGCATCCACAAATCATGGTCTTTCCTACGGTATGGTTCGGTGTTGATATGGGCGACCAGCCTGATGACTGCGCATAGGCGATGATCCGGCAGTTGGAGAACACATGGCGACAGGAGCATTCCTTGCGACCATGTCAAGGGCCTTCACCGACCATTTAAGAGCTGTGACCCTCCCTTGCGCAGCTGTCCCGGTCTCTCGGAGTTCCTGCGAAAGTTGTTCCACCACAGTCATACCACTATCATCAGCACACAAGCTCCGTTCGAGCTTCGACACACTCCAGACTGCAGTGCCCCTGCCATCTTACTGACTCCTAACCTGCGTCTCCTCAACATGGACGAAAAGGTAGCACGAGCGGACCAAATGGATATCGCCTATGACAGCGACCCGAAGAGAGAGGCCGTCGAAGAAATCGAGGGCGTCAACGGGCTGAAGACGGTCGAGGCCGGCTTCTCAGCTGACCAAGTGATCGTCGAGATTGACCACAAAGAGCGGACGCGGATTCTGAGAAAGGTTGACTACCGCTTGATCCCCATCCTTGCGATCTTATACCTGTGAGTGAGAACTGGGGGCCCGTTGACGTTCGTCTGCTGACGGAACCACCAGATTAGCATTCATCGATCGTGGCAACATCGGAAATGCCAAAATTGCCGGTCTGTACGATGACCTCCATCTCCATGGAATGCAATACAACACCGCCTTGACGTTGTTCTTCGTGCCGTATGGCTTCTTTGAAGTACCCTCCAACATTGTGCTCAAGATGCTCCGACCGTCGATCTGGATTTCCATCTTGATGTTTTGTTGGGGTAAGACGTCCTACAATAATATCCTATCTTCACAGCCTGACTTGCGTAGGGACCGTGATGACTCTGATGGGCGTGGTTTCTACTTACGAGGGGCTCTTGGTAACCCGATTCTTCCTCGGTGTGGCAGAGTCAGGCTTTTTCCCGGCCGCGACATATCTCCTCACGATCTGGTAAGCAGTCCAATCTCTGCACCTACCGGGGAAGAGAAAGCCAGAACGACGACGTTCTAACGCATGCAGGTACTTGCGATACGAGGTCCAACGCCGGATGGCTCTGTTCTACGCTGCGGCCTCACTGTCGGGTGCCTTCTCTGGGTTATTGGCGTACGGGATCCAGCACATGGACGGCGTCGCAGGGCTGGCCGGCTGGAAATGGATCTTCATCATCGAAGGCCTGGTTCCCGTGGCCGGCTCCTTTGTCGTCTGGTTCGTGCTGCCAGATAACCCGGAGACGGCCAACTTCCTCACCAAGGACGAGAAAGAATTCATCATCAACCGACTGGCTCTGGAAACGGGTTCGGGGCACGGCCGGGTGACGAATGCTGACCGCATTGGAATACGTCACATCACTGCGGCTTTCAAGGAATGGAAGATCTGGGCTGGTGTGGTCATATTCTGGGCCAACACGGTAGGTCGCTCCCTGTTGGGAGGCTGAGCCTTGAGGCCCCCATCTGTAGAAACTGTGCTGACGGGTGATTTTGCAGATCGGTGTCTACGGCTTCACCGCCACGGTCCCCTCCGTGATTGAGAACCTCGGATACACCTCGGCCAACGCACAGTTGATGACGATCCCGGTAGGTTCTGCTCAGCCGATTGGGAAGACTTCCTTGTCGCGAAGGAACTCCTAGCTTTCGGTTTTCTCGCTCAATAAGGCTGCGAGCTAACTGAAGGTTTGTTGACAGATTTACGTCTTCGCCATGATCATGACGCTCATCTTTGCATTCTGGTCGGACCGAGTCCAGCAGCGAACCCCGTTCATCATGGCCGGCTTCAGCATCGCAGCAGTCGGCTTCATCGGCGAGCTCGCCATCCCGCACCCCAGGCTGCCGGGTGTGACGTATTTCTTCCTCTTCCCGCTGGCGGCCGGTCTTTATTGCCCCTTCATCTGCCTCGTGTGCTTGATCGGGAACAACCTGGCTCCTAGCTCCAAGCGTGCGGTCGGCATGGCTCTGCTCATCTCCATCGTGGGTGTCCTCTGGCCTGTAATCTTGGACGGTTTGTGCTGACTACATATCCAGGGTAATTTCGGAGGTATCGCCGGAAGCAACATCTACATTGCGTCGCAGGCGCCGAAGTATCCGACTGGATTCGGGACCGGGCTGGGAATCTGCGTTGTCGCGGTCATCATGGCCTACGTCCTGCGGGTCGCGTACCGACGGGAAAACGCGAAGCGGGATGCCTTCATGGTTGGCAAGACCGACGAGGAGATCAAGGCACAGTACACGGAGCAGGAGCTGCTGGATCTGGGAGACAGGAGCCCGTTCTACCGCTACACCGTGTGAACAGACTGCCCAGCGGGTGAGCCGACGAAGCGGAGCGGTTGTTTTGATAGCTTGAAGAGGGAGTAGTAGTGAATTGCGCGGATGCCTCGACGTGGCTCATGCCTCTATGGTACCTGTAGCGCAGCGACAACTATGTAGGTATCTATATTAGTGGTGTGTAGACCATCTCCCCAGGCAGGTGCACATGCGTATATAATCTGTACTTCTGAGCACGTTGAATCTTGCGCCACGCGAAAACCTTTATGTCCCTCCGATGCTATGGATTTACAAGGGACAACCGTCTCAATTATGCAACACGGTAGCTGTGCCTGAGGAGCCTTGGTGAGTGCGCTATGCCGGGGCGTACAGACACACTCGTACAGCATAATGGCTATGTACAAGTATCATTTTAGCCAGGCGGGCTTAGGTGCCTGTTAGAGATGTGCCCAGGTACCAAGCCTCGAGGTCGGAGCGCAACCAATCAGATATCCAGAATGCACCACGTGTAGGCACTGACGCCTCTCGTTGGACCTAATCCCACCGATCTGATTGGCCGCTGATGGCCCTCTGCGTGGCCTCGATCAGGAAAAGTCCAATATGCGTTCCAGGGCCCCGAGACAAGCCTATTGTCCCCGTGCGCGCAGCGGTGACACACCTTGAGAAACTCGAGAGATTTCCGCGGGACGAGGCAAAGGGGGAATGGGTTGTTGTTTCCCTGGCGCACGGCAGGAGAAAAGGGAGGTTGACTGAACGTCGAGACAGAGTTTCGATTAGCTCGCCCCAGGACCCGGCAGCAGATCGGCGGCGTTAAAGCAGCAACTCACACTTGTGTGTCTTCCTCCGTCTTGTCCGTTGTGCTTGCGTAAGAACTCGCGAGGGACTTCTTCTGCTACTTGTTACTGTTACGGGCACGGACACCTCTTGGTCGATACATAGACCACGCGGGGGGGCCGAGGTGACAAACAGGGCCCTACGAGACTTCTCGGGGCTTCGACAACATCGCTGCTCTCCCCTCGGCGCATTCAGGGGCCAACAAGAAAGACCAGGAACAAGCTCGAAAACAAAAGCAAGATGCGTCCGTCGCTCGCGCTGCGGCTCTCCCACATCCGCCTCACGCTCTTCACCCGCGCCAACTGCGGCCTCTGCGACGTGGCCAAAGCGCGCGTCGGCGAGTTCATCGCCGCCTCCGACAAGGCCACCAGCCAGTCCGCGCGCGTGGTCCACTACGCGGAAATCGACATCATGGACCCGGCGCAGACCAAGTGGCGGGACGTCTACGAGTTCGACGTGCCGGTGCTGCACGTCGACAACAGCAAAGGAGAGGGAAAGGGAGATGCGAGGCCGGAGCACAACGACTACGCTCCGACCCTCGACGCGGCCAGGAAGCTTATGCACAGGTTCACGGCACAGGAAGTGGAAAACGCGGTGGACGAGGTTGAGCAGCTACGAAGCTCGTCTTTGTGATTTTCGCCGCAGCTCACTCTTTTTTCCCCCGGGGGGCAGCTGTCCTGAGAGTTCTTGATCACGGCAGCCCCCTTCTTTTTATTTCTTTTCCTGCGTCACCAGGCTCGCCGCCCCGTATGCGGCGCCTTTCACTGCCTGGGCGGCCGCATGGCCGTACGAGCCCTTGGCCTTGGATAAAGACTCGGCCATGAACACGGGGACGGCGGTCATATCGTTCACGACGGAGATCTGCAGCACAGTCGTCAGCATCTATATCACACACACACACACACACATGCACCGGGGTGTGACGGACCATCTGGAACCCCATGTCGGCGTATTGTCGCGCCACCTCGCCCGACGGGCAGTATATGCCGGACTTTTTCCCGGCGGCTTGTGCGGCCTTCAATATCCTCGCAATCGCCTCCTTCAGCTCGGGACTAAAGTCGCCTTTGACTGGGTAGCCGATGTTGTTGCCCAGGTCCCAGGGTCCGATGAAAAGCACATCAATACCATCCACCTTGGCGATTTCCTCGACCTAAACCACTCCCAAAAAAAACAGTCAGTCTCTTTCTCCACACCCCTCAACTTGGGTCCCTCAGCTAGTCGGGGAGGGGGGCAGTTTGTACGCACACAGTCCAAAGCCTCCTTGGTCTCGATCTGCACAATGGTCAAGAGATTCTCGTTGGCGTTGTTCATGTAGTCGAACCCAGACAGGTCGCCTTTGCCGTCGAACGCGCCCATGGAGAAGGGGCTGCCGAAGCCTCGCTTGCCGTACGGCGGGAACTTTGCGGTCTGCACCAGCCTCTTCGCGTCGTCGACGCTGTACAGCAGGGGCACGATGATGCCGTGGGCGCCGGCGTCCAGGGCGCGCTTGACCATCCAGCCTTCGTTGGCCGGGATGCGCACGATGGGGCTCACGTTGCACGAGGCGACCGCGTGGACGGACTCGTGCATCTCATTGTCTGAAGCAAAGTGTCATTCGGGCCTTGTCAGCCTCTCCCATGACCCCGTTTTCTCCGCCCCCCGGCCTTGACCAGCCCGGTGTCTCCAATGTAGCGTTCTCACTCACCTGCAATGTTGCCGTGCTCGCAGTCAATGCAGATCCAGTCGAAGCCTGCCCGGGCGATGGTCCGCGACAGGTGCGTGCCGGGGAGCATCTGCCACGCGCCGAACGAGAGGCCCGACCCGGTATTCAGCGCCTTGCGCAGCGTGTTCGCATTCTTCATGATCGTCGCCATGTTGGGGCTCGGGAGGAGGATGGGGAGGGGGGGGTTGGTCGGCCGGGTGAATGTGATTCGAGGTCGAGGAAGTGGGGAGGAGAGGACGAGAATGGATGTCGAGCCTGAGGTCTCTGTCAAGAATACCTATGTAGGTATGTATGTATGTATGTAATTGCAGAATGAAAATGAAATACAGACGGGAGAAAAAAGGGATTTGAACCTGCGCAAACTTTCCACGGAGTCCTTCGTCTGTTCTTTTCTCCCCTCCCCAATTTCTGCATCTCAATGGCCCGTGCCGTGTAATATGGCCTGTCCCTGCGCCCTTTTGCTGCCCACTGCCGCCGTTGTCGGCGCTCCCCACCTCACTCCTCCCTCACTCACTCACTTATCCACTCACTCGCTGGCTGGCTGGTACAACATGACGCCGAGGGGTAATTATTGGGAGTGGGGGTGTGAACACTCGCAGCTTAGAGAGCGAGAGAGGGGGGGACGCGCGGGGGCGTTGGAACATGTTGTCATTGGGGGGGGTGATTGATTAAAGCCATGGGCTTTGACCCTTTGGGTGCCCTCGGTGGGTGTTGCACCGAGAACAAAAGCCAGGGAGCAAGCAGGAGAGCTTTTGATTATGACGCCCACGACTCGGGAGGTCTCTAAGCATTAGCTAGCTCGCTACTGTACCTACCCCCCGGCCACTCCCCTCGTTTACCCAGGGTACTTGGAGCATTCACCAGAACCCGACGGTACGGATATCGGGACATCCGTCACGCTGTTGAGCGTCTCTTCACAACTACAATATTAAATCCTCGGTACTCTCCATAACATCATACGCCATTACCGTCCTCGTGCACAGTGCTGGAACTGTTTCATGTTTTTTTCATAACATTGTCGCTTTATCTACACAGACCCCGCTACAGTTTGCTGCCGCTCGGCCGCTCCAGCGCCTTGGTCGCGTTCCGGTAGTTCTTGACCAGCTGGCGGACGGCCAGGTCGAGCATGACGTCCTCGCTGCCGCCGGGGATCCGGGCGCCGGGGACCTCGCGGTAGATGCGCTCGGCGATCTCGCCCTGGCCGGTGCGCGTGTAGCCGTTGCCGCCGAACAGCAGCACCGCCGTCTGCGCGCACTCGTTGAACACCATGCCGGCCTTGGCCTTGGCCAGCGCCGTCAAGCCCCCGAGCTTCGCGTCCGCCTCGGGCTTGCTGAGCTGCGTCATCTGGTACAGGAACTGCTCCACCCACGCCTGCATCGTCTCGAGCTCCGCGCCCGCCTTGGCCAGCCGGTGCCGCACCACCGGCTGCTCGATGAGGGCCTTGCCGAACGCCTCGCGCTTCATCACGTACTCGAACGCCGCCGAGAGGGCCACGCGCGACTGCCTCGTCACGCCCACCGCGATGGTCAGCCGCTCGTGGTTGAAGTTGGTCATGACGTAGCGCATGCCCATGCCCTCCTCGCCGATGAGGTTCTCCACGGGCACCTTGACGTCGTCCAGCTCGATAAAGGTCGTGCCTGCGCTGATCTGGCCGGCCACCTTGAGGCGACGCATCGTCACACCGGGGTAGCCTTTCAGCGGGCACACAATCATGCTCAGACCTGAGGCGCCGGGACCACCTGTGCGGACGGCCATTGCAGCGTAGTCTGACCAGAAGCCGTTGGTGATCCATTTCTGCTCTTCAATTAGCCCAAACTCAATGTCCCGAATCTCTTGAAAGCAAAGGCGGTATTAACCTTTTGACCATTGATAATGTAATGCTTTCCATCTGCGCTCTTCTTGGCCGTCGTCGCAATGTTGGCGACGTCACTGCCGGCGCCGGGCTCGGTGATGGCGATACACGCCCGTTTCTTGCCGGGAAGGAGATCTAGGAGGAACTTCTCGTGCAGGGCCTTGCTTCCGAACTTGATGATGGCGGGGATACCTGCAGATCCAAACACCGACGACCTCAAAAAGTCAGTCCAACAGATTTCCTAATGTGTGCGCATGTGTTTGCCCTGGAATGAACACCCACCGAAAGCATGACCGGCAGTCATGGAGGCGCCGGGCCCGCCGACACCAGCGCGGCCCATCTCGTCCAGGTAGATGCCCGTGTGCAGGTAGTCCCACTCCTCGATCGGGGTGCCCAGGATGTCGTAGATGCCGACCCTCCGCAGCCACTCGACGGGCAGCGGCGCGGGCAGGTTGGGGATCAGCATGTTGTGCTTGCGGAACGTCTGGAACAGGTGGTCCGGCACCGTCTCCTCGCGCTCCCACTCCATGGCGTACGGGAGCAGGTGCTCCTCCAGGAACGCGCGGCATGCCTTCTGGAATCGCTTGTGCGTCTCCTTGTAATACGGCGAGGGTAGGCCCGCGAGCCACGGCGGCTCGGAGAAGGGGATGAGAACGTTCGACGGGGAGGACGACATGGCTGTGGTGTGTTGCTTGGGGTGTCAGAAGCGGCGGAGGGGAGAAACCAAGGTAACCACGAAGTTTTGCAGGGTGTCTACACGATAACAATCAATCAATCCCTGTGTAGCGAAATACCTTGCAGCTTCGAGATTGTCGAGCACTCAAGGGGACACATTAGTGTTGTAGTCAGACAATCCTCCAGACCTTTATTGTAATGCGCATCTGCGCCGCGTCGGCATCGAGGTAAATGGCACCTGGGAAGCTGACCGACTCCAGCCGACAGATGCCTCGGAAGTTTTGAAAGAGGTTTAATCAGGGGCCGCCCCGCAATGCCCGTCTATTAATGGCTGCCACGTGACGAGGCTACGAGTCGTGATGCTCGATGCTGCGCCGGTGCGGAAACGTGAAGAGACCATGAGTACAAGAATGAAATGTCCTTTCAAAGAAACTAAACTCCCAAATCTACCGCTGTATCTCAACGCCTGGCTGATCGTACACAAGAACCACATGCTCGGACGCCTTCGCCACCACCACCAAGTCATATACAGTTTCATTTGGCCCCAACCCTCATGATATTGTACCCATAGCGCATTCCAGCTCTTTTCCTTCTCGACTAATATGGTGGGTAAGGAGGAGAATTGACACCCACTACCTGCCTGTTCATTCTCTTGGCCGTCGTCCTCATGGTGAAGGCAAAGTGAATCGCTTTCAGGATCTCCCTGACATCCGGCAGGGTCGCCCACGCCTTGACACCCAGTGCGCCACCGTAGTATTGTCCGCCAGTCTCATGTCCGATATGTCGGTGTTGGTTGAAGGAGTCTGGACTGCCGCTTCTGCCGGTCAAGGCCTCCTGTGACGACCTGGCCTCGTCGATGTACTGGGGTGGAATCTCGGACAACGGGAGCATTCGTGGCTTCGTAATGTCGTAGGGGGAAACGTCATAGGCGTAGTGGAAGAAAACGGCAAACGGCACCATTAGGATACAGGTGGTCATGGTGTCGATGCCGAAATTGACATCTGCGTAAGTCATGGTAGAGCTCTGTTTCAGAGCGCCCGTGGAGCGGAGAATGGTGAAAATGATCTGGAAGATGAGACGGTGCGTTAGATAAAGGACAACCAAGTGGAAACACGAGCATATTTCCCGGGTCAGGCGGTAGGAAGAGTTTACATACGTCTTGGAGAAATGATAAGCCGATGATGAGTTTGAAAGCCAGGAACTTGGCAAGCGGCTTGTGGTGCTTCATGTCCTTTTTCAAGGCATTGTAGAAGGCGATGCATGATGTGACGGCAACGCCAATGGAGATGCCGTTGATTATCGTAAGCTGCTCACAGCATAATTAGACCAGCTGGCATTGTAATGGGGCTCTCGCCGCGAGCCCTGGATCGAAGGGTCCTTACCCAGATGTGGGAGAAGTGGATGTTACTGCTCTCGAGGCAATACTTGTTGATTGCTTGGGTGATATCGGTGGCGATGGCGATCCCCAGAGATATAACGACGTATTGAAACACAGAGACCCATCTTTTCTGCGCAATGGCCGTAAGCGACTTGCCCTGTTGACACGTCCGCTTGAACTTACTCTGTACCATTCCAGCCCATCCTGACGGGCATTACCTCCCTTCTGTTTAGCTCTGCGAGATTGCGGGACCTCGAACGCTGCAAAAAAGACATCGCGAAAATCCGGACTCGGCGAGACGAATTCGCAGAGCAAGAGGAAGAAGCTTCCTAGAGCGATGGCTTCCCAGAAGTCCCGCCATGGGTCGAGGTATGGGTACGCGTTTGGAAAGGCGATTCCAAGAAGCGAAAAGATGCTGTAGAACGGAAGGAGGAGACAGATTTTCAGGATCCTGCGATGAAAAGCGTCAACCCCTCTATTTCGGTCCGCAGCAAGATGGGATTGAACTCACTTGCTCTGTTCATTGGGTTTGCTGAAGTGTGTCGCGTGTCTGGCCATGAGAATGAAGATGGACAAGCAGACGAATGCGGTACAACCGCCCGAGAGGCACAGGTTGAATTGTCTGAAGGAAAGGCTCCCAATGAATGGTTCCGGAGCATCTGGTTTGCACCGTTAATGGAGGGCGAATCCCTTGTTCTGCTCGTCTTCGACGTACCGGCTTGTAGAGGGTTGGGCATGCTGCACACGGGCGTGTCCCCGTCATCCTTATCGAATAGGCCCATCTTTGCGGAGGTCTTGTGCAGGTTGCGGTGTACTTCACAATTCTTTCTGATATTCAAAGAAACAGATGCTTCTGTGTCGTCTCGAGTAATGGTGGGGGAGGAAACAAGAGTTGGAGTGTCTGCCAGGCTTTATAGCATCCATTGAAGTTGATCGTCCTGCTGAAATGCATCATGGGCTGGGTGTTTGGGATTTCAGGCCCTCCATAACCTCTTTCAGGCAAGTGTACGAGATAGCCACAGCATTCTAAAGGCCTATCCCTCTGCAAGGGGGCAGTCCGTGTTGGCGATCTCATGTGTGAAGGTCGAATCGCACCGCCCTCGAGTTTGGAATATGTCATAGTTCGAGGCAATGCGTGTTTCGAGTCTTCACAGAGGATAGGCAGCGATTATCGAGGGGATTTTCACCCCATCAACAGTCTTCGGCCGCTCGGCCCCGTAACTTCAGCCTTGTGGCGCAGCTCGAATTGATTACCGCAAATGGCTAAGCGTGGATAAACGCATTCCACTGCTTCATCTCGCTCCATCGGTGTCTCCGCAGTGCGACCTTCGGGAAGCAAGCGGCGGTGATCAATTGGCTCACAATGCGGAATTGTCTGACCGGCCTCTTTTCCCCTGCGCAAGAGATGATGATTGGGATTGCTCCTCGTACCAAGCGGTGGAGCCCAGTCAGACAAACGTCCTATCATTTCTCACCTGTGCATTGGTTTCGCCTGATGGATACCCAGCCTCGCCAGGTACAATCCAATTCAGGTTAAGAGCGCGAACCTCACTGCGTTCTTTTGCTGCTGCCGTCAAAACGCGACTTTCACAGCCACGACTCATTGACTTTGAAGCCATAGCTGACTCCGCTGAGCTTGCGAGCCTGAAGTATACACTTCGAGTGCATTTTGCGAGGTGGAAATGGATAAAATGGCGTCCCCGGTCAGCTCAGATGAAGCTGGCCGTAGCCAGAAGTCTTTTCGAATTGTGAAGACCAAATCCATCGTTTTATAGGCCTCGTTTTAAGCATGCCGAACGTGGGGAGACCAAGCAGGGATTGCCATCTGTGCCGACAGCGGCGGGTGAAAGTGAGTACTGGTTTGAACAAAGCCATGCCTAGATCTGCATTGACAAACCACCGCCAGTGTGATTTGGGCCAACCGGAATGCAACAGGTGCATACGCTTGGGCAGGAGTTGTCCAGGATATCGGGACGAGTTTGACCTCATGTTCCGCGTCGAAAGCCCTACTTCATTCGCTCAGGGCGTGAACCGAGATCGCCGACGCAGAAGGCTCAGCCCGCCACAACCCTCAGGTCCTCGGCGAACATCCTCCCCGCTTGCAGAAAGCATGGGATCTGGGAAACGGACCGAAGAAGACAATCCGCCGCCCAGAAGACTGCTCGATCCAGGTGACGCCAGCAAACTGTGCAGTAGCAACTGGAAGCTAACGCGGGTAGATGTTGTGATTTTCTCCGGCTGGTATCTATTCCCCACGCGCCAGTTGGCCGAATGCTGGGACAGTCATGCCCTTGCGCTAGCATTCAGCAATATCTCTTGCCCTCAGAGGCATAAAGCCACGTTGGGATTGATCGACACCAATTTCTTGTCGTCTATGGTGTCAGAAGCAGGGCCAGACTCTTCCATCGTGCTGGCCTGCCGAGCGATTGGACATGCTTTTCTCACCCGCAAGAACGATAGACCTGAAACGCGATCCATGCGAGTGGAGACGTACGGGCAAGCATTGAAAGCAACAAATGAGGCTCTTGAGGATCCAGTCACGCAAATGCAAGACGAAACTCTCGCATCCGTGTGGTTGTTGAGTCTCTATGAGGTAAGAAACGCTTCTTGTTATACTTTTTCCCGTTCCATGTCCGCAGGATCCAAGATTGTGTGCTCTTCTTGAATGCAATTGAAAGATCCTAGTACGTCTTTAAGCAAACAAACAGACCAGCGCTAACCAAAACGCACCAGCTCATTGTATCCCCAGGCAAAGGGCATCAGCCTCTCAACTTTTCAGCGCACACCCATGGAATCGGTTCTTGGATTGTCCATACCGAGGGACTGGTAGGTTTACTGAGGCTTCGGGGCATTTCGCATTTCAGTACACCCCTTGGGCGGGATTTGTTCTGGCTGATCTATAATTCAATAGTGAGTGATTGTTCCAGTCGGTCACCTTGTGATCGTGTCTTGCTAATTGGATTTTTAGCAAGTGAGATGCTTCATCACCAACATGGGCAGCCCCTCAGAGTCTCCGAGCTGGTTTCGAGAACTGGAAAAGGCCCTGACTGAAGACGAACTGCCCACTTATCGGCTCTGCGTATATGGTCACCATGCGTCCACTCTTTGCGCCAGTATTCGACAAATCATCAATCAATGGACAACCGGTGCGCTCGGCGCAGCAACAGAAATAGTCGCCGAAGTCGAGAGCTTTGAGAGGAGAATGCAGCAGTTGTGGGATGTCAGCCCTGCCAGTCCTGGGGCTGGGACTGAGCTTGTCGCCGACTCTGACTTGAACATTCGGCATCTATGCTGCCGCACATACCTTCATGCGTTTCGCTTGAAGCTGCAGCTGACTCTGTTGGAGCTTTTGGACAAAATGCGAGGAGAGGCGCTTGACGTAGATTCACGGACACTGCAGGATCAATTTCAGGTTAGGATCGGGACTGTCCAAAGTGCGGCTGATGAAATCCTGGCGTGTGTTCCTCTTCTCCTCTCGACGGACTCTCCCTCGGGAGGCTCCCAAAGGCTGACTCCCAGACTTTGGAGAGATGGAGTCCGCCTGCTCTGGCCGCTGAGGCTTGTGGCTCTTTGGGATGCAACCAGAGATGACCAGAAGAAGGCTGCAAAGATCACGCTTCAACAAATAAGGGACGAGGTGGGAATCAACCCAGCAGGAGCATTCCCCCAGCCCTTCTTAGCAGAGTTAGCAACAATGAAACGAGACTGAAGTCTGATGGCTTAGACTAAAGATTCAAGCATGACCCTTTCCCACATTGCTGATGAGATCTGCGAGCTCTTCACCAACGTCCGGCTTCTACTGACGTAGGATTCTGCATGCCATGCAGCTGTGCGGAGCACCTGTTAAGGCGTGACAAGCGTCAGCCACAGCTGGAGCTTGACTAGCGGATCTCGAGAAGAGACCCCAAAGAGGAAATCTGCACGAACCAATCGTGGTGAAGATTGCTGAGGGGGCGAAAGGGGAATTGAGCACAGCCATCACGACGGATATCAGTGGACGAACTCGGGTCCGAGTCCCATGCATACATCAATGCTAAAGCATCGGTTGCTGGAGTCCTCCTAGTCGAGCGGAGAGGCCGTCGTTCACGATGTTCACCTCCTGATTTGGTCGTGAGCTAGAACTCGTCCCTCGATGTCGAGGCTTTTGCTTCAGAGGCCCCGAGCCAGGAATTGCTCTCCAACTTCGTTGTCCATTATCAGTATATCTTACATATCAGGCAGCACGCATCTTCATATATTCATTACTGCAGCTGGTGCAGTATTCGTCGTACCAGCCCTTGAGATCATCACCAATGTCCGTGTAGTTCTGCTCCAGGTCATTCAATACCAGTCCCTCCACAACCTGGCAGCGTCGATGCTCATCCACAACCCATTGTTCCCAAGCGGCCTGCATCATCTGCTTCTCAATGCTGTTCACGACACGCACCGCAACAAGGAGATCGTGCCGCTGAGTCCCCAGTCGTTGACGCGTCTGCTGGACTTTTGCCGCCGGCGTCTGTCTCAGTCCAGCTTGAAAGTACTCCGGATCATTTTCATCATAGAAAACGCTATAGCAGGCACTGGAATCGCGCGCTGGCAGGTTTGCTTTCCGACTCAGAATGTCGTCCAAGTCACTGATATACACTGCTCGGCTCATGACAGTATTGGGCGAGATACCTAGCCGAGCCATGAAGTTCCCGGCTCGGCGTTCGTGCCACCAGTCAAGTGAGTCTCGATATGTGTGCCAACTATTGTACAGTGCCGAAACGGCAAGTGCCACCAATATGAGTTTGTTAGCAGACAGCGTTTTGGCAAACCATCTCAGGATGCTCAACAACGACTGAAGGAGAGTACCCAAGGCACTCTCCGCCGTGGAGGCAGCGCTCTGCGCCAATAGTCCGGTGATTGTTCGGGAAACTGGCTGCCTTCTCAATTCGATGTTGAGCGCCGATGATTCTAACAGAAGCTGTGTTGTTTCTGTCGAATGGCCAACTTGACCAAAAATCTGAATCGCCTTCTTGGTGCGACTGTGGAGACCAAGCTTGCGGACTTGGTCTGCCACCAGATCCGCGAGATCTTGAGAATCGAGTTCGAGGTCATATAACGCTTGTCGCTCAACCACTCCTCCCAGCATCCAGGCTGCGCGCAACCACTCTATCTTGATGAAAACCGCTAGCTTGCATCGGGCCTTTGCCACGTGAGTGATGACGATCCTGCTGACGAGGCGATGATTGTTTTGGTAAGGGAGATGCCATGGGGTTCGCTTGTCGGTAATGACGTAGCATAAGTGATCACTATTAACATCGATCGTTTGATAGTCATGAACTTGTGCATAGGTTTCTCGGCCGAACAAATTTTTGGCAGGCGTGTCAAAAGTGAACTCTCTTCGAAGGCGTCCTTCCCCGACGCTCAACCATGGCCCTTGGGACACATTCTTCGCCCGTCTTTCATGTTGAAGCAGTTGCCACAATGCGCTTTTATCCCCAAACATAACATGGAATAAGGCCTTGGCGCTGATGTCGAATTCTTTCTCGACCGCCAGGCGTAGATTCCCAGGGGGTGTGTAATTCACGGGTTGAGCGGGCAGCTTAAATTTCGACTCCCTCCGGCCCAACTGGTTCTGATGAAGGGTACGATCAACCCGCAGTGGGCCTCGTAGTTCAGTCCCAATGGTTGATGCTCTGCCTCGATATCGAGGCCCGCCAGTGTCAACGGGCGTATTTGGAGATACATCCTCCCAACTCTCCAGGCTGGGGCTCCTATCGGGAGCCTCGGTCTCCATTTTGATCAGAGCCTTCATCAGCCGTTCCAGATTGAGAGGCTCATCGGAAGCACTGTTTCTGATCAGAAAGTTCAAGCGCCTTTGCAGAAGTCTCAAAGGTTCTAGAAATGTCTTGATTGTGATTCGTCGGTTACTGGCATCGCTTGCAGCGTCCTTCAGGTGCAGGAAGATAAAGTCACAGTCTCTTCCAGGAGCGGCAGTGGCCTCGTCAATGGATGCAAGAGGCACATTCGATGTGAGGACCAAGCCTAGATGGTTGCTGTAAAAGTAGATGTCCCTGGGAGTGACGTAGACTCGGCCAGGGAATTCTTGTTGCTCGCTTGGGTTCCAGGTTGCCCTGAAAACCATGACCAGTCTGTCGTCACGTCTTACGTTCGGAAACAGAAGGCGGAACTGTGCATCCTGAGACTTGAGCTGCAGAGGATAATAGTTAGGGAAGTCAGGCACAAGTAGATCATTACTGATTTGCTTCGCGGTGTCGCGATCCACACTTATAGTGCTCCTGTGCTGTTTCTTACTTGGCGACGGAGTCCGGCTTCGTGAGCCCATTTGAGGCACACTCAGGTCAAGCTGCGGAATATTGTGTTGCAAGGGAACAGCTGACCGGGTAGGTGTAGATGATGTTTTCGGAGGAGAAAACGATGGCTGAAGCGTTGGGCTTCGCTGTGCCAGGAGTTTGATTTCGGTCTTCTCGTTTGGGTCAGTGCGTTCAAGTCTGTTCAAGACAGCTATGCAGGAGGTGCCCCAGGTGTTGGCCAACAGCCCATTAGGAAGTCCAGTCCTGTCCGGAGCAGGGCTTAAGCCCCGTTCCCCTGTAATGATCACTGCCGACTTGCTCAGATTGGTTGGAGACGGTACCGAAGCCAAAGTCGAAGGCGCGAGACTGCTGGCTGGCATATCCCGAAGAGCCAACGTAAATGCACTCCGTGGCTTGGAAAACTCGCCATCAGCATTTTGAAGCATGGGGACACTCGGACCGACAGGCATAGAACCATGAGTAGCAGCAATCAAGCCAGCAATACCACCAGGAAGATTCGGTGTCGATGGGCTGGCAGACACCTGAGTCGGAGCTGGACTCTTTCTGTGCAAATCGAGCTTTGAAATGATGCGAGAGGCAGTGTCACGATGACCGCTCTCCTCCAAAGCTGTTGACCTTCTAGGCAGGTCCACACTACTGTCGCGCCCATGATCGGTCCCCGGAATTGGCAGGGTGTTGGTCTTTTCCAGAGCGGCGATATCCTCTCCCACAGCACCCGGTTCTGTCGACCCAAGGATGAAAGTCCCAAACTCAGGGATTGGTGGTGCGCTTATTGCAAAAGCCGCACCGGCTTGAATGTTCCCACTGCCAGAAGCGAAGCTGCGGAGACCATCTCCGTCGTTGACGGCCTTGGACTTGGCAATATGAAAAGCGTCAATCCACTCCACAAGCTCTGACTGTGTTTCTGCTTGGAGGAGGATCGTGTTTTTGTTCGTCTTGAGCTCAAAACAGAAGCGACGTTCTTCTGCTGGCGCGGGCCGGACATTACAGAGTAAAACACCAATCCGCTCGCTCTCTTCAACGCCGCCTGCTCTCGTGCCTTGCAGCAGCCAGCCGAAAACTCCGTTGCGAACGAATGCCCACCTCTTCACCCAGACAGTGCGAGTCGGTTTCCCACTGTAGGTCCGGAGGAACAGCCAGCCTTGCTTCTCTCCGGTTTTGGAGGTCGGCTTTTTTGGTGAACGTTGCAGGGTTGAAGTGCTGGCACTATGGCCATGACCAGCAAACTGAGGGACTGTTGATAAGGTGTAATCCTCCAACTCTCGTGAGGGCCGGGTTTCGAGTTCGGCGGCCTCTTCCAGCTGTTTCTTCGCGGCCATGAGCTCCTTGCGAAACGACTTTTCGTTGGCCTCCAGCTCGGACAGCCAACCCTTGATTCTCAGCATTTCATCAGCGCTCCGTTGGAAGGTCGCGGCTGTGTTGTCACGCGAGACCCGCATCTCACACCACTGGTCAAAGAAGATCTTGACCAGGAGCTTATCTGTGGCAAAGCGAAACTGCGGGGCCATACTGGAGAAGTCCATGATGGCCTTGATGTAGAGTTTGCGGGCCTCGTGCAGCTGAAACGCCTCCTCCCTCAACGACGAAGGTTCTTTGGATTTACCCAGCCCAGCATATTTCCCCTGGAGATGTTCAAAGGTTTTCTGGGTAGCCTCCACCGCTCGGCGAGCCTCTTTGAAAGGCCGCAGGTCGTTCTGAAGGAAATGTCTGATGGGATCAATGACCATGGTAGACAATCTCTTGACCACTGCTATCATGCTCATCCAATAGTCTTTGGCACCATCGGCGAACTTCTTCATCGCCAGGACGCTGTAGTCATGATCCAACATGGACTCGGAGATGTTCGTAGGCAGGACGGCGTGGGCAATGAAGTTGTTGAGGACATTCTCTAGGGTCAGGGATTCGGAAACGAGTCTTGTGGATGCTTTGGCATAGTCGTCGAGCCATTTCTCCAGAAGATCGACTTGCTCTCCGTAGTGAAGAATAGTGGCGCGGGCAGTGGGCGAATCGATCGCAGCTTCCTTCAGGCCAACCGGAATCAGATTGATCAGTCTTCCCACATCATCGATAGGCTGCGATGCTTGCGCCATGGTGGGAAGAGCGAACAGAGGTTGGTAGATGCTAGCGCAGGTGGAGGGACTGAGAGTTTGAGTTGTATTATGCGTCGGGCTTCATGTCTGCAGGTTCGCAGGGCTCCTGGCAGAGAGCGGACAGGAGGACAACCAGCCCAAGATCAGGGAGAGGCAATGAGATAGAATCGGTGGCTCCAGGGTGATAGTGCAGCGAATATTGATTGTATCGAGAAAGTAGCAGTGCGGTAGGTAATCGATATATTATTCGCGTCTCCACGAAATCAAAGTCGCGAAAGCCAACTATGTAACCACGCATGATACGGAGTTCCGACCACCCATCTCACTCTGCCGCAGGTGGCTGCGGAGCGAGCGTTTACCCCCCTAAACCTATTCTTTACTAGCCACAGCCCTTCGGTGTACCTGCCTAAACATCAGTTAGTAGTTCTTGGGACCACCAGGGCCAAACTTTTGAATTGGGGGGCCCGCTGTTATCTAGAAGCCCCCTGGCCATTGGGTTCACCTTAGCGGACCGATACGGAGGACAACGCGAGCCGATTACTGCCGTGGAGCCGCACAGTGCCACGCCAACTTCCCTCCTGCAGGTGTTGCATCTCAACCCCGCCTGTGCTTTTAAGCATCCCTACGGGCTTGCTGACCAGTCCCATCACTCATGTCTAGAAGTTCCTAAATCCCCATTCTGCCCCAGGCTGCCTCTCTTCAACTAGGATGTCCCGCTGCACCCTCCTGCGTTGTCCCCTAGCCCTTTGGCTCTGTTTTCACATTTTATAATCGCCATCTTGTACGAAAAGTCGTGGGGAGTGATAACTCACAGTCACTACACACTTCAGGCAGATTTTTCGAAGCCATTTGTGGCTTCTCAGTGCTGACTCCTCGTACACTCTGTGTATTTTTGTGACATTACATTGTCCGGGCCATTGTATTTAACCTTGCAGGAAGATCGCTGCCTGCGAAATACGAAGCACTGCATGCACATGGCAGCAGATGAGCTATTGCGTCTCTGAAAATGCGGCCTACGGTTTGTCTTTGAGTCTTTGCAGGGTTTGCAGGGATTCTTTGCTGGTGTGGGTGGTGTTGGTCACGGACGAAGCCGACCCTTCCACCACTTTAGCCGCTACCCACTCCGTCCACCCTCCCGAGTTTACATACTAAGCTCTTCCGTCAACGACGTCCTTCTCAATACTTCACCTACCTTACCGTCGCTGCTTCTCGTTGACCCTAATTTTATCACATTCATTGCTCGTCACGCCGCTACACCCCTTTCCGCAGCTATTTCCACCACCTTCCAAGCGATCACTGTGCAGCACAGGTTCATGCTAGGTTGATCAGAACTCAAGATGACCCCAAGATTCCTCCAAAGCCATGGGTTACTCTACCTTGGGTTATCCAAGGTCGTCGCTGCTGATAATATGCCATACTCATCGTATCAACCTCGTAACGACGCGGGCGACGCTAACGACCCCGCCTCACCGACACTGCATGATTGAGCTCCTCGAGCGTGTCCTCATCCTCAACCTCGATCTCACTCGTCTATACACTCTCATTTGGCCGCTGAGAATCCATTCTAGTCAATTGAGCGGACCCTGGACTCGCCTTGCCATAAAGCACCGCCCGTCATATCCTTCAAAATGTCCGGCGGTTCCGACCCAGCTCGCGAGGCGAAGGTCCTGGATATTGGACATGGCCGGGAAGAACCTGCGTATGCTGGGGGCCTCCAATGCCCCGGATGTATGAAGACATTCAAGAGAGAGTCTGAACTCCATCGCCACTGGCGTTTACCGATACCATGCCAAATGCCAGGCTGCACCCAAACATTCCGGGACGACAAGCTGAAAAGCTTCATCAGTCATCACGCGACAAAGCACAGCGTCGATGGTCAGGAAACTTTGGATCAGGGTCAACTTGAGGACTGTTTTGCTGGTACAAAGCATCCTTTCCCCTGGCCCGAGTGGGAACAGTATCTGTGCTGACTAGAGTAGCCAAAAAGAGGGAACATCGCAATAATATTCGCCCAGACCTCTGTACTGTACGCAATCCGAAATTCGCGACTGCTTCTCAAGATGCTTCCGGCAATTGGCATCTCAATCTCGAAGGAGAAATCCCCTTGTCACCGGGGCTCGTGCAAAGAGACAATCTCGCTCGCTACGGGCAAGGCGAGACACATCCTTCCCACGCAGGTGGATCAAGCCTCAATGGAAGAGTTTGTGGACCCGATTCAATGGTTGAATTCTTGAGTTTTGACCCGTTCTCGTAGGTATCAGAACTGAAGCAGGAACTGTCGCACAAGGTTAGTGTCAAATTCGATAGGCATGAGGACTGGCTTTGACAGTGGCTTTAATTCCAATTTGTTGACTACCTCAAAAACACTGTCCTCAAAGCCGAACGTGACATACAAGTCCTAGTAAGCATCCTATTTAACAACGAAGACACGAAGCGCGACTGTTGCTGACAACAAATAGGAACGCAAGATCAAGCTTCTTGAGGAAGTCATTGCAAGCTCGCTGCCGGGCTTACACTCTGGTGCTCAGCCGTCTCTCAACCACCTTGAGGAATTCGCGGATTTGGTTGACTGGCACGATGAACACGAAGAGAACTCTGCCTTCGAGTGAATGCTGAATTACGTAGACGCTACAGTTCATCTACTGAAGGCAGACATCTTGCCTTCCGATTTTCAGACAATCGCGCGTTTTGGAAGTAAAGGAAATGCGATGGAAATGCTGATTGCATGTCTTCGTTCTCGTCGTCCCTCAAATGCCGAGCAACGTCGTACTGTTTCGTTCGACCTGGCAAGAAATCCAGGTCAGGAGGCATAGCAGTTGGTCTTGCCTGACACAGCCTAATGATGGGCTCGGTGGTTTGTCGTGAAACGGTCTGAGAGACTCTCGAACATCCCGACTATATGCAAAGAGCTTGAAGGATGATCCAATGCTCTTATACATCGTGGAGAAGCCTCTAGCTTTTCGTTTCTCTACTCTACTCGTGCGAAATAGAAAATGAACGGAAGAGCTGTAATGAGGGCGCGAGATCGCAGCCAGCGCTCCTCATTGGAGGCCCTGTCGTCGCCCTGTTAATGTGATTTCGAGACAATCCAGATATATCAACCTCACTAATAGCGATTGTACAGGTCGTCCGATAAACCTAGAATTGGACAAGTAACTGAGTACCACCATCATCATTATGCTCGTTATCAGCATTATTGCGTCCCTTGCTGTGCCTCGAAGGCGAGGAGAATCGCTTCTGAATATCTCTTCAGCTGGTTATCTAGGCCGACCTTCATTGGTATCCTCCGTCTAACATAGCGACTCTTGAGAAACAGACATTTCTGACGGTAAAGATCGTTCGAATTCCATGTCTGGAAGAGACAAAGTTTTGTCATTAGCAACAATTTGTGACGGACAGCTCTCGTTCCAGTGCATATTACTTAGGGTTGCTGGGGTAGGGGTTTGCGCCTCGCCATTGTCTTTGAACCCAAAGAATACTTGAGGAGCGGTTGAAAACCAGATCTGGAATCCACAATTGCCGCATGGATCTTCGCGAATCGTCGGCGGACATTTATTCACCTTAGGATATCTCTCGAGTCCTCATTGTAAGGTTTCTGCACACCACAAAGGATTCGATGAATCTACCTTTGTCTTGTGCACATTCGTGTTGAGGTTCAGCAGCAAGCACCAGTCGAGCCGTTACTTGCCTCACGAAAGACGCAGAAGCTGCAAATCTATGGAGAACCAAGCATCGGGCCTTGATGGGCTGGAGAACTGCTTCTGTCAATCATGTCTATGGTGTATTCGAACCTAGAAAATAGGCAGCGCTACTATAATTTTGAATACTAACAGGTATTCCTCTCGGCAGAATCCCTTGTAGAAGTGAAATATGAGGTCATATATAGTAGCATACATCAAGAACAGATCTGGTGATGCTAGAGTCTTCTGGATCACAAGTTCTAGACTCAATTGCTGGAACATGCAGAATTTAGAGACAGCCTCTTTGGAGGGCTAGAAGGCATACCTGATGCGGAGATTCACGCCAAGCTTTGCTGCGGCATCTGGTGGGCATGCGGAGAAATTTTTGAATCCCAAACGCCAGCCCGACAAAATCAACCGCGTGGAGAGACAATCTGCAATCTCTTGATCATAGCTCTCTTCCGGACCATGGCTCGCGAATTTCTAAGTAGCGACTCGTCCGACAGCGAGGATGGAGGCGCCGATGTCCCACCCAGCGCCGAGTTGAAAGTCAATGAGGCATATGCACGCCGCTTCGAACATAACAAGAAACGAGAGGAACTACAAAGATGTAAAGATCCTTCTCCGTTTTAGTCACGGAACAATGTTTGAGCTGACCTTTCTCAATAGTAGAGGAAAAACTCGGCAAATCCTCCACTTCCCGAAAACGCAAACGCGGCGACAACGACTCTCTCGATAGTGATGACGAAGGGGCTGCCTCAGACGATGACTCGACCAGCGAGTCCGAGGATGAGGGGGAGTTGGTGACCGAAACTCTTGACTCGGAGATCATGGCCACGCTCAATGCAATTCGGTCGAAAGATCCTCGTGTTTACGACCAGTCTGCCACGTTCTATACCCATGATGACGAGGAGGGACAGGCAATGACGAAGACAAGGAAGGAAAAACCGATGCACTTGCAAGATTACCACAGGCAAAATCTGCTGGAGAGTGGTGCGGGCGAGGAACAGGAAGATACCGTGCCTCTGACATACAACCAAGAGCAAGAGCAGCTTAAGAAATCCATCATTGGAGAGATCAACGCAGCCGCAGAGGACGAGGATGAGGACGAAGAAGATGAGGAGGGCAATGACAAATTCCTCATTGCGAAGAAAAAGGAAAAGACAGCCAAATCCGACGTTGTTTTGGACGTTGAGAGCGCAGACAAAGATCCTGAAGCTTTCTTGTCAAACTTCATGGCCTCGAGGGCTTGGGCCGCTCCCGACCCCTCTAGCCTGCACCCTTTTGATTCCGATGATGACGAAGAAGACAGAAGGGCAGACGAATTCGAGGAGGCATACAATCTACGATTCGAGGATCCTGAAAAATCAAACGAGACGCTGCGCTCTCATGCGAGAGACTTGGCTGCCAAATATTCCGTCCGGAGACAAGAGGTGAACCCGCGACAAAAGAAGCGAGAAGCCGAGAAGGCGAAGAAAGAAGCCGAAAAGCAGCAGCGGAAAGAAGAGAAAGCCCGTCTTCGCAAGTTAAAGATCGAGGAGCTCGAAGAGAAGGTGCGCAGAATCAAGCGGGCCGCCGGTATAAAAACCCAAGATATGCGGCCTGAGGATTGGTCGCATCTGGTTGACGACGATTGGGATGACGCCAAATGGGAGGAAGAAATGCACAAGCGTTTCGGCGATGAATACTACGCGGAGGAAGAACTTCCGAGCGAGGACGAGACAAGCGGAAAAAAGCGGAAACCTCGCAAGCCCAAATTTGATGATGACATTGACATCAAGGACATAGTTCCTGATTTCGATGAAGACGATAAGGCGGACTTTAGTCTGTCTGATGAAGAAGCTCCTCCGAAGAAGGCGAAGAAAATCAAGAAGTCGGTCGAAGACAAAAAGCGGGACACAAAGAAAGAACGGCGGATCATTGAACAATTGGTGGCCGATCAACTACAACTGGAGCTGGATGCATCTTTGCCCGACAAGAAGACCGGTGGTTTCACGTACCGTGAGACATCGCCCAAGAGCTTTGGCCTTAGTGCAAGAGACATTCTGCTAGCTGACGACAAGCAACTGAATGAATTTGTCGGGCTGAAGAAGCTGGCATCATTCCGCGACCCAGAGAAGAAGCGCAAGGACTTGAAGAACCTGGGTAAGAAGGCACGGTTAAGGAAGTGGCGATTGGAGACCTTTGGCAATGAGGAAGGCCTGCAGGCCAGCAATCTGATTCCTGCGCAATCTGAGGTCGGGCATGACAGGCCTGAAGAAGACGAAGCTGGAGTCGACATCAGAACAGAGGGGACGAAGAAAAAGAAGAGAAGGAGGAACAAGAAGTCGAAGACAGAGGTTGATGCTGTTGTCTGAACAAAATATTGTGGAGATGTCTATGGAGAACTCGAATGTCTGGACCTCGGAAGGAAAAGGGGAACACCTAGTCCAGGGTGAGAAGATGCTCCTCAGCCTTGCCACCAATTCTAGCGATGGATATAGATCGGCCTCACAAGCTCTTGGCTGAATGCCTCATATCTCGGTCATCGAGTTTTAGTATGCCGTTACCCGCGAGGCTCCGTCTCCGCGATCCCTTGTTTCAAGTCAAGTGCGCCGTACCCTGCACAGCATTATAAAACATAAGCTCTTATTCGTATTCGAGAGCCTCATGTGGCCAGCTTAAGGTTCACTGAGGATCTCTGGAGAAGCAGTGGATCGTTGAGGGAGCAAGGACTGTGTTTCGGCAAAATGGGCGGAAGGATGGGCATGTTTGAGAGAATTGTTTAGGCAGCCGGAGGAGCCGTCCAGTGGCTGGCCAGAGCCTGGCACCTCCCCCGGGCAAGCGCGATAGGGGCCACGGGCGAGCCGGTTGCTGTGCAGAGGGCCACCCTTTTTTTCGCTCAGCGGAGACAAAATTTTGATTGCGGACGATAATTGCCCGGGGAGGAGGGCGCTGAGAATTTCGCTGGTGGCTCGGGAAAAAGTGCACACAAGCAGCTCGCATTGACGGTTGTGCTGAGCGAGATCCGGCCCTTACCGCATCGGGTTTAGCACCAGTCGAGCTCCCAATCCCTTTGAAAAATACCTGTCCGCTTCTAAACTTCCTCCATCTCTCTTTTTCGCATCTTCGCATCTTTTTCTTGCGTCCACCCATCACTTCTCTCCCTTCTCTCCTCTCAATCATAGTCCTCAGTTCTTCATAACCACCGTCAAGATGGCCAAAGGGTTAGTCCATGCTCCATCCACTGTCCATTCGTGCTCTGGTGCAGCTGGTGCCGTTACCCGGCGGCCTCCCTGAGCTGCACGAGCAGCATCCGAGCAACCCTCGGCCAAATTTGGACATACACATGCTGACTTGTTGTCATCTAGAGAGGTGGATCAAGGGGCCAAGACGATACTGGGCATGCCCGGTAAGGCTTCACCGTCGTTAACGTCGACGTCCAGGACTCAGAGCTCCCCGGACTTCACCTCGACCATACGACAATCTCCGGCCGTGGTCAATAGAAACTAACTTTCGACCGTAGGTTTCGTGGTCGACTTTTTGATGGGTGGTGTTTCTGCCGCTGTCTCAGTGAGTAGCGCGCCAGTCGTGGTAGCTGGTCAAGAGGCATTTGAAGCTGACAGTTTTTCCAGAAAACTGCCGCCGCCCCCATTGAGCGTGTCAAGCTCTTGATCCAAAATCAGGTATGTCTACCTGTTCCACCCCATCGAACACATCTACATGACCCATGCAAAACCCTTCCCCACGTCCGAAAGGTCCCCGTCCACCATAGGCGGAAAAAATCTCTTATCAAAAATTGTTCAATGCGATGATAACACTGCAATGGATCCTCGACCGAGCGCAAAAACTTACAATGACGTATAGGATGAAATGATCAAAGCCGGTCGTCTCGACCGCAAGTACAGTGGTATCATCGACTGCTTCAGCCGAACCATGAAGAGCGAAGGTGTCATGGCTCTGTGGAGAGGTAACACTGCCAACGTTATCCGATACTTCCCTACCCAGGCGCTCAACTTCGCCTTCCGCGATACCTACAAGTCGATGTTCGCCTTCAAGAAGGAACGTGATGGATACTGGAAGTGGATGGCCGGTAACTTGGCCTCTGGTGGTGCCGCCGGTGCCACTTCGCTCCTCTTCGTCTACTCCCTCGATTATGCTCGGTATGTCTCGTGCCCTTTGTTTCATCTCCCGGCGGATTGCTGATACATTTTCACACAGTACCCGTCTTGCCAACGATGCCAAATCTGCCTCCAAGGGTGGCGGTGAACGTCAATTCAACGGTCTCGTCGATGTCTACCGCAAGACCCTGGCTTCCGATGGTATTGCCGGTCTCTACCGTGGTTTCGGTCCTTCCGTCTTGGGTATCATCGTCTACCGTGGTCTCTACTTCGGCATGTACGACTCCATCAAGCCTGTTCTCTTGGTCGGTCCTCTCGAGGGTAACTTCTTGGCCTCTTTCATGCTCGGCTGGGGTGTCACCACTGGTGCCGGTATCGCTTCCTACCCTCTTGATACCATCCGTCGTCGCATGATGATGACGTCCGGTGAGGTAAGTGTTTTAGTCCCTGCGTCTTCCGGGCTTCACAAACCTGTCTAACCTCTATGCGCAGGCTGTCAAATACAAGAGCTCCTTCGACGCTGCCCAGAAGATCATGGCCGCTGAGGGTATCCGATCCTTCTTCAAGGGTGCTGGTGCCAACATCCTCCGTGGTGTTGCTGGTGCCGGTGTGCTCTCCATCTACGACCGTATGTTTCGATTCCGATCTCGTTATATGTTCTCATGCTAACAAGTTTGACAGAGGTCCAACTTCTCATGTTCGGCAAGAAGTTCAAGGGCGGTTCTGGTTAAGCGCCTCGTCACTTTACTGCGACGAACTCAAGAAGCGATTGTTCCAATCGCACAAAACGGTGTAACAGGGGAAGCATGGTGTAATAGCGCGCCTTCAGTGGGGAGGCTCAAAAGGTGGTGCGAGACTGTACGATGACATGGTGAGGTGTTGGCAGGGGCAGCAGGGCGGGCGACCGAGTCGAGAGAGACGAAACACATCTTGCAAATAGAGACGACACAAACGGGGATTGACGAGGGAAAATGGCCACGTTGAAACTCGTTGGGGGTTTTGTTCACAATATGCAATGGGGTTTCTTGCTTTACAACATCCTTTCGTTTCCTTTTCACTCCGGTCTGCAATTGTACTTTACTGCCTCGGCTTGTTTTGCAAAACATCTCACTTCGCTCCATCCTGCGGCTTTCCGTCCTCTAATCCGTCTCTGTATCCCTGCAGAAGTGTCGATCATCTTGCAGGAATTCCCGTGGTGGGTGCAGGGGTAACCACCAGGGGGTAAACACCATTGATCCATTCATCACAGGTAGCCCCGTCCATCTACCCCCCATCCACTGCCTCGGGACACATCTATAACCAGGTACGTATAGAAGTGGCCCTCACTTTTTGTTTATTACCTACTCCCCAGAAAGTAGTTCTGCTAGTGTTCCGTGTCGGCGTCCAATCGGTGCATCTACATTGGGTGTTATACAGGTCCCAGCAAGTGGATGCTAATCCCAATTCTGATTTCAGTCCTCGTAGAAGCGAATCCTATCGCTGCCGCAAACCACAGATCCTCCCAACCGTAACGAGCGACCGTGTCCCACCGATCGTGGTCCCACGCACACGGGGTTTTGTTCGTTATCAATCTTTCGTTCGCTAAATAATTCATTCATTCCGGGTATATATATGTCACTGCGCCTTGGTCCGATCTGCAAACATTTCCTCCCATGCTTCGTCTTTTCATGAACCGTTTACCCATCTACGCCATGCACCACTCTTGTCTCATCCGAAAGAAAGATTCCTCCACTTGTACCCGGGGTGTCCCAGGCTTGGCTTTCACGTATCATCCTCCCCGTTGATATGCTTCCAGATCTGCCTTTCCGTCTCACTCAGTCTTTTGCCCGCGGCTTTCGCCCACGACATGGCCGTCTTCACCACCGTACCATTCGAGTCGGCGTTGTTCGAGCCAAAGCTCCATTCTCCGTCCAATAAACCGCCTCTTTTCGAGTATGGCAGTGGAGAAAGGGTGGCACGGTAGTCGCTCTCTTGGCATGATTCAATGGGTTTGTCGTCGAAGGAGCTGTGGTGGTCTTGTTGGTACCCCGGCGGGTGGGAGAGGTCCTGGGGTTGTGGGTAGTTAAAGCTGTAGCTAGGGCTCGTGGTGGTCGAAGTCACGCCAGCGGGAGGGATGGCACGGGAAGGCGTGTATGGCGTGTAGACGGCCGACGACGGGGATTGAACGGGCAGCGGGCGGGAGTGAGTGGGAGTTTGTGCTTGTACAGGCACAACGGCGTGGCGCTGTGGTGATGCGTGCGGTGGCATCCATTGTTGATGCTGGGGGATTTCGAGAGGACGTGGTGGAAGGGGTGCGGTGGGGCGTGGCGACGGACTGGCGAAAGGCGAGGGTACTGCGCCTGGTTGCGGCGGGGGAGGGCTGTAGTTGGATGTGGTCGTTGGCGTGTTGGTTGAAGTGGGTGTCGCTTCGTATCTATTGTTGTAACTGCTGGCTAACGTGTTGGTGGGTTGCGGAACTGCTGGTGCGCCAGGTTGCGCAGGCTGCTGCGCGAACGAGGAACGAGATGGCTCTGTGGAAGTCGGCCGTTCGTCATCGTCGAAAGGTGTATACCGAGCCGCCGCAGTGCTTGGTGAGGATACGCCGAAAGGATGCGAGGGGAGATTGGTGTTTATTGGCGAGGCGGTATGGACTGGTATGGGAGCCATTGTTGCAGGCGCAGGACGCGACCCGGTGGTACGAGTTCTTCTGTTCCTAGAGTTGTGGGATCAAGGGTCTTCTGTCTTTCGAGGCGAGAGAATGAAGGAGATATGGCAGGAAGAAATAGTAACGAAGTGACAAAAGTAAAACTAGTATACTCTTTCTCGTCTTCGGTGGATGAGCTGGTTGACAAACTGTGCGTTTGTGCTCAACTGTTCCAAGGGATATATTTGCGAAGGGCTGGCGTCATCGAATGACGAACGACGGGGTTGGAAGGATCATGGGCCACTCCCTTGGATTCCGAATACCAACATCACCGCCGCGAAACAGGGTATGTAGTGATACAGATTGTCTTTAACGAGAGGGAGTCGAACAAAGAGTCTTTGTCGAGTGCATGCGCATGAGGCTAGATCTGATACCTTTCGCGTACAATATGCGGTTAGTCCTTTTGAAGTCAACAGACAAAGACGGGGTCCTTCCTCTTTCCGTGACGAACCCTTCTGTTTTCGGCAACTGTACACAGAGGCATGGACCGCAGCAAATCCCAATGCAGCAGGGCGGTTACACAAAGAATGCGGATGGGGGCCGTTGACGGCGAACGAGCGATGCGGCGGCCGGGACGCGCGCCAAGCCGGCAATCTCTATACTGCCAAGGCCTGGGCGGGAGGCTGGCTGTGATTGGCTGCGCGCACACTGCATGAAATGCGCCCGGAAAACTCCTATACTAGTGCAATCATCGATCCATCGACAAGCCGGGCACATGCTGCAGTTCAACGCAATTACTTGAGAAAGGCCCGGTGCTATGCGCGCATCACTGCGACTCCTCTCTATTTCCACCCCCGTTTGTGCCTGTGATCTGTGCCGAAGATCCCTCTCAACAGGGTTGCAAAGCGTCTCCTCCAGCCATCTGACCGTGTCACGACTGCTGTCCGAGGCACCGCGTGCTTGAATCGTGTCTCTTGATTCGCTCATTCGGCCAGGCGCATCTCAACTCGGTTGCAGCACTCTCTTCCCCAACTGGTCCTGCTGCTATTGCACGAACACCCACGGTCTTGTGAGCCCTAAACGATCTTTGGACCCGAAGCCTGACGTCTGGACCACCTTGGTACCGAAAATTTCAACAGTGGAAGCGAGTTCGCATTAAACACAGTCAACTCACCGAAAGAACCTTCCACCACTCTGGCCTCGCCTTGAACGGCGTTCTCCCACCGCTTCTTTGCTCGCCCAATGTCACATATACCACATCTTCGACCATCGCAGAGTGGTCCTTCTATTCGCTAACATACCTGGAAAAGTGTCGCCAGCCGCCGGGCCACCCAGGAGCCTTGTCAGGGTCGACTCTATTCGTAATAGTGGCATTTCGGTCTTCCTTTTTCTACCCTCTCACCTCCAAACATGTAACGTTCTCTTCCTTTCCTCTCATACCTGGCACTAATCCGATCAGGAAATTCGGCAAGCAGATCCAGCGCCAGCAGTTGGATCTTCCTGAATATGCGGCCAGTTTCCTTAACTACAAGGCCCTCAAAAGGGTGTGCCAAAACTTATGTATTCGTTAAGAGAAGACTTTGCTCACCATGTCCTTCAGCTCATCAAGCAGCTCAGTGCTACGCCTACCATTAGTGCCCAAGGAGGTCCCACCACCCTCGACGCACAGGCCGCGCTTAGGGCGAATAAGGAGGTGTTCTTTTTCCGGCTGGTGGGCGCATAATCACCTCCCGTACTTCCCGCCCTTCCTCTTCTCTGATGCAAGCTGTAGGAACGTGAGATAGAAAAAGTCAACGTCTTTTATCTCCAGAAAGAGGCAGAGGTATAGACAACCATCTGTTTGCAAAGCCGGCCGCCTCTGACCTGGTCCAGTTTTCGCTTCGTCTAAAAACATTGCTCGACAAGAAAAGAGTCATTCAAGCAAGAATAGCAGCCAGCTCCAGACTCTCTGCTAGTTTCGCAACCTTGGTCGAAGGGTTCCAACAGTTCGACAATGATCTCAACAAACTTCAAGTGTGTGAAAGAGTGTGTCCTCAGGAGGGGATCGGTTGGCTGACACACTGCAGCAATTCGTTGAAGTCAATGAAACCGCAATTTCAAAAATTCTGAAGAAGGTCTGTCCGACCTACCACTTATTTTACATCAGGGACTGATACTTTGTAGTGGGACAAAACATCAAAGGTGGACCGCCATCTACAAACCACACCTCTGAGGTGAGCTGACGCCAGTGACAGTCAAGAACGAAAGAGATCTACCTCCAGCGAGCCGTCGAAATCCAACCGTGCTTTAATCGCGATGTACTCCGGGACCTCGCAGACCGAGCGACAACGGCGAGACTCGATTTGGAAGCATGGGCTGAGGGTGAAAACATTCAGTACGAGGTATCTAGGCAACAAGATCGCATGATCGGACAACGTGTGGGCACAGAAGAGAGTGACATCGACATCCAAATTCTTCAAGCCTCAGCTGCAGGTAACATTGGCGCCCTACGCGAATGGGTTGCGAGACTAGGCAACTCTCCAGACGCGCGCGATCGTTTCACCAGAATTTTCCTTGCGACAATCTCTGAAGCACCCGACGATTCTTTGACCCTCTTCCTAAACTCAGGCCTGGTCGACATCCACGCCGAAGATGACATCAATGAACGGAACTGTTTGCACGAAGCTGCAATTTATGGCAAAGACATTGTACTGGACTATGCTCTCAGTCATGGAGTTGACCTGACCCGTTTGGATGTGTACGGTAGGGTACCGTTGCACTATGCCTGCCTAAGAGGACGCCTTGCTATGGTCGAGAAATTGTTGGCAGCAGGACCGAACACTATCGACATGAAAGATCATGACAACTTTACGCCGCTGATCCATAGTATTGTGCGGCATCGGGTCGACTGTGTTCGCCTTCTCATTGCCAACAATGCAAGGATTGACCCACAATCCGACGCAGACCATATTCCTCTGAACTTGGCTTGTCAACACGGATCTATCGAAGTTGCAGCGTTGCTGTTAGAAAGAAACGCCAAACTTCTCCCCGACGCAGAAGGTCTTTTCCCCCAACATCTCGTCGCCCGATCGAGTGAAAAGGCCGATCTCCTTCTGCTTCTACGGCAGCATGGAGCCGATTTAAACCAGCGCGATAAGTTGTACCAATGGACGCCACTGTTTCACGCAGCAAGCGAAGGTCGCGTCGAGTGCTTGCGGGCCCTGCTAGAAAACAGTGCCGATCCTGAGGCACTGGACGAAAAGGGGCTTACTGCAATGTATTATGCAACATGGGAAGGCCACCTAGAGTGTATGGAACTTCTTTGGCAGCAAAGCAGCCACCATCGCGCCGAACGCAGATCTTCCACCATGTTAGGAGCTGTGGTCCCTCCCCACAGCCAGATGCTGGCAATGGAGATCACACCCGAAGAGCCTACAGGAGTTGACGCCGATGGAATACCTGATCTATCTCTGCCCCCACCGATCATACCTCTGCGCCGCTATGGACACAATTTCCTCGATACGAAAACCTTCATTGCCCTCAACTTTGATCGGACGTCGAAAGCTATACAGTTCTTCAATGAAGCGAGGTATCCTGCCGCTCGGTTAACCATTTCTTCGAAAACATCGGACCTCATTCCTCGCAATTTAATGCTGCCTATACAAGAGGACGCTAGATCTGTCTACTTTCAAGTGGACAATCTCAGCACCTTCTCTGTGGATTTTGAGATCTACCCGACCTTTGGATCCAAGGTGATAGCCAAGTCGGTCGCCCTTCCGGATGTTTTTCGAGCCATCCAGAGCAGCGCTGGGACCTGCTGCCTTCCACTGTTTGATCCGAGGCTCCGGTCAGTGGGTCAGATACAGTTCGATTTCCAAGTCATCAAACCATACCAGGGTACGCCGCTTGAGATCACGCAATTTGCGCCGTACTGGAAAGCCACGAGTGCTTTGGACGATCACAGCGGATTAGTCACAGGCTCGAGCCTCTCCGGAGACTACCTTAGACTAACGATACAGCTTACCCGGGACGGTGTTCCTGTGAGCTACCCATCTTATTTCATGACATACAACAATCTCGACGTCTCACTGTGTCTGCTCAAATACGAGATACTTGTGAAGCTTGGCATGACTAGTGGTCTGCTCAACAGTGACGGCACCCCGATACTGGAAAGCATGGACATCATCGATTGGCGAGATCGACTTTCTGGCTCTATCTTCGCCCTTCGCGAGATCCTAGCCGCGGTACCAGCCCATATCAACCTCAATCTGCACATTCTGTATCCAACAAACCATGAGGATCTCAACTTGGGCGTCTACTCCAACATCGATATTAATACCTTCGCTGATGCGATCCTGACCGAAGTCTTCGATCATGCGAGAGCCTTGCGCGCACAGGGCCCAGACCTGACCCGCTCTATTGTGTTCTCTTCATTCAACAGCAACATTTGCACTGCCCTAAATTGGAAGCAGCCGAACTTCCCCGTCTTGCTCTGCAATGACTTAGGCCGTGTGCAGGGTGCTTACCGCTCGTCTGCAAATCTACTTGGACCAGTTTCGCAACGAGGGACGTCAATCAAAGAGTCGGCGCGCTTGGCACAGATGAACAACTTTATGGGACTGACTTGCTCGGCCCGGATCTTGCAGATGGTACCTGCTTTGACCGAAACCATCAAGCAGGCAGGGCTAGTGCTTGTATCTGATGTCTCAACGGACGACGACAATGGAAGCCAACATCAATCTCACTCGCAGGGGCAAGCCCACAACCCGGGTTTTGCGATGATACCGGATGGTGTCAACGGGCTTATGAAGGCCAACGGCATTCTACGATTCAACGAGACGGTCGACATGTGAGAAGCATCCCGGGAGACGCGGGCTCAAGGAAGACCGTGGTGACTTACAGCGATTGATGATTTTATTGACGAAAACCATAGGGGACACGGACCCTAATGCAGCGGGTGGAGGGGGGAAAAGAAATTCGAGAAATTGGCGGGGCTTCTTAGTAGCTTGCATCTTGGCCGGGACATGCATTCATTCATGGTGGTGTAGTGATCATGGTCATCGTGGAGCTCGGACAGGGCACTGAATAGACACTGTCACAGAATGCAGACGAATTCAAGTCATCTGCAGGTTATGTTTTACAGGCGATATATGAGAATTAAACAGGGACCGGCACTGGCATGTGTAGGCATCAAATTCAGCGGCAGCCCACAGTTCTCGGAGACTACCGAAGCTTGTCTATGATCAATGCGATACCGATGCACTGTTAATCAGCAGCTCCAGATGGCCGGTTCCAGCCGCAAGGCTGGCCAGTAACCGAAGTCTCCAAACTTTCATAGTTCATGATACAAAGACTAATATCGCGGATCATCTCAGGTAATCTCATACATCCTCTCTCTCACTCGTCACACCATGCCCAAGTCTGAGAGTGATGTTCGGGAGGAGATAGAATACGAAGACCGCCTGGCACGCATTGCCAACCGGGAAGACCATTCGCGCAGCCGTCTCCAGGCCATCCGCAAGAATCCGTGGGCGTTCGGCTGGTGCCTCTACGCCGTGTGGACGATCCTGCTCGTCAGCGTCGAAGACCAGGCCTCGTACAACGTGCTGAGCATCCCCGAGTTCAGGAAAGACTTCGGGTCGTCGTTTGGAGGCAACTATGTCCTTGCGGCCTCGTGGCAGTCGGCCTTCAGCGGCGCCCCGATTGCAACGTATGTTCCTCACCAGGCCCCCTTTCCCTCCGACTTTCTGTTATCTATATTGAAGAACCAAGCGACTTATGCCGTGGCATGTAGCCGAATTATCGGGGCATTGGCCGCGGGTCAAGTGGCCGACCACATCGGCCGTTGCAACACCCTCATCCTTGCTCTCGCGCTCTCGCTCGCAGCAGTGGCCATGGAGTTTGTGGCCACGGAGAAAGCGCTTTTCTTCGGCGGGAAGCTGTTGAACGGACTGGCCGTCGCCTCGATCGAGTCTGTCAGCGGCACCTACATTGGCGAGGCATTGTTCCCCCTGCCCCATCTCCTCCTTGAAGCATGAACCTCCTAACCGAGGAACAGATTGCGCCTCTGGCGCTCCGAGGTCTGACGACTGTCTTGATGGCGTTCTCGGATGGCGCCGGCGCCTTGATTGTAGCGCTTATCATTAACGGCACAGGAACGTATACGAATAGATGGGCGTACAGGGTCGTCTTCTGCAGCCAGTTCGGGTTCGCCGCCGTGGCCGCTTCTTTCGTCTGGTTCATGCCCGAGTAAGCTGCACGAAGCGTGTATTCTGGTCTACTGCTGACGATGAATTACTTCCGTCCAGATCGCCATGGTGGCTCTTGAGCAAGGGCCAGGAAGACAAAGCATTGAAATCACTCCGCCGCCTCGGCTATACCAGGTCGGACGGGGAAGATGCGAAGCGTCTCGCCACCATCAGAGTCACCTTGGAGGAAATCCGCAGCGAGACCGAGGGCGTCAGTTACTTCGAGTGCTTCCGCAAGTCGAACCTTCGCAGGACAGTCGTCGCCATCGCACCCCTCTCGTATGCTTTCACGTTTTCTGACAGGTTAAGAAGCAGCAGCCTATGCTGACTCCGTGGTTGCAGGGTAGAAATCTTCGTGGGCGCCATCTTCACCGGCCTGTACTCGACCTACTACGCTCAGTTGGCGGGCTACAGCACGAGCATGTCCTTCCGACTCCTCATCACCCAGCAGGTCCTGGCAATCATCGGGAACGTCATGTCGTGGTTCCTGATCGAAAGGGTGGGGCGCCGCAACCTGACCGTCTACGGCACTGTCGCCCTGACGGTGATGCTCTGGGTCATGGGGGGATTGGCCGTCGGGGCCAGCCGAGGCGAGTTGAGAGGCGCCATCGCGACGGTGCAGATCTACTCGTGGCTGTACAACCTCACCATCGGGGCGACGGCGTACACGTACTTGACCGAAGTGGCCACGGCGCGGCTGCGCGTCAAGACCATGGCCGTCGGGTTCGCGACCCAGAGCGGCTTCGGCCTGCTGTGGAGCTTCGTGCTGCCGTACCTCTTCAACCCGGACAAGGCCGACCTGGGCGGGAAAGTGGGCTTTATCTTTGGTGGGTTCGCCGTTCCTTGCTGTGCGTTCCTCTGGTGGTTCCAGCCCGAGACGGCGGGGCGGTCCTACGAGGAGCTCGACGAGATGTTCGTCAAGAAGATCCCCGCGCGCCGGTTCAAGACGTACAAGACCGAGGCGGAGATCAAAGCGGAGGCGTTGACGAGGAGGACGCAAGAGGCGGTGCCGCAAGATGACTCTGTCGATAAGATCGGATGATGAAACTTGAACGAAATCAGGAAAAAGGGAATGTCCAATCACGCAGCTCTCGTGGAAAGAAGATGAGTAGAGATTTTGCTGCTTCCTCTCTGGCATGGTCTAGATATGGCAAGAGGGGACTAATGTGATGATCCCAGTGAATTCGTGGCATGCCGGTTTTTCCTCTCCCCTGTTTTCATGTGATGAATAGACAGTATTTACATCCCTCATCCACGGACTCACAGTCGTCGCCCAGCCGTCCTCCCTCTCCAAAGCCACCAGTCGCCACCATCTTCTCGCCTCTCCCAGCTCCGCCAACCATCCTCCAGTAACTAGGTCGCTACACCTGAACCAGCCCGGCCCCGATCCCGATCCAGATGCCCGCCCCGGCCGCAAAGGCGGCGCCCCAGCCGGAGCCGCGGAGACGCCAGATGTGGTAGACGTCGACGACGCAGAGAACCATGCCAGCGAGGATCAGGGTGCCCATCTCGTGCAGCTTGGAGTCGGTGCCGAACTTGGCCAGGGCGAGGCCGATGCTCAGGTCGCGGGCGCCCAGCAGGGCCATCGAGGTGGTCACCGCGGCGGCGTGGTTGGCCACGTCGACATTGGCGTGCGCGGGCGGCGCCGTGCTGCCCTTGGTCGGGTTGGCGTTGGTGCCCGGCGCCGCGCTCGAGCTGCTCGTCGCCGCCGACGAGTGCGGGTACAGCCCGAACCCCTGGCCCGCCAGCACGGGGCAGGTGAGCGCGAACGTCCCCAGCCCGATGTACGTCCCGGCCACGCTCAGGCCGAGCACGCGCCATGTCGAGGGCGAGAGATCCATTGTTTTTCGTCCGTTGGGTAGAACGCGGCGGAGTTTAGTTCAGGCGGAGGAGGAGTGTTCTGGCAGCCTTTGGACCTTGGCTGTGGAGTTAAGGTGCGGTGAGCGATGAGCGAAGGATGGCGAGTCGGGGACGGTCGAGAGATGCCACACGTGAGATCGCGCTGGTGTATACAATCAGCATCAACGATCAGAGCCAGAAAGGTCTCTGGAGGAGGTCTGGGTTGGTCGAGGGAGCTGGGAATTGACTTCGGCGAGGTTTGTTACCCCGACTAATACGTCAGTGGACGAGGACTTTATGTAGTTGCATAATCGGGTCTTTGAGCTTCCCCAATACGAATACGGAGACGGACTATTTGTATACCGAGCATGCCTGGTACCACACAACCGTAGGTACGCGAACCTAGGTACAGGAAGTTGTCCTATCAACCCCCCTCTCTCTACCCAAGTACGGGGCAGCTATCCTGGTATATCTTCCACCCCTTGACGAGTTTCTCGGGGTCTATCATGTTTGCTATCTGAGCCATGATGTCCTTCAGGCCGATGTTGAACTCTCGTATCACCCTCGCGAGGAGATATAGGTCCTTGATTTGGGCCCATAGAGCCGGTAGTCCGCCGAAGTAGCTTTCTAGCGCTATCGCGGGTTTCGGGCGAGGAGGCTTGGGGTTTGAATGCCCAGTAATGAAGCTCACAATGGTGTTGTTGATCTTCCGCCCACGGACCCGTAACCGCGACTCGCCCTCTTGCGATCTGCTTCAGCCCAGAACTGCCTGGATCTGTCCGACCTGGCAGCAGCCCGTGTCCGTCATGGAGCACACCACAGCCGGCTCCATGACAGACACTCTCGACTGCTTACCCTCGGGTGCTTGACCCGTTGTCTGGGTTTCTCGTAGTGCCACATATCAAGGTGACACTCCGATCGACAAACGGGGATACTCAGAGAGGCTGGCCCTTTCTGCCCCCTCTGTTCACCCGATCTAGATATATATATCAACTCCCAACCACCGTGGTGAATTCTCTGTCTTCGGCATTCGAAGCGTTCGCCGCGTTGCGTCCGAGACTTTCCGTAGAGGTGTGTCCATTTGTGACCATGAAGCCAGCGCCCGGGCGTTCGACCCGACTGTGGTCTCAAACCCGATTATTTGTGGTCGTCATAGTCTGGCATGGGAAGACTTGGTGCCAGTCCCTATTGTTTTGACGCCGATCCTTGTTGAAACTCGAAGTTGAAGGTGGCCATTTGCGCAATGCACAGATCATGTTTTCGAAGAAGTGAAACAGTGCTGAAAGGCTGACTCGAAGAAACTCTGTCCACTGCGCGCGGAGACAAGCGACTCTGATTGTGGCCTTGGATCGTGACTCGGTCAAGGAATGGTATGATTACTGAGAGAGCCATTTTGTGACGTCTTGTCCATTATCGACTCAGGAGGGTTGAGCGGAGGTGTATGCGGTCTGGGTCTGGAGTGGACCGCCGGGGTACCTTTTGATGCAGAGCAGGAGCGTACGTGCAAGACAAACACCGAAAGCGGGCATTTGATGCGTTTGACATGATTGATGAGTCGCCAGATGACAAAGACAACCAGCACAGTTCGTCTCCTCAACTTAGAGGAGAGCTCTTGATTGACCTGGAAGACAGGAGAAGTGGAACTTGGGCAGCAGTAGATGTCGGGAGGAAGACAGGGTACTTATAGTTTTTGGGAGGACACCGCGAGAGCGCGAATGTGATGATTCACAGTGAATGAGTCCGCGGTGCTCCAGCGCGAGTTCTTCTTTTCACTGAATGGTTCATCTGCGCGACAAGGTGTGTCGCACTGTCTCGGAAGACGGATGGTCACGGATAGTATGGAAGTGAAAGAGAACGGAAGGGAATTCGACATTTGAATCAATACATTACCTCCACATGAATTAGATTTCCCTTCACTGCACCCGACCAGATTAGCATCAGATAAAACCCAACTTGCCCGCAGAGTCGTTGTACTTGTGACATCTCGACAGTGTGGGCATCTGGGTTGGCAAATCTTGTGATTCAGCTTTCATGAATCACACTGACAATGTACTTCTCGCCGTCCCCTCCAGTTGCAGCCACGATAAGCTGGTGTCCTTCGACGTCTTCCTCCCTGTGGCCCACTCCAACCTCTTCTTTGTAGTCTTTGTACCAGTCTTGTTTGCGCTCACCACTCACCAATTCATATCGGGCAGCAGCCACCGCCGCCTGGCGAGACAAGTGTATCCCTCTGATTTCGGTGTGCGCAGATCCGTCGGCAGCCTGGACTGTGCAGAGAACATAGAAGAGATTATCCTCCACTCTTCCATCGCCCGGCTTGGAGCGGACGCCCAGGGAATTTGGCGTGCTTTCGATTTCGACATCGTGGATGTCCTCCCCCTTTCGGGCATGCACAACGACATTTTCCCCATACTTCCATGTCGATGAAGGTTGGGTGATGTCATTCGTTGCATAGTCGCTCAGAGAATCGCGAGACAGTCCCTCATCCTCGAGGCGGCGAAGTGCAACCTTCTGGGCGGAATCCAGGTCTGTGTAAGTCCCACAAATTTCAGTGCGGATGGTCGGCGGCGATCCAGGTTCCACGGTGGTCCGTTTGATGTGGAACAGGTCAGGAACAAGGGAAGGGCGTCGCTGCATGTTGGGTCCGACACTCTTTTTCGAATATGGTATTCTGAAACAATTCCTTTGTAGTCACGATTGAGAGAGAAAAGACGGGGAACGCACAACCAAAGCAATTGCCCCTCTTTGAACTCTTCGCCCTGACATATTAACCCCTGCAAAGAGGGAGGGGTAATAAGCTCTGCGCGTGAGCGTATGCCCGGGCGTCGATGGCACTGAGCACAGACTGCCCAGATCTTGTGACGATGAAAGGCCCCGAGTGGTAAAACGAGGAGTTGCAAGCTCTAACCCCGCAAATCACAGTGGAATCTGTTGGATGATGCAGGGTCTTGAATACGAGGTTGGCAGTGGCCAGTCGGATGCAATAAGGATTTCCGACACAGAACACTGTCTAGGCAGCTGAGAGACGACTCGGATACTTTGGGAGATGTCGACGACAAAGCACTTTGCCCTGGCAGCCTTTTAGGAACCGTGGCCTACCGCTTTCCTCAGGGCATTCATTATGTGGCCTGGCTCAACCGCGGCTCAGCCTACTCAGGCCATCACCCGGTCCTCCTCCTAACACTCTTACCTTAGCCATAGCCATCCTTCATCTTCTCGCCTCGATCCTCTGAGGCTCTCGGTTGCCGTGGCTGCGATCATCATCTCGATAATATCCTCGACGAGGAAAGGGGGAAGGAATGGGAGCAACGGCATTAGTTTCAAGAACGTAAGGCTCCACTATAACGGATTCACGCTGCTGCCTCTTGAGCTCCCGATCGTCTCGGGACGTTTCATTGCGCGGCATCACGACGTACTTCCTGGAGCCGTGTACTTTCCTGGGGTCTTGGTGACTTTCTTGACCTCGGAGTTTCGCTTTTGCCACATCGTCTTCGAATTGACTGCCTTTCTCGTTCCATGCCCTCATCTCGGCTTCTTTATGCTGGTACATGCTGACAAAGGCCGTCATAAGTTCCAGGAGATTGCCCCGTCTCCCAAAGAAGGTTTTGCACGAACTGCTTGAATTCTAGATCCAGGAGCTGACAATCCAGCTGCACCGGATTTTGCTTTTCGATCTGTTCGGGAGACCTTGTCTCAACTTCCTGAACGGTTCTTTCAGGAAGCTCTGGGCATGAAGGAGTTGCGTTGCTACGCCCACCAAAAGGATCCTTTCGAGAAACAGGTTTGGGCGGAAAAGCGGTGCGGCTCCATGCCATAGCCCACATGAAAGAGGCTGGCAACTAATATAAACGAGCTACCGAGCACGAGACTGAACCATTCTCAGCACTGAAACAGCGGAACCTTGGAAGCAGGGTCCCCAAATGGCTTAATCATAGGTCAAGTCAGATGGCGGCATGCTCAGGTCTAGAAACCGAAGTTGGAGTTTAAAGGGGTCGAGACTCGCCGCGAGTCTTCCGGGATGATTGAACCTGCCAAAGATCATCCATACCTAGCGAATAGATACCTAAGTATGCCCGAGGTTGGCATGAGAGAGCTGAAGAGGCACCTAAGAGAAAAAGCGGAGACCAGCTGGTGTGGGTTGTAATTTCATCTCTGATTGGTCGAGTCTCCAACCACTGATATTTGTCGCTTCAATCCGCAGTTGGACGGAGCTTCAAAAGTTGAACATTCCGCTTGAACTGTTGCGTTCAATCGAAAAGACACCTTTGCCTTCCTATACCGACGTTGTGCGCGTCTTCCAACATGCCGCCAACCGTCCCTCGATTCGTGGCTGTCCCACTCCCGCCGCCTTTCCTCCTTCCTCGATCGCTACTGCGAAAATCCTTGAACGGCTCGCAGCGAAGATGCATGGGCATTCGCTCCATAGACCGACAGCCAAAACACAATCCCTACAACGTCGTCCCGGGCATTCAGCCACTTCTCTCCACGCCTGCCGCCGCCTTCGAACGAAAGTTGAGATCAGATACGCTCCCTCTGCGGTCAGGAGCTCTGGCGACCAAAAAGGGCATGACCGCGGTGTATGATGTCGAGTCCGGAAAGAGAATACCCTGTACGGTGCTACAACTGGACCGAAATCAGGTTGTCAGCCACAAGACGCGAAGAAGACACGGGTACTATGCCGTCTGTGTGGGCAGCGGCACCATCAATCCCAAGAATGTGGCGAAGCCGATGCTGGGCCATTACTCCGTCCAGGGCGTGAGCCCCAAGAGATTTCAACGCGAATTTCGGGTCCGAGGCCCAGAGGGATTGTTGCCAGTAGGCGAGGAGATTCGAGCCGACTGGTTTATTGCGGGACAGTTCGTGGACACTCGGTCAAATTGCAAAGGCAAAGGGTTCGCAGGACCCATGAAGAGATGGGGCTTCAAAGGTCAGCCGCGAAGTCACGGCCACTCGCTCAGCCACCGATCGCATGGTTCGGTGGGCCCGAGTCAAGGCGGTGGTAGTCGTGTGTATCCCGGCAAGAAGATGGCCGGAAATATGGGTGGCCAGAGGAATACAGTGCAGAATTTGAAGGTCTTGCAGGCGGATGCAGAGAATGGGATTGTCGTTGTACATGGTGAGTACCGGTTCCGCTGCCCCCTCTAGGCTGACTCGCCGATGCTAACGAGATGCGCACAGGAGCTGTGAGTGGCCCGAACGGATGTCTGGTCATGATCCAAGACGCGTTGAAGAAACCTTGGCCGGAAGTCCCCAAGCTGCCGACCACGCCCAAGGTTGAGGCACCAGTGGTGGAGGCAGAGCCTGCGAAGATTCCTGCATGATAGAGCTATACACGGCTTTGAGCCCATTTGTATCATTACACCGCGGCGCCCAGGCCTGTCTGTCCATATTTCAAACTTTGGCCACGAAGAATCAAGCCTGTTTCATTAAGTGCTCATTCCCATGCAATCGCGGAAAGACAATGTATCCTATCATTGTACAAAATGATTCCCGAACATCTTTCGTGGTAGAGTCGACGCGGTCACTTGCCTACTAAATACAATCAGGCTCCCCTATACTCGTACCTCAGGCCATCCAATTCGGCCAGTCCCGCATGAACGTCCGACATGCTCCTCCTCGTGATGAAGACCATTCCAAAAATGAGGCCGGGAAGCAATAAGAACAGCCACAGTCCCTCCGGGACGTCGGTTCGCGAGCGATATCCCATTGACGCAATGAAGAGCAGAGCGCCAATGAATGCGTTGAGGTAAGGCAGGTACTGATTGATGGGACTCTCGGCGGACGTTAATAGGAAGCCCGTTTGAGAGATTCCCGTGCCGTACGTCTGTCGCTGTCGTGTGGGAGGGGCGGTACGCGTAGTAGCAGAGAGAGATCCCAGTGGGGTCGATGTAGGGATCATATACATGATATAGGCGCTGGACGCGAGCGAGGTGATGCTCAATAGGCACAAAAACGCCATGGCTCTCGAAGTCGACATCGAGAGGTACCACATGAACGGGAGGGTGACGATGAGTGGCAGGCCCGTAAACACCATGGTGTAGATGGCGTTCGTGGAGATCTCTGAGGCCTGGAGATTCTGGAGGAGGTGTTCTTGTTCTGCTCGATTGTATGAGAACGACATGTCAGGACATTATTGAAGGGCTTCTGGTAAACACCGGTCTAGGTTGGAAATGACGTGACCCGAGAGCTTGGATGATTTCCTGGCGCTCCAAGTCCCGAGCAGAGGGCATCATATGCGTGACTGTTTGTGTACATACACGTACCTTCTTCGTCCATTTCTTCGTGCGACATGTCCTCATCATCTTCGGAGGGGTACTTGAATGTTTTCCGAAGCCGTGCAGTGCTCATTATGCTAATTTAGATGCGGTCGGTGGGACGCTGGAGACCTAGTGTCTTCTAGTCTGCGTCCAGCTGCCCCGAAAGCGACTCCAGAAACGTGCGATGAAGAAGTCACAGTTGAAACATCATTGTCGCAGGTTGTGTCATATGATCTCATTAACAGCAAGTTGTCCAGATGGAAGCCTTGGAGTCGTTGGATGAAGCATCTCGCGGAGAAACTTGGCTCCGAAACCCGCCAAGGCGCTAACCTCTTGCAGTTCGATGAGACTCTCCGCTGCCAACATGGTGTCCGATTCTGCTTTACACACCTACCTAGTAACTTCCGATCTTTCTGTAGGTTGCAAATGGCACAAACACGACTGTAATTCCAACCGCTCCTGGAGCTGATAGACGATTATCATGTGTCAGCGCCCTCCAGACCCTCTGGACTCGACACCTTCCTAATATGCTCGATCCAAAAGTCCATGCGACTCAGGGGTAAACGGCAGCCTCGGGCAATATTTGTGATTTCTCCGGACTCAACGGCTAAATCGAAGCTACTAGGATAAAAGTGCAGACACGCCATCTGGATCTAACCATTCTGCTGAGTGCCTGGAGAGTTAGACCACGCAGACGGTCGGAAAGTGAGGAGGTCGCTGATCTCCTTCCCCTTCTAGAGCCCAGTGTTCGGCGGTGAGATGTCTGCGTCGAATCTCCTTCCCCATGTGGCCAGCTGTAAGTCGTGTTGTCTAACGTCTTTTTGGTGCTGACTTTCGACTGATATTGGTTGTCATGCAAGAGACAGATAGTCTCATCACTGCAACAGGATGCGCTGATGTAAGCTTCGAGCCGCACATTCGTATCTCGTATGATTACAGGCCACGGAAAGAACAGATATCATTGTGGCTAGTTCAGAACAAGTTGAACCCCTCAAGTTGCAACAGTTGATTGTTGAAACCTCATGTTGAACTAGGGTAGGAAATAGGACCAAGATAACTTCCTTCCGGACCAATGAGCACGCTCCCCATGCACCATCTGTCCTACACAAGCAGCTTTCATTCGTCCTTCCTCTCGCCTTGAGAGATCTACTAGTCTACGGCAGCTTTCCGTACGAAATTTCAATTCGTCACTACCCTGTTTGTTCAATCTCTGCTTGGAATATGAGCCGACCCACAAGACTCTACGTCCGTTATCATGTGGGGAATGACTAAAAGAGGGAAGAGAAGAGGCTAGCACATTGTCCCGTTGCAGTATAAGGTAAGCGTCGACGACTTGAGCATTACAGTTCAAATCCTATCAGAAGCGACAGCCTAAATCCGTGACCATGTTCGCAGAAGAATTCAAGGTAATTGCGGGGGTAGTCCACACATTTGCTCATCCCATGCGGAAGATGGTGGTCAACCCCACAAACTAGGTCTTACTATGGGAACGGGGTGAATCCTATCAATTCAACGCCACAAAATGCTCCTAGTAACATGTTGCTAATCCCGAGCCGTACGACACGATACGCGGAATCCCACACCCACACCTACACCCTCGCTTTGGGTCTAATCCTTCTTGCATGGGATTTCCGCTATGACACGGCAGACCTCCAGAATGTGCATAAGAGCCAGGACTTCCCCTTCTGAACCGGCCCGTCAATGCTGGCGCAGATGGTCTTCCTCGCTACCTCCCATTCTTATGGGTGTGCACTACCTCTCTTGAGAGTTGGAAATCTCAGTCTGTGACCGTTCGATGCTCAAGTCAAGATGCAGCCCGTCTATTTGCTCCTGTCTCTGGCCTTGTTAGCCATCATCTCCCTACGTTACTACGAATACCGACGGGACAGGAACCTCCCGCCAGGCCCGCCCCGTCTTCCTCTGATGGGAAACCTCCACCAAGCGCCCGAGAAGGTGCCGTGGCGCACCTACGAGCAATGGACCAAGAAATACGGGCCCATCTTCAGTCTCCAGTACGGACTCAGCACCATCATCATGCTGGGCACCCACGAGACCGCGCGGGATCTGCTGGAAAAGCGGAGCAACATCTACAGCGGCCGGCCCCGGTTCGTGATGGCCGACGACAATGTCACCCGAGGACGCCACATCATGCTGATGACCTACGGCCCGAAGTGGCGGACTCACACCAAGATCCAGGCGTCTGTCCTGAACGCCCGCGTGTCGCAGACCTACAAGCCTCTGCAGGACCTGGAGAGCAAGCAGCTGGTCCACGAATTCCTCCGGGGCAATGACTTTGCCAAGATCTATCGCCGATATACGGCCTCTCTCATGTTCTCGCTCGCCTACGGCAAGAGGAGCCCGACGGGGACGGATCCAGAGATCCTGGGCGCCGACGCGATCAACGAGAACTTCCTCCGCGCGGGACGGGTGGGCACCTGGATCGTCGACGCGATCCCGATCTTGAACTATCTTCCACCGGCGCTCGCGCCGTGGAAGAAGACGGCGGAGAAGTTCTTCCGGCTCGAGTCCGGCCTACACCTGGCCAACATGAGGAACGGGGAGAAGACGCCCTCGTGGAACATGACGAAACAGATCCGCGCGACGAAAGAATCGAAGCAGATCCCCGACTTGGACATCTCCTATAACGTCGGCATTATCTACCAGGCTGGGCTAGACACCACCAATATCGCGTTAGATGTGTTTACCCTCGCAGCCGCCACGCAGCCTCGCTTTGTGCAAGTCGCCCAGGCCGAACTCGACAGGGTAGTCGGCTCCGATCGCTTACCCAGCTTCGAGGACCAGGCTTCGTTACCATATATCAACGCGGTGGTCAAGGAAGTCCTCCGCTGGCGGCCCGTCAGCGCAGGAGGGATCCCCCACGCCGTGATGCAGGACGACGAGTACATGGGGTACCGGATCCCCAAGGGCGCCACGGTGATCGGCAACCACTGGTCCATCCACATGGACGAATCCACGTTTCCCCGGCCCATGGAGTTCCGGCCGGAGCGGTGGCTCGAGAACCCGGAGCTGCCGTTGTACGCGTTCGGGTTTGGCCGGCGGGCGTGCACCGGGCAGCACGTCAGCAACAACAGCCTGTTCATCATCGTCGCGAGGGTCCTCTGGGCGTTCGAGATCAAGAAGGCGCTCGACGAGCGCGGGGACGAGGTCGAGATCGACGACATGGCCTTCACGAGCGGGTTCAACTCCCGACCGGAGCCGTTTGAGGTCAGGTTCGTCCCGAGGTCCCGCAGGGTGGTCGAGGTCGTCGAGAGGGAGTTTGCGGACGTGGAAAAGGACATCGATGTGATCATGAAGGGGGTGCAGGATGCCCAGGGTAGAGTAGTGTGAGGACGGGATTCGTAGAATGGGAGGAGCATCCAAGTTTGTCGAGGGCTGAGACCCCCAACCGAGAACGAGAACGACGTGTAGATCTTCCGTGGAATGGGCCCTTTCCTACTAGAGACAGTCGGTCACTCATTCTGGGAGATAGAAATCCGTTCCTAGGCCAGAAGATGGTCTTGCAGGATGGTCTTTGAGCAGCCTCCCTCTCCATACCTGGGAGCAACGAGCACAGCCTGATCGTCCTGATCTCCATAGCGACCCACAACTCGGCCACATCTGCCCTTTGGACCTGAGCCTAACTTCCCGGTTCTCCCGGATGCTCGCTTCGTGCCGGGCGCCATGGACCCCGAAGCTTCGACTATCTCGTTAGGGCTAGGGCGAGTATGCCGCCTAAAGTTTGCTCAAAGTACATAACTATACGTCGACCATGTTTCCCTTTGGGTCTTCCTGGAAAAATCAATCTTCGACCCTTCATGTATGTTCTGCCCCCATAATGGCTCTCCTTCCGCACCGAAATCGTTTGCATTGGCAGAAGTCGTGCTCGAACTTCCTCTCGTTGTCCGTCTATGTTGAAACGGAGCATTTCGCTCCCACCCACACCTGTTGCTACTTCCTCTCATGCTTGCCAACTCCGTAGCGAGGTTGTTATACCTGATCGCATTTGGTCTGCCCCGGCTTCATACAAGTTGCTTGCTTCTACACCGCTACGACGGAAAAGACAACAGGTCCTTCAGCTATTCTGGCCAGCTGGCCTTTATTTTCGCTCTCAGGCTGATCGCTCATATGGCTTGCTTGCTCTTCTGGTCAGGTTATCTCGACAGCACATGGCCATGCAGTTTGATCCACCCTCGTGCAGTCCAAGAGCCAATCATGATTTTTTTTGTGATTTCACGGAAAAGTGCAAAAAAAATCGTGATTGGCTCGCTTCCAGAACCACGACCGGGGAGCTCCAACGAAATCAGCCAAAGACATCTGTCTCCTGCAGAGGCTCTGTGACCGACATGAACCTTCTGCTAGAGCGTTCTGTCTGGCTTCGGAACAGGCGGCCAACGTCGCTTTGTAGATGTTCTTTGGGGACTAGCCTGAAAGGAAGTAGGACTTCAGATAGATAGGTCTCTAGAGCTGGTACGAGCAGTGGCTGTTTGAGCGTGCTGGGTTGTCCTCTAAATCTGAGATGGGAGATATCGGGATGAAACTCACCCAGTAGAGGTAGCAGGCTCTCATCAAAACCAAGGCTATGCAGCGGGATCGGTTCCCGCAGAATTTCTTCTCCTGGTTGCAACCGTCAGGCTGCACTTTAGAGTGAATTTCCCAGCTTTTGATGCCAACCGAATTGACCACCCCGCTGTAGGGGGCCGCAATATGTCATCCCCTACCGAGACGTTCCAGAGTCTGCCCCAGGTAAGATGATTTCTGGCACTTAGTAACCGGAAAACAGGGGCACGAGGCGCCGCATTTGTGGATCGCATTTCGTGGTGCGCCCGGGTTTGGCACCGAGGGCAAAGCGTAAGAGCCAGCTCGCCACTCCAGCTCGCTATTGCTCGCACGAAGATAATTGAAAGTCGCCTTGGCTGCACTGGACTGCAGAATTTATGGGGCTTTCGGCGTAAGACCCCCTTGGCAGGGCACTAGCCTACGGGGTGGTGCTCTGTACGAATGCTCTGCGGTGGGGGGGAACCCATGAACGAGAAAAAAAGCCAAACAGGTGATACGACTCTACAGTCAGCAGAGATCAGGGTTTGAGGGCGGACTGCTGGGCCTTCGCAACTTGCCCCGTCCAATCACTCGTCGAAGCTCCTTGCGTGAGCCGATTAGAAGCGAGCTTCCACCATAAACTTACCCTTTTTACTCCGCTTAAAGGCGCGATAGTCCTAAATGGCTCGCAATCCGGTACTGATGCAGACAAGGAACATACTGTGTCGAGAACACACATACACCCCCAATATATATATATACCTAGCCGTCCAAGACGTCGGAGCTATCTCCCTCACTCTCTGTGTGCATCTTGTCTTGCTCCACAATCAATGCAATCTATACCCGCTCGCATCTTTCTCTCATTGGAACCTGTTTACTGCTCCATCCACACCCACCTCGGCTCGCCAACGGCGCGAACAACGAATAGAAAAGACTATCGACCTAACCCTACAACATGGGCCTCACGGCCGAAACCATCGTCGGCATCATAGCGCTGTTGGTCATGTGTACCCCAAGCTTACCCTTCCTATGGCGATACTTGCGCAGGGAGCGACTGCCCTCGGGCAACGGACCGTCAATGCACCATAGCATCAGCACGTCGGCTCAACATCAGCTTCAGAGTCTCCCGGGTCAATCCTTCATTCCCTTGCCCTACGTGACCGGTATCGAAGTACAGGCCTCGGCCTTGCGATTCCAGTATGTCAGCACAGACTGGACCCACCATCACGCCCAACTGTCGTCCCTGGAGAATGGAACACTATACACTTCCGTGAGCACGAGACCGATGTCATTCACGGGGTGCATGTCTGGGACTAACCGAAACGTATTGAGTAGAGAAACATGCGCCTCCGAGAGAATATCGTCCTTCGCTCGGGCCTCTGACAGCCATGCAACACGGATTGGGGAATTTTTTTCATTTATGGGAGAGAAGAGACATTGCCTCCGCGGGTCCCCTGGGTGAGGGTGCATGTTGGTTAAAGCACTTGTCGGGGCATTAGAACTGTGCTGCCCCTTTCTGCCTTGTAGATTATGAGTCCAAGTCGTCGTCGGTAGTTGCAATTGTAATGAACAGCAAGGTACCAAGTCACTGGTGAAGAACCATCCCTGCATTGCAACATCAGCGGTAGCTCGCGCTTCAAAAGAGACCATGAAGCCAGCATTTCTAATTGGAGTTCTTAAAAAGTTCAATGTTGGGACGGCCTTGTCAAGCCCATTCATCACGTTCGCCATTCATTCCCACCAGCGGAACAAAGCATGTTCTTTCAAAGTTTGCTAGAGTCCAATGTTCGACGTGGCGGAGAGGTGAGGGGAGACAATGTATGGCAGTCTTCTGTCGGCCATGACTTTGATGACATACCAGTGACCATTGAGTCTTCCGCTTGATCGTAGACCTCCAGTTGGCCCGCGACCGCCCCCTGTCGCTTCAGACCAAAAGCCCATCCAACTCCTGTGAGAACCACTTGAAGTTGTTGTCGGACGAACCTTGGCGGAGCACGGCAAAAATCACGTCCTCCCACCAACCGCCCGAGAACTCGATTTCCTGGAGCACCTCCGACCAGAGACGGGCCACCTCTTTGGGAGGATTCTGGAATGCCCCGCAGCCGAAAGCGCCAAGTACAATCTTGCGGTGTCTGTTCTTGATGGCGGTCCGAAGGATAACGCGCATCTTGTCTCTCATCAAGTTCCGATCTTCTCGTCTGGCGTAGAACTTGGCTGCGTCCTGGTTAGGCAGAGCCTGGTTGCACCCTAGACTAGGTTGAAAGACGGCCGCTGCGCTGACGACACTGATGACTGGCAACTGGCTGGGGTCTCGGCAGTCGAGAAGCTTGTGGCCATTTGCGAGACTCTCTCTGATCACGAGGACAGTGGGAGAGTAGATGGCGGCTTTGTCTGGGATTGGGTAGAAGCGCAGTTTGAGCGTGAAGTGCAGAGAAGTGCGGTAGCAAAGGGCTTCTTCTTGTGCGAGGGCGCCAGTTCTGAATCCACCACCTGCGCGAACTGCGTTTGCCATGTTCAGGATACAGACTGGTTTCTTGGATGAAGCGTGGGTGAGTTGGAGGGCGGCGTCAATAGTGTCGCTGCTGATCACGCGGACTTTTGTCTTTGCCAGTTTTGGGCAGAAGCTCTGATCGAGCGGAGTGGCGCCGTCTTTTTCATAGAGGTAGCCATCTGGCTTTGCATCCGGTCGCGTCACGAGGAGGCCAGGGAGGACGGAGATTGTTTCTTTGGCAACTTTCACTAGTTGGTCTCTGTCCTGGGACTTTGGGGTTGTCGGGGGACGGGTTTGCAGCTTTCCAGCGGAAGAAAAGCTCAGCACACCCTGACGGAAGCGCACAGACGGGTCCTTGCCGCTTGACATGCTGTGAGGGACGTTCATTGTGGTACCAGATATGGGTTGATGTTGTGAGAGAGTGACGGCGTGGGGAAGGGAAATCACAAAAAGAAGGTTGGCGCGAAGTAGCAACAGTGGAGCCTGTCACAAGGCTGAAGAGCCTCCAGCTCCGACGTGACGCCGCTTTGGAATTCGAATTCCGGGTTTGTCCAGCTAGAAGAGCCTCAGCGGTCGACCTACGTCAATGTTGGGTCCTAATGCATGTCGACCACAGTTGGATCATTTCTTCGAGGCTACTTCAAGAGAGGCAAAAAGAAGCCTTGCGCAGTTGGTGACCCTTGGGCTATCCGGATGGTCAAAACCCAATATGACAGCACGCTCTCGTGTTGCCTGCTTTTGTCCTGCAGCGCTGTTAGACAAACTCGATAATAGCAATGGGATGGACGCGGTTGCACCCCTAGCCCCCAAGAATGATATAGATATAGGACGGGGGCAGATCAGGAGACGGTTGGGAAGGCTACAGGATGAGATTCCCTTGTCCCGAAAAAGCAGGAATCCCGAGCGGCTTTCCCCATCTACTCCGCATAACATGAACCTCTGATCGTTAACAATGAGCAAAGATCATCACCTCCAAGTCACATTCCTAGAACGGAGGGTGAAGACACAGGGCTGGGCCACAGTGAAGAGGATTCCATCAGCAGCACCCGCGCCCTAGTGAATTTGTGGCCTGTGCTCTCACCTAGTGATGGACCTGGACGAAACAATGACCACGTCCACTTCTTCCTCACCGTCCGCACTGCACGACACCATCGACATCGACGAAGGGTTCGAAGACGACAGCCTCTACCCGGAAGACATGAACAACGACAACGACGGCGACAACTCTCAGAGCGACCGCCCTCACACTCCCGCGAACGACCACCTCAACGCAGCCGCCCCGGGCGAACTGTCACCCCCGCGATCGCAGAGGCAAAGCCAAATCGAAGACCTACAGCAGCCCGCGTCACAAGCAATGGCCAACGGCACCGCCACGCGCAGCTCGGCGAGGGTTGCAGCCATGCAGTCAAAATCCGAGGCAGAAGGCCAAGCGCAGGTAGCTTCCACAACGGATGATCGAGATGGCCGCGGCAAGCCTGGCTGGGCGTGGCGCAACAAAAAGGCACAGGAAGAGAGGCAGCGTGCGTGGGAAAACATTGTCGACCGGGATTTCAGTCTCAAGGAGTTTGGGGATGTCATGTTGCAGGGCAAGGCGCAAGTATCTGGATGATGGTGATGTGATACGAAAACAATCAAGGAGCAATATGCGGATATGCCTGATGAGCATGGAAATATGGTTTACTCTGGTTTCATTTGCATGGCGAAGGCGCACCAGATAAGGAGATGGCATTCATATGGAGGGCGCTAGAAGACTTGTGTCTATGGGACCGGACGAGCATTCGCAGTACCTCTATTCTGGAACAAAGCTCCTGATGATTTATGCACTCATTGCAACTACACCATATGCTTGGCCGAAACACGCCTATCCCGTACCATACCTTTAACTTTTCACCCTATCATCTCACCATCTCTTGACGGCAGTGCAACAGAACAAAACCAGGGAGTTACAGGGCGTTATTCTGACGTCACGCATCTCCAGTCCTTCTGGAAGCATGGTTTCTTGATATGCCCAACCACACGACCCGGTCCCCCAGATGTCATCCAGCGCACTTACTTGTCCACTCTAGCTATAATGTCCCCCGCTACGGAAGGAGACGCTCCGCCTCGAGCATCAGAGAGTCATAGAACGATCCCGTACGACATCAACGACGACACGCTACGGCCAGCACGGCGACACGCCTTGATCCACGCCCCCGGACGCATACAAGGCTGGCGTGCCGTGTCCGCTGATAGTCGCGCTGCACGAGAAAGGGCAACCAGCCCCAGAATTCGAGCATCACACTCAGCTGTCCAATGCAGTGCTCAACCCGGACGCCATCGTCGTGTACCCTGAGGGAGTGAAGTTACAGTGGACCGCGACCGTCGGTTTCGTCAACGTGCTGCTAGACCACGTCATGCGCGACCTACGCTGTGGATGCCACGCGGGTATACGTCGCGGGGTTCAGCAACGGCGGAGGGCTCGCTGCGCTGCTGGCATGCGACCCGCGAGCGTCCGGCCGCATCGATGGGGTCGCCGTGTCTACAGCCGCGGTCTACCGGGACGAGGCGCTCAAGGAGCCTCTGTTCAGCAAATGCAACCCCTTCACGCCTCCCGGTCCCCATCCTCGAGTTCCACGGCGATGCAGACCCCGTGATCCCCTACGAGGGCAAAACCACGCCGGACGGGCCGACGTACGACGTTTATGAGTGGCTGCAAGGCTGGGCGAAGAGGAACGGACGTGTCGATCTGGAGGGCAAGCACAGCTTCCTGCACGGCGGCAAAGTTGAGAAGAATGTTTGGAGTACCACGGGTAAGGCGCACGGAACGAGCAGCATGTGCAGGGTGTGATTGAGCATTTACAAAATCGCTGGCTTCGGTCACGGATGGCCGTCACGGTATCCGCTCAACAATGACAGCCAGGAACGACACGGTCCAACGTACTTTGACGCGACCCCGCTGGTGATGGAGTTCTTTGGGAGATTCAAGCGTACTGAAGCATAGAGCATCGTATTAGAAAAGCAAGACTAAAGTAGACAGGTGATATTCGTGCCGTGCAACAATCATCTTTCGTGAGCGGGTTTATAATGTGCGCGTTTGCACTCTTCATCTCTGGAGTCCGTCAGGCTTCCGGCGTTCAAAAGTCCTCGAGCCTCCGGTTTTCAATCAAGCAGTTGTCGCAGCTGGCGACACCGACGAGCGAAGCCAGATATGTTCTTCACCGTCTTTTTCGACAACTGCGCAGGGAGTTTGAAAGGTCTTCCGCGAATATTGTCCTCGGGATATTCTGGGGCGTCGGACCATTGGTCTTCAGGGATGGCGGCGGCGACATCATCGAAACAATGGCCGCGTGACTCGCCAAACGCCCAAGCCAGCTCCCGAGGCGAGCACTTCTTGCCCCGAATGCCCTCTGGCAAATCTCTGTCCTTGATTGGTCCCGTGAGAGCTTTTCGGTCAGCTCCTAAGTCCAACAGGGTCCGGACAAGCTCGAAATGGCCATTTGCTGTGGCCATATGCAGAGGTGTCCAGCCTCTGAAATCTCGGAGTTCAAGGGCACTTTGCGAGCCGAATTTCTTTTCGTATGCCTGGAACAAGATGGGAAAGTTCTCGGGGATGCCATACTCGGCCACAAAATGCAGCGGCGTCCAGTCAGAGTCAGCACAGAGCACAAAGGGATCGACGCCATAGTCCATCAGTAGTTGCAAGTCCGCTGGTTCGGCGAAAATTGCGGCACGGTGCATAAGGCTCCAGCCACGACTGTCAACGTGGTCTTCGTGCAACATGTGGAACTCTTCGCCTTTGGCGCGTAGCATGGTGATGAACTCGGATGCAAGGGGGTGCCGGTAACCTACTTCCATGTCCCATGGCCACAAATAATATAGAGGGGACCAGTTATGGGCGGTGACGTGATCGAAAGAAGCCCCATAAGAAAGAAGTGTCCTGCATATCTCCAACTGTCGCTGCTGAAGTGCCCAGCACAGTGGAGATGTCTGTTTGACGCCAAAGACGCGGTTCACGAGAGCCCCTTGAGTAAGTAGCAGCTTGACAGCATCATGTCGACCATACTGGATTGCGAGACACAAAGCTGTGATCCCTTCCTTTGTGGCGTCAAAAGGAGAGGCCTTCCGCAGAACAAGAAGCTGCCGCATTCTCACAACATTACCCTCTTTAGAGGCCCTCAAGAATTCATGTTCTGGAGACACTTCGTACCATCCCAGGACGCGACCCTGGTTAAGTAAAGCCACTAGCCAGCGTCGCGAGACGAGGCAATGCATGGCACTTTGCAGGCGTCGAGCCAAATTCTGCATGGTATCGCGGCGCGCAGGTACGACCCTGAGAAGCGCGATTGATTGAATAATCCGCGTCAAGATGCCGTGCACGTTGAATACACGATTGATCTTTCGATAGACCCAGACTCCAGCACACCAACAATCTTGGAGACGAAGTGAAACAACAGGAACATTCTCTTTTGCTGCATCCCACTGCTCTGTCTCCGTGACAGTTATTTCGATTCCTTGCGTCTCTGCGACCGCTTCCATAGGGACTGACGGGTCATGTTCTAAGTCATTGGACGTCTGTGCGAGAATCCTGCATGGAGATGTCAGTTCCATCCAGCTCGATCGATTAAGTATCTTACAATCGCATAAGCAAACGAAATATAGCCCTCTGGATATCTTCTCCCACTTCTGACGCCAATCTTTCGAATACCTCTCTGTCGCCTGTCAGCCAACGCATCTTGGAGCGTTTGGTGATTGCCTTGGGTAGTAATTTTGTCATCGAGACAACAGCCCTTGCCGCGTCCGGAAAAAGTTGTTTGCACTCTTCTGGAAGATCGCCGTAGTGGAGTGATACTTCATGGATACTTTGTAGCTTTTCCACCCGTGCTGCCGCTCGGTCGAGGTCGTCGGGGACACGTTTCCATCCGCGGTAGAGGCGCACACTCTTCACGCTATTTTCCAGTATTGGGGGAACTGAAATTGCGAGACTCAAAGCTTCCATACTGATAGATGTGAAGCCGATAAAACCGGTACGCTCTCAAAGAGTCGAGGCGATCTGGTGGCGGAAAGCACTCAGGCTGCGATGCTTGCCCACAAGGGCTTCTCTCTTTTAAACACATCGTACGTTGGGCTGCTGACCTCTCCGTCGACACCTATGTCTCTCACTGGGCACTAGAAGCGGGATAGCCGGATTCTCGACAATGAGGCTGTAGCATTGATTCGGTGTTACCCCTGCTGTTCTCAGCCAATCCAACTCGTTCACGCAATGCAAGTCGACCGCCTCAGAGATACAACACCACTGCAAACATTGCCCACACACACACCGGTCAAAAATGAGAGCTGACGAGTGCAGGATGCGCGAATAAGCCTCCAAGACAGTCTGCATGCCTGACGCCCAGCAGTTTTGGCAAGGCGCCGAATTCGAGGAAGGCTCAGGTGACATGACACGGCCACGTTGAGATGCTGGCTGCGCTTTCTTTGATTGATGTTACCTAGACTCCCCAATGGCACTTTAAGCACATACAGTAGCAATCCGACAAGGAAGGCGTCAGCGACTGCCACTAACCCAACCAGTGATGCCCACTGATGGAGAAACGGACGGATGCGTGAATCGGACAAAGTCCTCGCTCAGACCCATAAATAATCTCGTGCCGCAAAAGCCTACGGCGCAAGTAGGGCTGCACATCAGAGTATGCACCCGCAGGCGATCTTGTAAATCAACAAAGAAATGGTTGGATAATTGGCATGGTGATCGTTAGATACCAAGTACTTGGTGGAAGGTTGCGCGATTGATTTGGCGACGCGGTTAGCTAAGCTGCACCCACTCATAGGGTCTCGCGAGCGAGATAGTCGTCTTCGGTTCGAATATACCTAAGAATACCAAGTACTCCGTACTTATCTAGTTCTCCATAATGTAACCGCTTTAGGAAGGTGCTTCCAAAGCCGGGGGTGTCTACAGATTACCCCATATATTGCACGCTCAAGTCATCTTTTCTTGCTGAGACCCGGCTGGAATTCAATCACCCTCACATTGGTAGCAGCTCACATCATCTGCAAACCCACCGAGGCCGAGCTCTTGACCGCAGAGGCATCGAGTCAGCTACAGTGCTCTCCAATGCCAAGGTCCAGCACAGCATTGAGCTAGCCAGGGCCAACATCATCGAGCAAAAGCACTGCTCCACCACGAGACGCGGCCGAACTCTCCCAGGACGACCGACGGAAGTGTGCAGAGGGGCAACGAGAGAGCCTTGGTCTTCAAGCAACGTGGAAGCTTTTCAGAGTGATTATTTGTAGGTTCCAGGAGAGCCTTTGAGCTCTTGACCGGGAGGCTGACTCCCCAGCGCGGATGAGTCGTCTAATTATCTTCCGCGCCGGATCCAATTCTCCCAACGCACACTAGAGCAAGCCGCCTTCCAATCGGTCTGCAGGGACAACTGGGGAACCGCGGGGGAGAAGCGCTCCGACGGGGATGCCCAAGCTATTGTTCAAAGGAGGCATGCTCTATCGACTTGGGAGTTTAGGCTTCGATGCACCAGGCCACTTTAAGAACCCGTCACATCGCTGTCCCCGTTGAAAATTGTGCCACAAGCAATGGGGATGCAGTTCATACTTTTTTGGTGGAGTAGCCCTACCAATTTCAACGCTGTTTAGGTTCAGCTACTCTCTGCAGTGAGCCTTCATGTCTCGCGGAAGTGGGAATGAATGCGTATGCTGAAAGATCATCAGAGAATCCCATCCGAGCAATGGAGCAGTCACAGGACATCTCCCAACGAACGCTCGAAGCTGATTCTACTCTTGTCAACCACCCAAAATTTGCAAAGCCTTGGGAATATCTCACCGAAGAAGTTCGCGGGGAATGGGGCCGATGGATATGGTGCAGCAGCTCCTCGTCGCAGGTTTCAGCACCGCTTTGTGGATACTTGCGTGACTTGCTAACGGGCTTGACGAGGCTCTAATGCCGGCTTGTGCCACTTAGTGAGTTAGTGACGGCACCAGCCACCAACTCTATCCTGAAAATCACACGAAAAATGGGTTCTGTGCCTATTTTTCCTTGCTGGGCTGCTCGGTCTTGTCAAATCGTATCAGCAAAGACACATTGAGTCACTCTCATGGCTTGTCTACAAGGGGCGGGGGTGTCGGGCTCGACCTTCCGACGGCCCACAAGTCGCGACGTTGAATATGCTCGTGTTGTCTTGCTTCCACAAATTTGGCTGCGTCTCCGAGTGTGGCGTCTGACCTCGCCGTCAACTCTGCCCCGATCTGAAGATTCGACCTCGCTTTGGCCTTTCAGAGGGATTGCTTTAAATACGGCAGACTCGCCATGTGGTTGCTCAAAGTTTCATATCCCTTCTCGTACCTTTGTCGACGAAACTTTACCCTCTGACGCCTCTGTCTCCCTGGATACTCCACCTCGTCACCTTTCACAGCATGGACGCCAACTTCAAACCACTCTTCAGCACTGGCCGTCTTGCAAACAGCCTTCTACCCGCAAGATTGACGGCGGAGAATCTGAACATGGCCCATGGCATCTATGAGCAAAACGTGGGTCTGCAAGGTGAGAAGATATCATCATTGGCAGCCACATTCTAACCGCATTCAGTCACCAGAGAGGACGCTCGTCGCGAACCCAAAATCCAAACACTGTCGATGAATTTGGAACGTTGCATGGCCAAAAGCACCGGTGCCGGGATCAGTGCTGGCACCACAACCACAACGTTCGTCGCCAGCTCACAGGGCAAGGACTATGTCGATAGACAGGCACCGCCAGAGCTGGTGATGAGCATGGAATCCCGACTGGACATATCAAAGTTGGACGAGGTAGACGTTCCCTCGGGCATGCATTGGACGTTGCGGGAAGAAAACGAGCCAGCAAAACCGGATGGACCGATCAAAGCTGGAGACCCAAAGCAGGGATAGTATTCAGGCAAGGGCTCAGGTGCGGACAGAGCCGTCGGTACCATCAGAGGGACCAAGTACGAGTAATGACAGTGTCACAAGGGGGGGGGGGTCGCTTGGACGATACCATCGGGCTCGACTTGCCTCGCCGAGGCCATCTCCCATCTGCCTTTCGGAGGAAACAAAAAAAAAGCACAAGGGGGAGAAAGGGAACAGGAAAAGAAAAGGAAGGCAGTCTCAAAGGCTGCCAACTGCATATATTTGCCACTTTTCTTGGTGGAACCTAGAATTCTTAGCGAATCTCGCCCCAACGCGTGCAGCATACTTCGAGAGACTTTGTTTCAACACAATGTCAGGTCATAGTCAGTATAACTAATCAATAGACTGGTGTGGGAACCTGTATGGCTCGCTTCGTAGCTGACAATACTCTGCGTAGTAGATCAAAACAACGACAAGAGAGCCTTGCTGCTCTATCCTCAGGACGTACAGCGAAAGTCGCCTATAGTTTCCACATGTGGCTCACAAAAGGATCCCAGGATCCTTTTAGCAACTCTGACAGAGCCTGGTGCTTCTCGATCTTTGACTAGGACCGTGACCTCAAGGACTGAGCCTTCCCAGACGACGGATCAAGACTGGCACGACTCGAAGTGGGAGAGATAGTGTTCTGCTCAGTGTGTGGGGACCATGCGAGTGTTGTAGGGATGAAAATTCTCCTTGTTTAGCGGGTACCATTGGCGGGGCCTCAGCGTCGCTTTGACACCTATGACCCGTGGACAACCTCCAACTCGGTCCAACTCCTCATAGGCAGAAAGACGAATTACCGAAGTACTAGGACTATTCGAAAGATTGGGACGAAATCTAGGTTGAACGGTTGCTGGCATTGCGAATCCAAGCCAAGGAGGCACAAAATTGGATTGCTTGCGCCTTATGAACTGCGCCGGTAAGCATAGCCGGAAGAGAGATGCCTTGGTTAGCATTGTCTGCCGTGGAGTTCGTTGCGAACGTGAAGACGGCCAAGGCATTAGGGGTTCAAATATATGGCCTGCAATGTAAGGAAAGGGTCTCAGAGTTACAAATGCACCAGACTAGTCCGAGATTTGATGCTAATAGCTTTCCTTTGTATTCCGTTGGGTATCATAGCCAGGCTTGAGCACAAGAAGGAACTCACTGATCCGTCCCTCTTCCGTAGAGCAATAAAAAAAAGGAATCAAGGGACACAACCAATCCCGGATTCCACGCCTTCATCGTCTTACAACTGTTCCAAGCGACCTTCCCTCACTTCTTTGTCGCTGCTGGTGCCAGCCCAGGCACGTTCGAGTATCGTTCATCTCTCTCCGTCTTGAAGAGAACCTGGCACCAAAACTCCTTTGCGTCGGCGTCCCACCAAGTCCAATATCTCCCTTCCCTCCGGTCCACCTCCCTGCTCTGTAATTTGAAGCCGCATGTCTCATAGGGCTCGGCCGCCACCAACAAGTACTGGTAATCCCGGTCCGGATCTTCCACCTTCTGTTCGAACGCGCTCATGAACCGGACGCGCGGCTCCATGTTGGGCGCGATCTCCGGGTACAAGAGTTGAAAGAGCAGGCCCACTTGCCGGGTGAGAGGATCTCTGATCTTTGTGATTTTGTACCCGGGCCGCCCGATCTTGACCATGTTCTTGCGGACTTGGACCCCCATCATCCCCGCGCCCATCAGGTTTCCATCCTTTTGCATCTCCTTCTGTTCCCTCGCCGCACGTCGGGCGAGGTTCGTTTGGTGTTTCCGGCCCTGGGTGTGGGCGAGATAGGAGCCATCGTTCTGGTGGACTGTGAGACATAGTCTGCACTCGAAGGAGCCGACGTGGTTCTTGAAGAAGTACGGGTCTTTGTCCAGGTCGATGGTTTCGAGGGCGAGCTTTCGCAGCCGCTCGCGACGATCGGTGTTTGTCGCGGAGTGGGAGGCTACGCCGCCACCCCCGAACTTTGATCCCGCCCGATTTTGATAGTCCATGGTTGCAATATGGTCGTGTGGATATGGGGATCGGACAAAAGCGATCGATCAGGAGGCGCCGGTGACACGTCAAAAGAGGCTGGCGCAGAAGAAGGTCTTTGCGCTTCGTGGACTGAAGGCGGCTTCGGCGACCAAAAGGTGGCAGAGGTGAGAATCCAAGGTGTGGAGGCGGGCAATGGGGAAAGAATCCGGAGACTTCTAAGAAGTCGTCCCTTAAGAAGATTCTGGTGGAAGGGACAAAAGGTGAACGAGAGAACAGTGCGAAATTGCGAAGGTCGATAAGTGCAGTTAAGAAGATTGAGCTAAGAATTTCACTCGCTCAGCCTCGTCTTTCTCCGCAAATCTCTCACAAGGCTGAATAATTAATCTCCGCTCCACTGATCCCACCACGCCTTTGTCTCCGTATAGCTTGTAGGAGGTTCGAAAGCTCTCATTCCCTAGGAGAGAGACACATTTCCTGCCTGCCACAATGTCAGAGTCATTCTATACCTCACCCCCAGCTGGGACAGTGCCGCCTGGCGTACCAATCTCGCCACCGCTTCCGACATCACCGACCGGCACCGTTGGTGCACCACCTCCCCCTCCACCGCCAAAACCCATATCTCATCTCTCTCAAAGCGCCGACCCCAGCCGGTCTGCAACACCAATTCTTTCGTCGGCTTCCGTTACAAACCCTGCTCCAGCTGTGCCCAGCAAAGTAGACTCTCCGCGTCCGCAACCACCACTCCCAATTGAACGACACCCGACAGGCTCTCCCATTCCCGGCCTCCAGTCACAACAATCGATTCCACCTCAAGAGCCCTACCAACCGATTCCGCCGCCGTCCATCCCTGAACGCTGGCTCCCAACTAACGTCTCCAACAAGCCTCTAAATGAGCTCCAACCGCTGCTCAATAATCCCTCCCTGGTGGCCAGCCTAGCCTCCCAACACCCGTCCTACCGCTCCTCGCTCATCCCTTTGGAAAGGGCCATCCAGCAAAACGTTCAGCTCGCTCAGCAAGTTGCTCATCTTGAGAGTCAACTCCGTGCCTTACGCGATGACACTGCTCAGTTGCTCCTAAACCATACGAGCCTGCAGACCCAGTGGCGCCGGAAACAAACAGAGATGGATGATGCTTTAGCGCCTTGGGGCCCGAGACAGATGTATCAGCGGCTAGTCTCGAGCATAAATGAGCAGGAAGCGGTTTTAAAAGCTATGCAAGAGAGCTTCCTTGAGGGTGGCACTGATGACGACGCCTACCACGGAGGTACCAAGGATGGCAAAGCAAGTGAGAAGGAAGTCACTGAGTGGGTACGGAGGATAAGAGAAGGCGCAACGACATTAGAAAAGAGAAGAGAGATGCGAGCACGGTGGGATGAAGGAAGAGTAGGCGGTTGGAGGTGATGATCACTTCTCATCCCTAACAATAATACCCAACGACTATGTCATGTGGGACAATCCTACCCGGCCTTCCATCTAACGCCTCACACGTCGACAACGTGTTGAAATCAGGCTTTACAGACCAAAGGCCAACCCAAGGCACACTACCGCACCAACAATGCTCGATCCTAGTGCCAGTCTCACGTCGCTGGTGGTCGTACCACTTCCTTGTCCGGTCTGAGCGTTTTTCCCATACGCGGTTCGAGACGCCGATGCAGCGTAGCTTGATTCAACTGCAGCATGGCGAGACATTGATACAGCCAGCCTTGATTGCTCCCAGGCGCTGGTCTGCAATTGTCCATCCCTCTCTTCGCTTGCCCACTTGGACTTCTCCGAGGCAGCCCTGGACATTCTTCTGGCGGAGTCTGACTCCGAAGCGGCGGCTCGAGAGACGGAAGCGATGAGATCCTTGTAACCCTGAATAGATGCTACCCAGCTGTCAAGGCTTTGTCTTTCTGGGTCATTTGTTGGTTCATTGATGGCATAACCGGTCATGGTGGGCGGAGGGGTAATGGTGGCATAATAATTGGTAACGCTTGCAGGCAGTCGGGCATACCACTGCGGCACCGAACCGCCAGAGAATTCATTGGCCAGAGACTCGGCAGCATCAGGATCGTTGAGCATGGCGTCCTTGACTTCGGCCGGCATGGCAGCCTGGATCTCATCACTGATCCTTGCGTCTTGTCGGGCCTGGAGATGATGTTCATCAACGGCGTTTGAGCCGAACATGGCGGGCTGCTTCAACTCAATGCTAAACTTGGAATCCGCGTTGTTTGGTGATCGGAGATAGAGCTCAGGGTCGAAGGGTGAACCGCCGCCGTCCTGGCGAGCCTGCAATTCGATCTCAGGCAGACAGTCCTCAAAGGTGATGACACACTGCGCACCAAGGACACACTCCCCGGAGTCTGCATCCGCAGCGCAGGCAAGGAAGTTGATTGAGTCTTCACAGTACTCGCCACTGATGGCGAAGCACCCCTTGTCCGTGTTCGGTGCCCTCTTTCGAAGCTCAGCAGGGAAGTTTGGAAAGGCTAGGATGTTCTGGATGGGAAGGGGACTGCGAGTTTGGCTGTTCGACTTTGAATCCCGTGGTATTAGCTTCAGGCCATCACCGACACGTTTGCTCCCCTTGTCGGAGAACAATGACGCGGTGCCGCAAGCCAGGATGGCAGCGAGGAAGACAGCTTTGCTCTGCATCTTGAGTCTTGAGTGCCGGGCTGAGGAGCAGCTGCGTGATTGGAAGGAAGACTTAGGGTCTGGATGGAGTGGGTTGGAGAGGTAGAGACAGAGTGAACGAATACAGCTGCTAAGAGTTGACGGCACGAGCCCAGCTCAAGATTCGATGCTTGGAAAGTGAATGAAGTTGGGATGGAAACAATGTGGAGGAGAGGAAGACTGCAGAGACATAACGCAGGCTTAAAAGAGAGTCGAACAGGTGGGAGGCTCCTTCCTGTTCACCGTGCTCCTTCCTGGCCTTGAATGCTGGGACGTCATCGTGAGCAGCGGCCGTGAACAAGCAGCTACAAAAGGTCGAGGCAGGCATGAAGCTACAGAGAGTGAGAACTTGGGCATATTGAGCTGAATTGATAGAAGTGATGGACTTGATGCGCAGTGCTACGGCCCTTAGAATTCTCCTACGTATATAGGAACGCTTCCACCGAGACCGAGTGATGATCTCATTCTTCTCGGTCATTCGGTCATCTCGGCCACTCGCTCTACAAGGCTGTCAGTACGCGTGTGTCTCAGCCGACTTGGACGTCTGCCCGCTAAGGACCGACAACCCGAATAGCGAGGGAGCACTCTATTAACCACGCAAGCTGAGCACCAGAGTCGAGCAATAGACATAAGACAATCATATTTCTCCGGAATGTAAGTTGCGGTCTCAGCTGCACTTGGACATCCGAAGTGACAAAGATCTGTCGCTGACATTTACGCGCTTTCTGATTGGCTGGCTAGAGCCCTTTGCCGTTTCCTTCACCCTCAGGAGTAACACTCACAGCAACTCCTCAACTCCTCAACTCCTCATAATCATATAAGACAAGAAGACAGCTGAGAGTCTTTGTTTCGAGGTCCTTCACGAAAACCATTCAACGCCCTGTCTGAAGCGAGCATTGGCACCAAGAGCCGCACATTTTGTCCCGTCCCCTCACACCGCCGGCGAGTTCAGGTCAACGAGATTATATACCAGCATGGCACCTGAGAAATGGCACTCCGAGAGGGTCCCAAATTTCAACTCACCGGGCCAGGAAAGGCAAACACTTCCCACAGCAGCAGACCTCGAAGCCAACCGCCCGCTTCTATCCAGGACGTCAACGCTCCAAGAAAATCCACGTGACCAGACGGCATCTGTCTTCCTTTCAGACAAAAGCTCGCAACGACGTCGGAGATGGTTTTGGCCCGATTGGGACTTCCGCATCAACGCGCGGGTCGTCTCCGATGCAATTCTGGGGCTTTCTGATGGACTCACTGTTCCGTTCGCTCTCACCGCTGGTCTGACGGCTCTAGGAGACACCAGAGTGGTTATCCTGGGAGGGCTCGCAGAGCTGATTGCGGGAGCAATATCAATGGGACTCGGAGGATACGTTGGTGCCAAAAGCGAAAGGTATGTCCAAACATGTGAATCGCTCCATTCTTTTCGCATACACTGACCAAGGACAGTGAATCTTTCAACGCCACAGACCGTAACTGCAATCAACTCCTCCTGCACGAACCGCAAGCAGCAAGAGCCTTTGTCCAGGAGTATTTCGAACAATTTGGACTGTCGACAGAAGAGACGAAACGAGTGGCAGATCACATGGAAGCGTCAACTCCGCTGCTCAAAGACTTTCTCATGCGGAACCATTTCCAAGCATCCAAGCCAGACACGGGTCGACCCTATCTCTCAGCACTTACACTCGGTATCAGCTATTTCACCGGTGGCTTTATTCCGTTGATACCATATTTCATTGTTGCCCGCAATAATGTTCTGGCCGGATTGTGGTGGAGCATTGGGCTAATGGCAGTGGTGCTGCTGATTTTTGGATATGTCAAGACTGGAGTCGTTCGGGGCTGGACTGGGAAGGAGAACTACCAGGCTTGCACGGGAGGAGCATTGCAAATGTTGGTTGTGGGTGTTATTGCCGCTGGAGCAGCAGTATGCCTGGTTCGATTGATCAGTGGCGATTGAGCACCAACCTAGAACCGCTTTCACCTTCTAGCAGTCTTTCCACGCTGCGTAGACATGGTCCCGTCTTGCTATTCGGCGAGGTGGAAAAGTCAGATTGACCCTATGAACTAGTGGCCCGTGCATAGACAGTGGTGGTCGAATAATATGAGTGCTGCTGGGTACGGTCGGTGGCCGCCGACTGACTCGGTACCACCGCAGAGGGTATGTGGTATTTGAACGGGAAAGGATCAACAGTGCGGGCCGTGTGTGATAGAGTTTTCTTGAGCAACGGGCGACGTGGGTTAACGGTGTATACCTAGTTTCCATTAGTTGACCTCGGCCGAAAGAACGACTCTGGAAGCAAGGGCAATGATACTTTGGGATGATGAAGGAATCGCGGTGGGTGATGTAGGTGGCGGAAGCGTCGCAGTCAGCGTGGGAAGCAGGTGGGAGAAAAATGAGAGAAGGACGAGAATTCGGATCCCGCCCACTCATCCACTCGTCCACTCGCCCAACTCGCCCACTTTTTCCTCTCGGCTCTGCGCACCTGTTCGCTCTCTCGCGCGTATTCCTTTTCCCTCGTCTCCTGTTCACACTTCTCGCTATCCTGCCTCTTTCCCTTTCCACCCATTGTTCTCTACCGCTCAACTAACTTTCTCACTATCCTCGAAGCGAGCTATCATGGCTGTATCCCCATTCGCCCTACCAAATACCAAATGTCTGGGTATGCAAGAGCACGGACCTTGTGGGTGGCAGCACAACCAGCAAAGATTTTCACCTCACGCACTCTTTGGTCAGAAAATGATTCCTACCTAGAGTTACCTACCTCCGATTGATGCGAATTGAATCCCGGCCATTACCTCGCTCGATCCTTCTAGGTTCCCCGATTCCTTCATTCCTGAGAATCCGTCCATTGAACTGCCGTTCTCACCACCCATGCTCTGTTCGGTCGGAAAGCGCTTCCCCCTGGCCGTGACAAGAGATACGCTGCAAGATTAGTTAGCTACCGGACATGGCTGAGATGTTGAGAATACGAAGTACCTGCCTATCCGTTCGACCCATCTTTCCGGAAAGGGCGGGACTATTGATTTTCCATATGCAAGACTACGGTACTCCGTAAGTGCACGCCTTTCTATACACCCAGCCTCCTCTTTTCATAGTGGCCCTTGTCATCTGTGGCTTGCACGGTGCTCTATCTTCCTGCTTTGTTCGGATGCAGTGGCTTCAGTGGCTTCCTTACTCGGGTCCATCGACCATGTCGTTGTGACCTCTCGTCTATTCATGCCTCGTCCTCTGGAGCACCGCTGTCATCTCAGTCGGAGTCATGAATCCCTGCATCTCAACCTTGATCGCTCTCACCACCCTTGCATGAAAATATGCTTTTTGCCATTCCCGGCTTGTTTTTCCAGTGACCGCCCTTGCTCTACGCCGCACCACTTGTTGCCCTCGGAATCGCTCAACGTCTGTCTAGTTGATGGCCGAGTTGCAAATTTTGGGCCAGTCAATGCCAGTGAGCATTGCGACTCGTCATCCGCATTCTCTGGCGCATCGCACTATGAGTTTTTGAAAGGGACGGACTGATTTTTAGGCGTTGTGTGACCTTTGGCCAGCATACCTCTTGTGACAAGCGTCCTTGAGGTTTGAACAAAGTCAAACTCTGCAGCAACCATCCGATAATGACAGACTATCGACTTGCCGTGTTACACGGATCCCACGCCGCTGGCCGATTGCCCAACAACCACGGGATGGGGTGCCAACAACCGGGGCGAGAGCACTCTGATTGCATTTTTCCTTACACCAAGCATTCATTCTATCTTGAACTTTTCGCCCTTGTTGCCCTTGGGTCGTCAACGGTCACTATGCCCCACTTGAAAGATGGTGGGCGGGCGATTGGGACCCTTCGCTCATCCCTAGTGTAGTCCGGATGTCTGGCCAAAGTAGGCTATCGCCCATTTGCGATACCATGATATATCCTACGCAGACTTCGGTGCCTGGAATTCCAGGATCCAATATACTTTAGCGTCTGTAACCAGACAGCAAGCAACCCTGGCTTTTGACCGACTGGACGACCGACGGACGGGACAACGGACAACATGCAGGATAAGGATCCATTCACCCCAGCACATTCAACACATGGCACCTTGGCGAGCATCTTTTCCTAATCGAGGACTTTTCACTGAGCGAGGCGATATTTTGTACCTGCACCAGTTAGTGCCACCGGTATGCACGGCTGACGTCCTGGGATAGAGTCTGCACTGATGCGCGAACCTGTCATACTGGAAACCGCTGGCACCTTGCCAATTTTTTTTTTGTGGACACGCCCGGCGTTCTCGTCTCCCTTGCAGGAAACGAGTCGTTTGCGCCCAGTGCCCTCCCTTTGCCAAAGAGTTGGAAGAAGCTGGCTCAGAAATCGACACGTCTGCTCACAGTTCTTCTCGTGGCACCAGACACAACAACAAGTTTGTATCCGGGCGCAGTGGTCGAGACACCAACTTTGTTTCCCTGAGTCGCTAGCCCCTCATTATCCGCTTCCGCTTACACGTGGGCAATTGCAAGCGAGGAACAACACACCGGGACGGTGGGAAGAGGGTGTGTTGGGATTTCTCCCCGTTCCTGAAGCCTACCTTTCTTTTGCTTAGCTTTACCGGCTCCTCCTGCGGGATTTTTCGGCGACCTTTGGGACAGCTTCCAATCGGCGCTCTTTGGTACCTGACAAGGTCGACTGGGCCTGGACAGGGTGTCGAGGCTCCATATCGGAGCGGGTCTCCAAACCAGGGTGTGCCAAGTTGGGTCTTTTGTGGCTTGCATTAGCTCAGGTACCACCCAACCTCTGGGCTTGCGCTCGGCCTCCTATTTGATGGTCATATTCAGGAACCAGCGAAAATCCAACAATGCCATCCACTTCACCGCCAGGGGACAGCCCATGGCGCCGGCAGTCACTGTTTCGAAGCATATCCGGCCTAGGCGGGTCATGCTTTTTGCACTCCCCTTCTCAGTTCTGAAAAATACCAGGGCCTTGACTGACTCCGTAGGGGCCCATTTTGGTCTTGTCCGTGGCGGACAGCGCCAACGTACCCGCGAAAATCTCTGAACGACGGAGAGAGGGTCCCATGTCCTGTGGGACTGGGGGCGCTGAAGTCGAACTCCTTCATGCTCCTCGAGGTTTGTTGTTGAGGTGAACGTGGAGTTGGATGTGGAAGTCAACTCTACTTAAAGCGCGTCCTCCCCTCTGTTGTGTGATTTCCTGTTTCCGCAACATCTTGTCAATCCTTTACACCATCTCCTTCTCTGACAGCCTCGAGCAGGTCTCCCAATCAGCATCATTCATTAGCTGAAAGACCCTTTGTCGACGAGACAAGGACCACTCATTTTTGTCCAACCAACACCGTCCCTGTGACTCGACTATCCCTCACCTTCTACAGGTACATCACAATCAAAATGCAATTCAAGAACGTCGTCGCTGGCGCAGCCGTGCTGCTTGCCTCTGCCCCCGCCGTCATGGCAGTGGGATCTGCTACCGTCGTCAACAACTGCGGGTACCCTATCTACTATGCGGCTGTTGGAGGCAGCTCCAACCCGAGCATGCAACCGCTTGAGGGAAGCTACAGCCAGTCCTACAGCGAAGAAGGCGTCGGCATCTCTATCAAGCTTGCTCCCAACGCTACCACGTCTGGACCGGTCTCCCAGTTCGAGTTCACCTGGGCCAATGGCAAGATCTCGTACGATCTCTCCAACATCAACGGCTACCCCTTCTCTGCTGGTGGCATGGAGATCGTTCCATCGATGCAGAACGACCCGAACAACCCAACCTGTGTCGTTGTTGACTGCCCGGCGGGCCAGTCTGTTTGCACTGCCGCTTACAATGCCCCTGATGACACTCGCACCATGGTCTGCGACCAAGACTCCAACCTCGTCTTGACCATGTGCCCCGGCGGATCGAGCAAGCGCAGCGTCGCCCTCAGCGAAGGACACGTCCATTACCGCGTCCATGCTCGCCACTTGCCTAAGAAGGCATAGACGTCAGCTGACGACCAACGTCGGACAATCCAAAGCCAGCACCGTATTGCCACTTGTATAGTTTTCCAAGACTTTTTGCGCAGCTAGCTCTGCCGCCTCTCTTCCGACTTTATACTGCCTGCAAATACGCTCCTTTACGGTATTATCCATGAGTCGACACATGGACATATCAACACCCCTGCAGGTTTAGTACCCGATCTCGACGATCATCATCATCCTTCTTCATCACTTCATTTTTCGTCCCGGCGACAGGTCTCCCGTGGGATATTGGAAAACAACAATGGCAATATGCCTGGCTACGAAGCAACAAGCAAACAAATTCACGAACATGCGAATCACGTCATGACATGGCTGATGATCAGCAGCGGCGGCGATGGTGGACAATGGTGGCTGGCGTTGCAAACTTTTCCTTTTTTTTTGGATATTTTGGGCAATAGTCTTCCTGACTGGCTCGCGGTATTATCGACATGGCTTTGAGGTTCCTTGATCGGACATATATCTGTACCCAAGCAGTGATGTCATGGTCGGACTCATCGCATGTGCAGATGGTGGGAGGAAAAAAACTATTGTTATAGAACATGGATATGTCCCGGCGGAGAGTCGAAGGAGTCGAGCGATGGTCTCAGGACGTCGCGCTCTGCGAGACATCTACAAAGGGTGTATTACATGAATGTTAATAGACTTCGCTTCTTGGATACCATATACATAGGGACACAACACATTGGCACATCAGCAATGCCTTGCACGGCTACGATCCTTCTCTTTTTCGAATTGTTTGGGTGGCCGTTGCCGTTGGACCACTCTGCTCGGTACATGCAACGGCACGACGGTGGTGGTGGTGGTGATGGTGATTGCTGAAGGTGACGACGACAATGCGCCCCGTGGCGTTGGTGGCGCTCACTAGACGCCTTGACCTCCTTTTAGCTCAAGCCACAAGGTCAATAACCCCCCTTTCCTCGTAAGCTGAAAAGCATCCGTGGAAAGGGAACCTGTTAGCGCGCTCCCTTTCCCCTGCGTTGGGGCCGCTCGGATCACCGTTTGACTCCCTCTCGGTTGCCGGCCGTCAAGCTTTTCGGCTACCCAACTACTAGCCTCTTTGCCAGGGGGGGTTCCTTGTCATTTTAAGGTCTGAGCAATGATCTTCAGGAACAGGACTCGAGGGCCAGCAATCTGAAACCGGGTGGCTTGTCCCATGCGAATAGCTAAGGCAGGTACCCCGGTTGATGGCAGAAAAGCCTATGTATGGATATGGGGCGTCAATATACAAACTCGCAAGGCATAGCGAGCGTCTCCCCCGCCCGGTGGATGGCTGGGTCAGCGAGGAACGGGGCGGTTAACAGCCACATGAAACATGAAACGAAGATGCTTGATTTAGAGAGCACAACAAACAAGGGCCTTGGGGCTTCACCAGGCCCATGATGGAAATTTGAGGCTTCGTCATCACCGTGGGCTTTCTCGTCCTCCGGACTCCGTACGCTGCGCCTCTCTGCGGGATAATTTTGTTTCTGGAGACATTGATGGGGAAACAGGTGGAGTGTGGGATTCTCAATACTGGTATGTACTTACCCAAGGCAACATCAGCAAACAAACAATAATCATGGCAGAGAGTGAACTTCGTACCGGGTTTTGCCTTGTCGGGAATCAAAAGGCTGAGACGTTGTGTGTTTTGAAACGCGGCTCCCCTGGGCCAAGATCTACGGAGAAGCTCTTTCCCCCCATTCGTTACAGATCACACTTTTTCCAACAACGTGGGATAATAGGAGACTTGGATCTAGACATCGACTCGTACCTACAGTAGGCATCGGGTTGTCAATTCTGGGCAGGGCCAGGGCCTGGTCTGGCGTGTCTGAGCCTGCTACCGATGGGTCTCTTCATCACCGCCGGAAGGACTCCGCAGAGCAAACAAACAAACAACAACAACACGAATAATGGACAATGGGCATTTGCATGGACATCCATGCCCCCTGGACTGAGACATTCACCTCCACCCCGGTAGGCACACAACACCCCTGTCACCCGCTGGGCAAGGCTGACAGGCTCAGCTTTACAGGGTTGGTCCCGGGGGCCGGGTCCCTTCTTCCTCGCCCCCCCAACCTTATATGTAGAAAGTAGCCTAGGTCGACTTAAGAGGGCCCCTCAGCCTGACTTGCTATTTCCTGTTGTCAAGAAGTCTTTACTCCGACGTACTCATTCCTCGCCGGACGGCACCTGTTCCCTGGAATATGCGCTGTCCACTTCTGTCATTAGCTCAAGAATTTGCATATGAGAAGTCACATGCGCGAGGCTGACATTTGTCGCTGTTTCTGGTGTTATTTGGACGACCCTGGAGAATATCCATCCCAGAGGACGCTTGATTCAGCATTTCAACAATATCCTAGGCAGTCTGCATCGTCATGGTCGTCCTCGTAGCAGGTGGTGCAGGTGATTTAAGGTGAGGTTAGTTGTCGTGGCGAGCGCTGATTGGTCGAACATGTCTTTTCAGTGCTTGGGAGAGGCTGTTCCCCCAAAACTGTCGCTAGCATGCTTGCTACCACAAACGCCTTTCACCGACTTTCCCTCACTTCCACCTAACCCCCCGAGGCCACAATGGCTTCACGATAAGCCTATCTTGTATCATGTTATCCTTGACACAGGATTTTCCTCCTTGATGTGTCCCGACAGAATGGCCGGTGACTACATTGGCTATGTGGAATCCTTGCGGCATCGATACCCTAATCTGCGTCGCTTCTGCGACATTGAGGGCGCGAGCAATGTGAAGAACAAGGAGGAGACAAGTCGCGTCGTCGTCATTGAGATCCGTGAGAATGGCATAAGCCAGAAAGGATTCGATTCTGCCGATGATCTTGAGCGGTATATGCAAGGCCCGCCCTCCGGATCAGAACCGTGTAAACACCGGGTGTATGTTCTGGAGGGCACCGCGCCAGCCTATCTCCAAGTCCTCGGTCGTCGTCTTCGAATGGACCCGTTTGTGTTCGCGGAGCAGTTGATGCGCGGCGGAACCCGCAAGGAACAGGCCGCGACGCTGCCTTCTCAACACGGCCTTGAGCGGTGCTTTAGCATGCAGTATGTCGAGGCGCGTGTATTTCCCGATGGCCGCCTAAACACCCTCGGGGCTTGTTGTCTCTACCGAGACCGGAAGATTTGGGCGACCAAGATCAATTCGAAGTTTGACGAAGTGGCCAAAGTCCACAGGATCGCATCCTTTTGGTCGCGGAAAGAAGCGAACGGTGCCTTCAACGGTAAGCTGACAGGTCCGCTGCCATGATCGTGCCCCAGAGAGAGGACTAAAGTCGGGCACCAAGGTCTGATTCTCGTGGATCCGCCGGTCGGCCAGTTCATCAAAATCGGCAAGGCCGCTGAAAAGGAGATCCGACCCTGTCAGAGCAGTCTCTACCAGGGAGGCTACGTCGACATCTCGCCGTTCCCGTGTGCCCTGGACCTTGACAGAGACTGGGAATCCCAGCCTGGACCAACCCGCGAGTCGTTGTTCGATGACATTCTGTTCTACTGGAACCACATGGACAGATTCCCCAACTTGCACTCCTCCATTCTCGAGAGCCCGGCCGGCTTCTTCGACGGGGCGTCCTTCTTCCTCAAAAGCATCATTGCCGCAAACTGGATGCAGTTTCTGGTCTACTTTGACGAGATCATCGACCGTCTTGAATACTCCCTGGCTCGCGCGGACATCAACGCCCTCGACGGCGTGGAGAATCACCTGGTCGACGTCACGCACTGGCATCGGCGCTGTTGGAAGTCCTGCGAACAAGTCGAACACGCGATCCACGCACTTCAACCTCAACAGCGCTCCTCCCCGACGGCGGGCTCTGCCTTCACCGGCATCGACGACTTTGTCTACATCCACCGGAAACTGTGCGCCCTCACAGAGCGCTGCCAGCGCCTCAGCCTGTCTCTCACCCATGTCATCAGCGTGATTCAGTCCCGGCAGGCCTCCGAGGAAGCCCACAGCTTGAAGATCCTGACGCTCCTCGGTATGTTGTTCGTGCCCCTGACTTTTTTGTCCGGCATATTTAGCATGTCCGGGGATTTTCTGCCCGGGGAACGCAGCTTCTGGATCTACATTGTGGTCAGCATCCCGGCCGTCATCATGGTGTTCTTGGTCGTGTTCTCGAACCAGGTGGCGCAGTTCCTGAAGCTCCGGGAAAAGCCGAGGAAGAGTCTCCTCAATGTGAGACTTACAGCGAGACCCCCCATGTTCGCACAGGGAGAAGCCAAGGACGCAGAGAAAGGGTAGCTGTGCCGCCGCCCTCGGGCAAATTCCCTGAGAGATCTTCCTCTACACCTGGGACTTGCAAACGCGAGAAATTTTTTTGGGATTGGCTGCATCGATTTCCTGGTTAACCCAGCTCTGCAGTAGAATACCAACATAGCATAGCGGTACACTATTTGTTAATCCCGTCAGCCACGTCTCATCCTAGCTAAACACCTATACCTACCCGAAATGGTATATTTCCCAGTATTATTATTATAATATCTACAGTCCATTTCCTTCTGCGGACGAGCGGGCCACTTTCACCGAGATATGTACTCCGCCGTAGTGGTTGCGACACACACTCGCTGAGCCACTCTGCTACCTCTCTTTCTCCCAGCCTTGCCAACGCATCCCTCGACGGAAGCGGCGGGGAACTGGCCCTTTTTTGCCCGAGCGTGAGCTTCTTCCATACTACTATGCCGCCGGTAATTCAAATGTCCAGATGCCTCTAAATGAGCCCTCGTCGGCACTCCCCCCGCGCGCAACACCGTTGTGGCTCAAGAAGAAGACGAGAAAGCCGCGAAAGATATGTCTTGCGAGTCCGTTGCCTCTCCCAATGGAGCTGCGGGATCCTTTTCGCCCTGTGTCCTCACGTACCTGACCGAGATCTTCGACAACAACGCGACCGAGTCGACGACGAAGAAGAAGGATTGTGGCCCATCGAGTCGGGTCGGGAACAAGGCTCCTGCCCAAGCCTTTGTTCACGCGATTCAGGGCGGCGATCCTGACCCCGACAACCCCCTTCTGCAACATGACTTCGTAGGCATGCACGAGTTCTTGGTGCACATGGCATCTGGGGGCGCCGACGCATTGGCTCTCCCTAGGATGTCTGATTTCTTGCAACCCCTCTCCGATTACTTCATCAATTCGAGCCACAATACGTACATCACGGGCAATCAGCTCACGAGCAAAGCCAGTGTTGAACCCTATCGAAATGTATGTGGGAGCAATTTACTTTCTGTACAATTCTGAGATGCCACGCATTGATTGGATGCGGTGGTGGTTGCTGGGCGTTTTCATGATAAAAGAAAGTCTTCTTTCATTGCCTGTGTCCAAGAAAAAGTCGCCATGAATACTTATGGATCCTACCGCAGGCACTTTTACGAGGCTGTAGATGCATTGAAATCGACGTGTGGGATGGCATATCGTCCGCGGAATGTTCCAATGGCCCCAAAGGTGATAAAACAAGCCGTCGGTCGACGCCCAAACCGGACGGTCATGGAGAGAGGAAAGCAAACATGCGGTCTCGAGGCGTCCCGGGGAAATTGTCTGGCTCACCACTGGCATGGCTCTGTCAGGTTCCACGCCTGGGTTCAAAACATTTCTCGTCCACCGCAAGCCCATCCCCCTCAGCTTCACCGAACTTCAACGGAGTTTCAACGACGTCTGCAAAGAGACGGGAGCCACGGGTCGTGCACGGTCCTAGCCTCAGCAAAGGCGTCCCCTTTCGAGACGTCTGCCATGCCATCCGCGAGACCGCGTTTGTCTCGAGCGACCTACCAGTGATTATCAGCCTGGAAGTCCACGCGAGTCCCCAACAGCAAGAGGTCATGGTCGACATCATGCAGGAAATCTGGCGAGAATTCCTCGTGGACCTCGATTCGATGAACGCGACATCCTCGGGGACGTTGCCCAGCCCTCACGAGCTTCGGCGAAAGCTCTTGATCAAAGTCAAGGGCCCACCGCTTGATCACCATGCAGAGAGTGGACAGACCGAGGATGGTCAAGGGCCTAAGAATCCGGGAGCCCCCCCGATGCGCAAGGTTATAGATCTGCTGAGCTCCTTGGCCGTGTATACCCAAGGGTACTCCTTTCGGGACTTTTCACAGCCCGAAGCCTCCCTGCCCACACACATCTTCTCTCTGTCCGAAGCTGCGATCCGGAGACTTCACAAGAACGACGCGGACTTGCTGTTCGCACACAACAGGAGCTTCCTGATGCGAGTGTTCCCGTCCGGGCGGCGCGTGGACTCTTCCAATTTCAACCCTTGCTTTTTCTGGGGCCAGGGAATCCAGATGGTGGTGATGAACTGGCAACGCCTGGACGCGGGCATGATGCTCAATGAGGGCATGTTCGCAGACGCTTCCGGCTGGGTCCTCAAGCCAGAGGGGTACCGGTCCGACGAGGTCGCCTCGGCGTCGTCGGGCGGAGGAAAGCCTTCCTTCGCAGCAGCAGCGGCGGACTCCACGCTCAAACGACGCAGTCTATCCCTCACCCTGACGCTGTTTGCGGGCCAAAACATCCCAACTCCCACGGGTGAGGCTCCCGACCGAATCAATCCCTACGTGACGTGCGACCTTCACCTCATGATACCCAGTGAGAGGGCCCTTGACAGCTTGAACACCACGGAGAAAAAGACGGCACAAAAGCCTAGAACGTATAAACGGCGTTCGGCACCAAGCAAGGGCCCAGATCCCGACTTTCGGCGCGAACGGTTGTGTTTCCCCTGGGTTTCGGACGTGGCTGAAGAACTCAGCTTTCTGCGGTAAGTCTTCTGCCTGTTCTCTTTCCTCGTTCTATTCCCCCTTGCCAGTGTCTATATTTTGTGTGTTCCGACCTGCCTTGAGTCACTCACATGTCTCATTTTGTTTTGTTTTGGCGCAGGTTGAAAGTGAAAAATCGTCAAATTGGGAAAGACGGTCTCATCGCCTTTGCGTGCATGCGGCTCGATCGGTTACGGCAGGGATACAGATTCATCCGTCTGTTTGACGACAGGGGCGTTCGCAGCGAGGGGAGGATTTTGGTAAAGATCGAAAAGACATCGTCATCTTCATCGTCGTCGTAGGCCCTCTCTAATTCACGAATCCGGAAACTGAGGGAGGGAGGGAGAGTAATGGATCGCATGGTCCTGACTGGGCCTTTTTCAATTTTTTGCTTTTCGGTGTGTTTTCGGTATACAATGCCTAGCCACCCTCATCCACCGCCCTCGCGACCTTCAGCACCTTTGAATGGATCGCTGCGGATGCCGCGACAATGCCCCAGTTGTTCTCGAGCCTGCGCCCTCGCGTGAAATCCAGCTCCTTCCCATCGGCATCAGTGACTCTCCCGCCTGCCTCTTCGACAATCAAAGCCCCGCCCGCCACGTCCCAGACGCACGAGTGGTAGTCCCGGGGAATACGAAATGCGACCTGGACATTGCCGGCGCCGATTGCCAGGGCTGCGAACCGCATCTGCGAGGACCAGAGCTGCGTGCCGGGCCAGGGGGCGCCGACCCGCCGCGCGAACTCCTGTTGCTTCTCCGCGTCGTATGATTTGTTGCTCGGCTGGACGAGGCGGATGCGCTCAGCAATGCCCGGATCATTGCTCCCGATCATCGTCACCCTCGTCGGCGGACCCAGCTGGTCCTTGGCTCCCATTTTGCGCACAAACGCCCCCTGGCCCTTGACCGCGCTGAGGACGCAGCCGTGGCCGTCAGTGTCGACGAGACTCTCGTCGACCTCAATAAACTCGGAAGGAGAAGCAGCAGCAGCCTCAAACGGCAGATTCGGACATCCGACCACCCCGACCTGTTGCGTCCCATCTTGCAGCAGAGCAAGCGACAACGCATACTGGGTGCCCTTTAAAAACGCCGCCGTCCCGTCGAGCGGATCCAACACCCACAAGCGCCCACTGTCGGGCCCGCCCATGCCTTCCCCACCCATGTCGATGTACCGGAGCACATCGTCCACCCCCTTCAATTCATCGCGCAGGAGTGATGCTGCATCGGGGTGAGGGCTCTGCCGCAACGTCTCCGACACGAGGTGCCAGACCTGCTCAGCGAGCAAAGGGCTGTGGCGCAGCTCCGCGGCCGACTCTTCACCCAAGAAGCGGTCGTTGGGAAAGGAATGGGCGACGGTGGCGATGAGCAAGGCCTGAGATGCGTAGTCGGCCACGGTCACGGGGCTTTGGTCGGATTTCCAACTTGACCCTTTATCCTGGGAAGGGAGTAGGGATTTTGTTGCGTGTGAAGCGAGGTGGATGGCGCGGAGGGCAGCTGCCAGCTCTTCAGCGTAGGGGAGAGACATGTTTCCTTTGCCAGAGTAGTCGGTGGAAAGCACTGAAGGGGATAGGCTAAATGAGGGAGATTTCCTAGGCCGAATAGTTAGCAGAACACCACAGAGATCGAGGGCGAGGTAGCCCTGTCGCTGCTGGCCGCTGGCTGCTGGTTGCGTTCATCTACTGTTCGAAGAGTATGTACTCGGTACGCTCTCGCCTGGAGGCTAGTGAAACTTTGGAGGATTGTGGCTGGTGGGTGGGCGGTGCAAGGAAGTGCAAGATTGTGCTTGGCAAGGCTTCCTTGCTTGTGGCTGCGTAACTGACTTCCGTACGAGAAACCCGGGGCCCGTTCATATTACCCCCCCCCTTAATATCAAAACCGGCGGCATGCCTCGCCCACGATTCTGCCCGAAGCAGTAGGTCGTCCACGGCCGTCCAGACCGGAGGCAGATTTCTCGGGCAACAACTTTACAGGGTTGGTCCGGGTCCATTCTTCCTCGCCCCCAACCTTGTATATGGAAAGTGGCCTGGGTCTGCTCAAGAGGATCCCTCAGCCTGACTTGCCATTTCCCCGCTGTCAAGGAATCTTTACTCCGACGCACTCGTCCTCGCATGGCCGCTCTGTTCCCTGGAATACTCTCAGCACGCCTTAGGCCTTCGTCCCCCATTTCATTCCGAGTCTCTGGAACCAGGCAAACCACGAGCCAGCCTCGACGTCCGGAAAGGTCGATTGCCAAAGGGCCGCAAAGGAACCTGCTCGACGTCAGAAAACTTTGTGATGCACCACTTTTTGGGCTGGTCGAATGCTCTCTCTTACCTTCGGCTGGTCCAAGCTCTCCGAACCCTAAGGCCTCGATGACCCATGGGGCAAGGTAGACCAGGATCCCGATAGCCACAACGGTAAGTATCGCTGCGGTGAGGATTGGGTGTTCTCGCACAAACTCGGAGCCGATGGCATGGGCTTTGTCATATGCTTCCTTGATAGCACCGCCCATGGCTTTCCCTGACTGCAGAGCCGCAACGAGGCCGTCCAGGACGCGCTTCGCCAGCCCTTCATACCAGCCGTTTGTGTGTACGACGTCTTTGAGACGGGTCTCGAGCTCCCGACCGGGTTTCTCGGCCGTGAAGAGAACGGAGAGGATCGAGGACGCGAGCTGCTCTTCGTCGGCGGGCTCGACTTGTCGGTGCGTGTCGTTGGCTTTGACGTCGACGGGATAAGGTGGGAGATTGTTGTCTTGAGCTCCCCCGAAACACTCGAGGACAGATCTGAGAAGGTCCATGATGGAATGGAAATGTGTCTCTTGGAGCTCTTGATTTTGTGGGCAATGTCCTCAGACGCGCGTTGCACACGGTATCAACCGGAAGGGGAACTTCTCGAAATAAAATACTAGACGCAGTTGATGTATCAATGAGGTCGGGCTGGAGGTCGCACATTGTCAGGCTGTCAGCCTTACTGCCTGCGGCGAACACTGCCTGGCCTTGAGGGGGCCATTGTTACACAAGCGGCAACTCCTCCAATGGTATCGAGCCACGACCTTCCATCAGCCTCAAGGATATGTGAGTCAGTAGTCGCCATTTCTGCTTCGTGGTATCATCATCTACTCCTATGGGGTCTTCATATCATGAAATTTAGCACTTCGCAGCTGTCTCCTGCACCCAAATCATCCAGCCAACCGAGCAAACTCGACATGTGATCGTTCCTGTCGCCCACAGAGCTCCTGTTCATCCCAAACAGCATCTCGCTGGCTGCACACATTGATTGCGGTTGGTTGATCAGGTTGACGACGGGCTGCATGGCTAGGTCGCAGTCGGTCGACCTCGCCCAACCAAGCGTGAACAACTTTGTTCCTTTTGTCAGATCTGGTCCATGATCTTCACCTCACTTCTTTTTTTCTTCGTTATCTCCCTGGTTGACGGATACTGGAACGGACTCGGAACGCAGTCACCAAGTCGACGTGGTGGATGGAGGGCCGGGCTGCGCTCCGGGAGTACCATTTGGGCCTTCGTCGCTAGTCCCATTTTCAGCCGCGCTAGCCGTGAAGAACACAGACCATCACGACCACTTACCTCTCAATAACCAGACGTTTTCGCTGCGCCACCCTGCGCTTCACGAATCTGAGGAAAAGGCCGAAGTGTAGGAACAGGGAACTGGCTTGCTGATTTTGCCTTCCCCCATGTTTCATTATGTTTTAACATTGCTGCAGCCTTCCTTTCTAACCTCTGCGGCTGGACAACTGTCCCAGTTACGCTGTCAGGAACACGGTTCTGGCAAGCATGTACGCCAAGAGGTTCACGTTTCTGCCACGGAATGGCATGATCCTCAGTCCCTGGTGCGATCTCGAAGGGACTGCGCGACTGTTCCTGACGTACGCTCTCTACTTTGGATATCCTGGTTGAGCCGAGCGACCAGATGCACTTAGTACAGTCTCGATAATTACATCAGATTGTCAAACACTCATGCAAGAATCAACGATGCCTGCATACGGATGCGAAAGTATCCGCAATCCAGCGGTATGTCTAGCGTACTTTGTGCTATTGGAAAACCGGTAATGCATGGAGACAGAGTGCCTGCATCTCTCCTCCTTATGAGACCATACAAAGACGAATCAGACGTGTGTCTCGTGAGTGGCAACCGTACTTAACCGTAGCCATTTAAGGGTGTGCTCGATGGACTCTGCGTGTACCTCGAGTTCACGCGCTGTCCATACCAGCTGAGGTCTTCTCCTCCACCTCTCGCCTCGTGGCGGCAGATCATATCACGAGAATCGAGATCCATGAGAAATTGGTTTGGCGGGTTCCTGGAGTCGACGATGAATTTGTGACATTGAGGTTGGCGGAGTCCTCAGCTACGCTTAGCTTCTCTGGTTGTGGGTTGTCGTCTAGCGGATACTGTCCAGGGATGGCTATTGGAATGGTAGAGGGAACCTCAGGCGTGGTGGGAGGTGTTATAAACACAGGCTCGGCCATCATCCCATTGCGGACAGTCTCAGGCGTGGTGGGAGGTGTTATATACACAGGCTCGTCCATCCTCCCATTGCGGACAGTCTCTTGAAGCTTGTTGCGTTCCTCTTGCGCTTTATATAGCAGCTCCTCAGAGTTATGCAGTTGACCCCTCAACTGAGTGATATCGGCTTCGAGGATCTCATTCAGACCCCTCAACTGAGTGTTCTCGGCTTCGAGGGCCTCCTTTTGACCCCTGAGCTGAGTGATATCGGCTTCGAGGATCTCGTTCAGACCCCTCAGACCCATCAACTGAGTGTTCTCGGCTTCAAGGTCAAAGATCCTTCTCTCCACTGCGATGTCAACCTTATATATAGCTTCCTTCGCTTCAAGTAATTCGGTCTGCAACCTTTCAACTTTGGACTGTTGAATAGCTCTCGCCTCTTCCGACTCCTTGAATTGCCCACGGAGTGCAAGCAGCTCGTCTTGGCTCTCTGTGGTCACCTTTTGAGCGTCATTAAGGCGTTCTCTGAAAGTGGTGAGTTGATGGTTTGCATTGGTGCATTCTGTTGTCTCTTGGGATCTGTTTCGGGAGGACATGATTTCAACTGCAAAAACGACTCGGGTTAACGACTCGGAAGGGTTTGAGTGGCTTTGAATCCTCACCTGTGTTAGTGATCCATCAATATGTGTAGTTATATCAGAGCCAGTCACTAACAGTGAAGATAGGAACGACTCTCTGAATGGGAGTCAGTTAGTAGGGCTTGAGGCCCGCGGGTGCAGGTCGATTGCAGCTTCTGCAGCGATGATTCTGGGGGAGGCGGTGACCGTCCGTCCATCGCCCGCCTTGGGTAATCTGAACATATTAGGAATTGCGGCCTACGACAGGCAACGCGAGAGCATGTGACAACCGGTGTCGAGTCCTCCAATGACCATGTGGACGACATGGCTGAGTGGAAATACGCTATCCCTCGACCAACCAGTTTACTGATGATTGCATGAGCAACGACAATATCTAATGGCTGGGATGGACTGCTTGGTGCAATCGCCCGATGAATCGCCCCAGGCGTGTGAAGCGACCTTTGTGTGCGGCTCCTTGGAGTGCGAGAAGTGCCGTGACTGGGCGATATGTGTTAGTGTGTTGGCAGACTGACCGGGGTATATACCAACCTCGCGCAAACTTCGGCGCAGTGTCGGGCACACGCTCTTTTAATGAAAGAGATCCTGAACTATGTGGTAACTCAGACGTTGTTGGCGGCAACGAATATACTTGGGATTATCACAACACGTATCCCAACGAACGCTAATCGGGATCAGACATGTCCAGCATCGCTTGCTCAGCATTTCGGGCTGCCTCTTGGAGTGAAGAGTCCGGGTAATATGCATGAAGTCACTTGGGGAATTCCCTGCAATGATATCTCGTGGACCTTCGACCTCCAGATCGGTCAGCCAGCAACGAGCCCGGGGTAGAGTCGCACGTGAGCTCCCCGCAATTTTTACTCTGCTTGGCGAGATTTCGATATCGAAAACTGGGGACCAACTTCGCCTTGCCGCTAGTCCGCTTTCGAGCGACAGCCTCGCGACGTCTTTCCCTCCGGCCTCGTCCCCCTCTCTTGTCGTTCTCGCATCTTGTCCACGGACAAAATCTCTCCCGCCTTCCATGTTCCTACATCCTGCTACGGCTTTTTGGCTGGCTCCATGTTGGTAAGCATAACAGGGATCCTGGCCTTTCTGCTGCTGCCGTCGACGGCTTGCTTGCAATTGGCCCGAGATCCAGGAGCCCAAAAGGGCGCCGCTTTCTCACCGACCTAGACTTCGCTCTCCTCACTTACCCCGTCCACTCAACCGCCGTGGAGGCTACTGTTGGCATGGCCATCCCTCGCTGCCACGATTGTCAGTAAGGCTGGCTCGTATATATCACCCATGGATGCGATGTCCCTTGCGAGGAATTTTCTGATCTCATGAATTATACGCAAGGCATCGACCCATAGATATGGTATGGTGATACAATGCCACACGGCCCATGCGTCCCTGACGGTCTACTAAAGTGACAGCTCCCCTGCCATGAAAAAGTGCATTGGCTTGGGCATGATTGGCTCGTTTGGAGGAGGCTCCGTCGTTGACCCTAGACGATGTACATTGGAGAAATAACTGCAGCCTTGGATCTGTCAAACAAGATGAAATATTAAGAGCTCCCGCAAAAGGCACCCAACGAGCCACGGTTGAGAGTCGCAAAGACCCCAGGTGAGTGGCTGCCTGCGACTATTCCCAAGGCAGCCTAGTGACTCTTCGCCTTGCAATGCCCGCCTTCACCCCTTCAACCTCGTATCATACTGCGCTATTTCCGCACCACCACATCAACACTGGAAATGGCACCCCCCGCAATCTCCAAGGAGTAGATAGATGTAAGTACGGGAAACGAGGTTGATATGAGGACCAACACACCTTTCGTCGCGTGCCGGACCTGCTCTTGCAAACTTTATCCCTACACCTACCCGCCTTTGGATGGGGAGACTCAGATCAGGCTGCTTGAGCTCTGCCCGGGCCAAGGAACAGCGAACATACATGCAAAGCTCAAGAACTACACAATAGGCTCGACTCCAGCATACACGGCAATATCCTACAGATGGAGATCCAAAGATCCTCTCCGCGCCGTCCACTTGGATGGCATGCGGCTCTTCGTACGCAACAACATAGTCGACCTGCTGAAATGTCTTCGAGATCCGCAAAAGTCTCGCATGCTCTGGATCGACGCCATTTGTATCGACCAGTCTGACGTTCAGGAGCGCAACGGCCAGGTCGAGAATATGGGATTGATTTACGAACGAGCTGAAACGGTCGTCTCTTGGCTGGACTTACAAGACGGACACGTACTCCGAAAGACGTCCGAGCTTCTGTCAGCTCCTAATCTCTGGAAATACACCGACTTCCGTAAAGGAAGAGAGGATTGTCACGAATTATGGGAGGCTTTGGAGCAGGTCATGACGCATGACTATTGGACTCGGACATGGATCATCCAGGAAATCATCACCGCCCAGCGCGTGATCCTTCAATCAAGATCCTCTGCCATACTACTGAGTGTCTTGGAAGACTTTGCGTACTGGGTCATGATCCTAAAGAATTCATCCAAAGCCATTCACGCTGATTGGGAAGGCATCGCCGCCGCAAACTGCATCCTACTTTGCGAACATCGAATGGCCGCCTCCACCCAATCGAGTTCTCGCCAACCCTTGGCACACCTCCTTATGCGATACGCAAACTTTGACTGCACGGATCCCCGAGACAAAGTATTCTCTCTGCTCAACATGTCAATTGAGCTTGACATATCCATCATGGTTAACTATGCCTTTACCTGTGCAGAGCTGTTTGTCGAGGTGCTGCGCTGCTTAAGTCGGTCTGGGGAATTACGAGCGAAGGAGGTCGTTGGGATGGCAGCGCTATTATACAAGCACCTCCTCTGCGACTATCCCTCCGAGATCGAGCGGCGAAACGCAGTCTATGCTGTGGGGAGCACATTGGAGTTCGAAATTGAACCATATCCACGTGGCCACATCACCTCAATATCGGTTCATGAGGAGCCGCCACAGCTCAGGCAACTTCGCAATCAAGCTGCAGGAATGAGAGAGACGCCGCAGGTCGGAGTATAACGGCTGTGTCCCGCAATGGGTGGATTTTCCCGACATTCAGAGGGCGCCTTTCGTCCAGCCGGATGATCTCGAAAGCTTTGTGGTTAACTTCCATCCAGGTGAATCGACAAAAGCGCATGCCGCAGAGTTTGGCCTGGCGGACTGCAATGTCAACGAGGGCGACAAAGTCTATCAGTTCAGCAATACCAACTTCGCTGTTGTCACGAGACGTGAACTACAACTAAATGATTTCCAACACAGGGTAGAGGAGCGAATAGTAGGGCCTGCCCTGTTGAGTGGCCCGATTGGCGCGACTGAATGGAATCCCTTCGTCAGATCGACCGACATGTCGTCCTGGTTCAAGTCGTTTGACTCGACGCATGCTGATGCAGCGGGATACAACACTGCCAGAACAAGCGGGACCACAATGGTCCAGCTGATGAAGCTCCTCTCCTTGGTGTGCCTGCCCTGAAGCAAGATTTCATGACTCTGACCGAGAACGCTCCGTCAACGTGGTAGTTTGCGTCCTTCCTACGCCACCTGCGAGCGTTGCTGCGATTTGGTCGCTTCTTCGGAATGTCTTCCTTGGCCCTCTCTCCGGCCGGGATCTCTTCCAGGATTCTCTGCAGCTGAGCCTGATCGGTTGATGCAGTACGGGCTTTTGCGACAACCGTGCCAACCGTCGGTTCGCCTGTATTCCTCATATGATTTGACCTCCTTTTCCATGTCTCAGCGAAACGGCTCCGTGATGAGACACGTACCTGTGAAGCTCTCCTCCAAGACCTCAAGGATGAGGTTGGTGATTCGGAGGTAAATAGTGCGTGAAAGACGCGGTTACAGCACTCGAGACCCCCGACGCACCTCTGGGTCAGCTGGAAGCTCCTTTGAGTATTCATAAAGCCGAACTACGGCCTAGAGGAAACATCCAAAACGGCATTTAGAGCCTTGAGACGGCGATTCGAAATTAGAAGAGTGGACAAGTTCATTGACGCATTGGAACGCGAGAAGGGTCTTTTTCGCTTTAGCCCTGGCAGACGATTGCCGAAAGCTGACCCGAGAAATCCAAACGAGTTTGTTGAGCATTTCCCCATGAATTCAGGATCAGTGATGCTCGTTCCGTCTCGTCTTCTGATATAGGAATATCGAGAATCACACAGCCTTCCCTAGCCTTGTTCGAATACGTTGAGAGTAGGCTTCGGAATATCGTCGGGTAGTAGCCAGCCTAGGCACGGTCCAGTACATAAGTTGGTTGATCTGGGAGCCGTAAGATGTTTCTCGGAAAGATATCGAGGTGACACAGCACCAGGTTTGAACCTTGAAATGTAAGGGCCTAGCGTGACAGTCATTTACATTGCCTCGGCAACCCTGTCAGTCACGACTGTGCGAACAAACCTTCACGGGCGTGACGGGATATCTGACACGGTTTAGGGCCGATAGGAAATACCTCGCAGGAAATCGGTTGCGTAAAAGGTTGTCGAATTGCACGAGTCATAGTTCCTAGGACGAGATTGACAATTGTTCCCGATATGGTAAGTCGATTCGCCGCTGGGCCCGCTTCGATAAGAGGGGGATTCGACTATCGGCGGATGGAGCGTGGGGCTGGTAGCAGGGTGTCTACTTGTTACATGCAACTAGAATCAGGCCCGCTTTGAGCAGTTGGACTGGCCCCATTGGAGGGAGATTAGCTTTTATGGGACCGTGGACCACTGCACGCCATCGAATATCAAGAACCTCAAGGACATCGCAAATCCATGCTGGCACGTTCTTGAACCAGACCTCCGCCAGACCACTATCAGCATGGCCCAACACCACCAGCATGTCGCGGCGGGACACTGGATGTTCACCCCTGACGCGCCGCTGGTGACGATTAATTGTGACATGGGCGAAGGCTACGGGGCGTGGAAGATGGTGAGCAGGCTGCATGTGGTTCCCGAGGCGTGAAGGTTCGCTCAATTCTTCGTAGGGACCGGATGAAGAGCTGATGCCCCTGATCGAGATGGCCAATGTCGCCTGTGGCTTCCACGCCGGCGACCCCGTCACCATGCACAGGACGATCAGGTTGGCCAAACAGCACGGCGTCCTCGTCGGAGCACACCCTTCGATGCCAGACAGAGAAGGGTTTGGCCGGAGACACATGGACATGTCGCCCTCAGACCTCTTTGATCAGCTCGTGTACCAAGTCGGAGCCCTGGTGGGGATGCTCAAAGCCGAAGGCATGACATTGAGCCACGTCAAAACCCACGGATACCTGTGGCGGTACTGTGAAAAGAGCCCCGACCACTGCAAGGCCGTCCTGGAGGCGATCCAGGTCTTCGAGGTACCGGCCCTGATCATCAAAAACACCCGGATGGAGAAGATGGCGGCGGAAATGGGCATGCCCTTCCTCGCCGAATTCTACCCGGACCTCCATTACAATGATGAAGGTCAACTGATGTCCATCCTGTGAGTCCTGCCTGCCTGATCTCTCGCCCGCCCACTTGAGATTGACTGGGTGAGCGACATTCCAGGACTTCGGGGAGGGTGCCTCTCGAAGAAGTGCGGCCAAAGGTGGAAAAGATGATAAAGGACAATGTCGTCATCTCGAAGACGACACAAACCCCCCTGAAACTAGACTTCAAGGGGGGACGGTTCAGCTGCTGTATTCACAGTGACCTTCCGCGTATGTGTGCCGTGGTTGATGCAAATCGATGCAGGGAGCTGACTGTTGAAACGATAGACCCGGTTGAAACGTTGAAGGCCACGAGGGAAGCGATCAATGCGGCCTGTGTGCAATGAGGATCTATTTTGAAGTCATCACGGACATAACCATCCATAGCAAGAAGATTTTGGCCTTTGGGAGCCTCAAAATGCTTCTCTTGTAAGCCATACACGTAAGCTGTAGTGATCGCAAATATCGGGGCGCCCAGTAAATAGGCCCTTAACTCCTACATACAAAGGAACATCCGCTCCTCGACTTCCTATCTCACACCAACCACAGTATGGGCTAGGGTCACTGTTAAACTCGACAATTAGTCTCCTGGATGGCATATGACCCACTCCAGACAGTCCAAGTGCGTTTCGACTTTCCCATTCCGAAGAGGAGTATTCGTACACCGGTTGATGACAGAAGCTCTCGGGCCTGGAAACAGCAACCCCCAAACAGATGGGTTAATGTCTAGCCCGTCAGCACCAAATTTCACATTGCTCAGTCTTTGCTCTCTGGAAACAGATCGCCAGACCCCAGTTCCGGCACCCCAGCGCAGTGCGAAGACCGACATTGGCAACATGGCCAAGACGCTCACAGTCAGGCACCTCACCGCCGCCACGAAGCAAGCCCGCCGCGAGCTTATCGCGGCATTCCAAGTATCCATCCGCTATTCCCAAGCTGAGGAAGTCGGCACCACCAAATATGCCATCACTGTCCCCGTTGACCCTGGAGATGACAAGAGCCTCTACATCTTTTCAGAGTGAGTAATCTCCTCGTTTGTCCTCGTCGTGGTGAAATATATTCCCCTTCCCCGAGTAGATATATCGAGGACCATATCTAAACCGGCCATCTAGGTTCACCGACCAAGCCGCTTTGGACTCCCACGTCACCAGTCCGCCGGCGCAGGATGTGTCGAAGCTGTTCTCCTCGGACCCTGTTCTGGCAGCAGAGCCAGTAACCTACCATCTCACACCGGTCCACGATTTCTCCAAGCCCCGCACCGTCGAGGTCAGCGAGCCCTTCGTGCTGTTCGCTTCGTTGCCGTGCAAGGTCGGCCAGGGGCGAGCGGTGCTCCGGCGATGGAAGCCGCTCATGGTCGACACGGAGGCAGAGCGGGGCTCCCTGGCGTATTCGGCGGCCAAGGACATCGCGAACCCCGACCGTCTGTATGCCCTCGAGGTGTTTGTCGACGAGCAAGCTTACGACGACTGCCACGGGTCCAGTGAGCCGGTCCAGTCGTATTTGCGAGATACGGAAGCCTTGAGAGAGGGCGTGGACGCTCTCCGGTTGAAGGCGGTGGGAGGCTACTTTCTGAAGTAGGAGAGAGATCTCGAATACAGGCCAGAAATGGGTTTGCAGCTGTGGGTGACGAATTGGCATCATTTGCCTCTGGGACCTCACTCCACCGTGCCAAGCTGAGTCTTCTCTAGGGCCTTGTCTACTATGGGGGAGCTTAGGAGAAGAGATAGTGTCAGGGAATAGCCTATCCTTATCTGCTACAGTGCCTAGTACCCGATATTTTGCCAGGAATTGGTGGAATTCTCCGTCCTTTGCCCTAGGCTGGGAATCGAGGCCTGTTCCTGACCGGTCTAGACTCGAGGGGGGGTTTGGATGGCTCAGAAACAGACCAAAGGCTATCTGTAATTCTCCCTCATTCCTCAATATCTACCACCGCCGAGGCTCCTTGCATTGTACCGACCCCATCAACATTCAAGCACAGTTTAAGATGGACCGGCCCTACACAGCCTTCTCCCCCTGAACGACCTTCGCCCCCGAGTCTTCTGTATATGGGGTAACTGCCGACGTAATCTTCCCGGGTGCCTCGTCTTCGTCCGCCTCCGAGGAAATGGCTGGCTCTCCATGAATGATGTCTTCGAAGCCGGGAACATCGGTCCAATCTCCCACGCGGCGCCGCGTCGACCAGTCCACAACCTCATCCGGATGGACGGCGTGGCCCGAAAGGCTGTACTTGGGAGGGAAAACCACGTTCAGGCCCCAAAACGCGAGGACCGACACAACGACCGCGAAGATCCAGTTCAGGTCGTACGTGTACGGCTGCACGTTCTTGATGGACGGATTCACCTGGCTGATGAAGCCGGGCATGTTCGGCACGTAGGCGCAGAGGAACGCGGCGTACGCGCGCCAATTGACACCGTGCCAGAACCAGAACTTGCCGCCTCGCAGAACGTAGAGATGGCGGACGTCAATTGCCCGGCGACGGACGAGCCAGTAGTCCGCCATAAGGATCCCGCTGACAGGACCCAGAAGTGAAGGGTATGCTGATAGGAAATCTGGAAATCGATGTCAATATAGGACGAGCGGTGGGGGTGTCGAAGCCCAAGACCTACTGTAGAAACTCCCTGCATCGTACACAATTTTCCAGGGACAGATGACGACGGAAAGAACGGCCACGATCAAAGAGCCCCGGACATTGTTGATGTATTTGGGCCAAAAGGACGACAGCGCAATCGCAACCGTGATGGTATTTGCCGATAGATTAACACCGATGGTGGCGATGATCCAGACCACGGCCGCGATGAAGACCGCGCCTCGATTTTCCCAGCGCGCAAGGATCCCTGAAGGTTCCCAGTACGCTTCGTTCCAAATTTTGACGGTGGCAGAGCTCGTTATGACGGAACAGATGACGGGAAGGATACCAGTACAAGGCAAGGCAAGACTTTGAATCCATGTGTTGCCCGGCCGTCGGGCGAATCGTACAAAGT